ATTGAATCCTGGCGCTCGGACCCAACTTTGTGGCAGTACGGACCAACAAGCAAACCTACAACTACTAGATGGAGAGAAGCTGGCTACAATATCAATTGCCGTACTATCAAGGCAACAGCAATAGGAGATGCCGTCACCCAAGAACGGCTACTGGTGGTTCGGACAAGAATTGATTGTCGGGCACAATGGACATGGGACAGTTTGGATTGAGATCTGTCTGTGATCCGACCTATGGGAAGTCTCCTCACACCACCGGGATTGGTACCGCGCAACTCCTACTCCCAATCTGGCAGTGCACACACACCCCACTCCCTACACGACCCGATGCCTAACCAAATAGGAGCATGGATCAAAACAGAGAAGGGTGTTCGACGACTCATGAAGGAAGAAGTTGCACGGGGACTGGGCATCAACAAAGGCTGCAAAACTGAGCTGTCACACAAGAGCCTCCAACGAACTACATCACTTTTCCATTGGGAATACCTGTCTTTCTCGCTACAACATTTATTCAGCCACCCAACTTCTGCATCCGGGAAAACGACACAGGGACCAAAGACCGGGAACCACTTGTCCGGGGCAACGACCATCACACTCGACAACGATGTATTCAATGGGCATCCCCCAGATCTTTCCTTGGGTAGCCCCTGGCACACACTACGACTCGCCAACCTCCGCTGGGCCGCTGACCATTATCCGGAACCAGACAACATCTACTGGGATGGCATCCAACGACTAGCCGTCCACCGGAACAACTACAACTCGGAGGGACTGGACCCCAAACAACTTCAACTTTTATGGTGGGAGTTCCCGTCTGAGCACTGGGAGGAACTACGAAATGGGCACGCCAGAATTTCCTGAAACAGCCAGATCCCTGCCTCCGACCCAACGCTCCAATGGATGAAGCAATGCTAGAGGCTGTCGTCCAATTTGTGGACAAACTTGTGGAACTTGGGGTACTTCGAAGCATCGATGAAGGACTGGTGACCGTCCTCACCAACGCCCCTCTATTTGTGGTCGGGAAGGATGGCCAACCGGGACAATGGCGGGTAATTGCCGACATGCTACGGGGTGGTCAGAACGATTGTGTTGGGCAGGACCCTGTCTTCATGCCCAGGATTGCTCACATTGTGGACCAAATGTACACTGAAGGATACTCTGCAGTGGTCGACCTGTCCAAGTTCTTTTACAATTTCCCGACACACCCAGATGACCGACCGTACCTTGGTCTCCTGCATCCTAAGACCGCGGAGCTCCTGACCTACTATGGGCTAGCTATGGGAGCAGGCAACAGTCCAGCCATTGCCTGCCAAATCGGTCTCGCCTTTGTACGACTTGTGAAGGAGAAATTTGGCGTTTTCCAAGGTGAAGCCAGAGCTACTAACTGCTACTGAACGGGTCTACAAGCCAACTGATTCGATCCCAAGCTTGACTATGGATTCATCTTGACCTCTAACAATGGAGGAGCTGTGCACATCTGGGTCTGGGTGGACGACTTCCTCATCCATGGGCCCACGCACGAAAAGACCGCCCGAGGGCTGCAATTCTTCTTGGACACGGCAGTTGACTGTGGATTCCTCTTTCACCCAAAGAAATTGGTACCGCCTCAGCAAGTCGTCAAGTACTGTGGTTTCCTCTTTGACACCACAGCTGTCCCTTGCCTTCCAATCCCAGAAGCCAAGAAAGAAAGGGCACTGGCCATATGTGACTACTTGATCCAATCTCCAAAGCACAAGAAGTGGTCCCGTCTTGGTCTTGCGGTTGCAGTCGGCGTTTTGGAGTCTCTTACAGAAGCAACTCCACGGCAATGGGGACATACGCATCTCAAAGAGTTCCATACCTTTGTCCACCCACCAGGACTTGGCAACGGAGCGGCACCCTACTACACTACAACCTTCCTCAACTCGGAGGTGCTCGACAAATTCCATTGGTGGCGACAGTTCCTCACTCGGAGTGAAGGACGCTTTGTCAGAGGATGGGAAGCTGCAACACTGGTTCCAACCTTTGGAGACGGAAGTGGAACTGACACCGGGGGCACCATACAACTCCCAAATTGTGACTTTGAGATGTGGCAAGGAAAATGGAAACCATCCATCTACATCTTCCCTTCTGTATGGAAAGAGTTAGCAACCCTGAAAGAGACCCTGCTTCGAATCAAAGAAAGCCCCCATGCCCACCAGGTGATTGGGACTACCGTTTTCTACTTCACTGACAACTCGGGAGTTTACTGGATTGCCACCACAGGCTCTTCCCGAACACGCTCCCTCCACAAATTGATTAGCGAGATCAGACTTCTTGAACTGGACCTACAATGTGTCCTCCAAGTTGTCCATGTACCAGGCCGAGTGTTGATCACCCAAGGGACTGATGGCCTCAGTCGCGGCGTTTGGATGTCGGCACTTCAAAACATCATGGATTCTGATAGACTGACTCAGGCTATCTTTGATCCAGTCCCCTTTGACATGACTTTGGTGTGGACCCACCTTCCACAATCGGCCCCTTTGACGCAGTACAGATCCTGGAACCAACCCTGGACAGCATCCCTCTGCCTCCACCAAACCACAGTATGGTGCCCACCGCCGGAGCTGGCCCGCCAGCTCCTCACCTTCTTGCTCAACTCGTGGGTTGAATGCCCCTTCACCACCTCCGCGCTGCTCTTTGTCCCCAGAGTTGTTGAAGCTTCCTGGCGACACATGTCACCATCTACCCGCACAAGACCAACCTACGCTTCCCGCCACTCCTGCCGATACCAATTGTTGTTCTGTACATTGCGCCTCACACTCTCTCCCTTGATCCCAACTCTAGGTTGGACAAGACTCCCACTGCCGCCCCCTCTTGGCATGCCGCCCAAGCCACACTTATGCGCGGGTTGCCAGAGAGGGTTCAGCCGCAAGGAGATTGAGACACGGCTTCAATGCACATTTTCAGCTAAGGGATTCGGCCGATTCCGTGCCTGTGGCTCCACCTACCACCGTGACTGTTTCCGAGCTGGGGAACCCTTCAAGACTCGCCGCCTCCGCGATGAAGGCTTGACCTTCCCCCGCCACGCCACCTGGCCCAACTTTGTCTGCGAAGCCTGCACTGTGCGACAGTACCTACAACGTGAATTAGTTTGTGCCGACGACCTCCTCCTCTTGATGTTGGAACGCATCAGGATGTTGGACATCATCTCCTCATGGGCCAAAGGAACCCACGCTAGCTACAAGTCGAAACTGAGTATTATCCGCCAATTTGAGACCAATTTTGCCATACAAGTATTGAAGCCCACCGCTCTGCTGGAGCGCCCTTCCGGCCCTGATATCCCCCTCATGTGGTGTCAGGAATGGTACAGCCTCCGCCATTCCACCAAGGCACACGACCGAGGTGCTCAAACTCCCATCAGCTTTGGCACAGTCCGAGCCCTCCGATCGGCCGCTTCCCAGTGGTTATCACTGGACTCCCTCAACACTCCGCAAAATGCATACATGTCACAAGACAACAAAGTTCTATATCAAGATTGTCGACCGACGGATAGTTTGTCATTCCACTTGTTTGCAAAGGGAATGGTAGCACGAATGGGGGATTACTCCCGGCCATCTGTGGCCCTTTTGGATCGCCACATTCGAGCTCTGGATCACTTCTTGGACCCCCAATTCTATGAAGCCACTTCTGACGTCTAGCGGGGCTAGCTAAGCTGGTCCTTTGGCTGGGTTGGCTTCGCTCAGCTGAATGCTTTGGCCTCAATTGGGAAGACTCCTCCATTCTGGAGCCTGAAGATTATGGGCAAGCGGACCTCCTAAGGAACTGTGGTATGGTCACCTTCAGACTTAACCAGTGACTAAATCGGAACGCACCCGCACGGCCGATGTCATTATACCGGAAAGTGGTTCTGTCGGGCACTATCGTACCGGGTCCGATGTACAGGGCCCGTTTTCTGCCATGCCAATGGCATTGCATGGACTTCTTTCTTCTTTCGCAGCACCTACCTTTATTCGAGTCTCTACAAACAACGCCTGGAAGGTGACCCCCTTCTGCTACCTTTCGATGGTACCCCTTCAAATACCATAGAAAGCCGCTTCTGGTCCCTCCAATGCTACCGCCAAGGTGGCCGCTCACATGTCTCCCGAGGAGACACATGCGGCGGTCGCCGTCTCACGATTGCCTCTGAAACCCAGGTCTACGAACATGGGCGTTGGCGCCTCCGCCGCTCCAACGAAAAAGTGGGCACGAGCTATCGCAAATGGAAACCTCGTGAGCGAGTCAAGATCACCTTATACTGTCACTGAAGTGCCAGTTGCTTTGGGGGGAAGAGCAATGTTTGTGGGTCGTACATCTGAGAAGGCAGAGGGGGAAAGAAAAGGACGCAGGATTTATATCTTGCGGAGACTTCAAGTTCGTGGACTCTTTGAGTTGGAACTCTTCGAGTTCTACTCTTGGAGGCCCGAATCTGTGTCTCACCCGGATTGGAACCTGGAAAGCCTGCGTGGGCTAGGACAATATCTAGCCACCAATTATGAAACGAGATGTATGACTCCTAACCTGAACTCTACCCAGCTGACCGTATAGAAAGGTTACGAAAGAAATAGAGAAGAAGAATTCCAGATTCCGGTGGTCATGAATACTTCAAATGACCACCGTAGGAAAGTGAACGTACAAAGTACGAAGCTGGAGGAAAGCCTGCGAAAAGCCCCGAATTGGAATGACTTGTAGCTGCATCAAAAAGCACACAAATCAATCCAACTCGGAACTTGAGCAAAACACCTTCAGACTCCAGCAATAGGTAGAAATTTTTTAACTCCCGCCCACCCGCCCAGGGGAAAGAAAAGGACGCAGGATTTATATCTTGCGGAGACTTCAAGTTCGTGGACTCTTCGAGTTGGAACTCTTCGAGTTCTACTCTTGGAGGCCCGAATCTGTGTCTCACCCGGATCGGAACCCGGAAAGCCTTCGTGGGCTAGGACAATATCTAGCCACCAATTATGAAACGAGATGTACGACTCCTAACCAACATATATATACTGCAGTACTCATAATTTTCCCCAACAGCTAGGTATAATATGGCATCATGGTGTATGCTAGATTTCATGTTATTTGACGAATCATCCGTCGTCTTTTGGTTGCCTTTAGGAACTCAGACTTTTCTGGTTCACCACAAGGTTAACAAATTGGCAATACATAAATGGTGTCTGTAATTATAGGTTGTTTTGATGTGGAAAAAATTTTATTCGGCATGCGAGTTGCGACAATTTGCCAACAGTTATGCATGATTAGAAGTTTTGGAGGATCAATTTGAATTCCTTAGCTGTCTACAGGCGTTATAAATGGAAGTAAGAGAAAAAACAGTATGATAAAGAGCAGTTACATTTTGTCCTCATAGACGCATCTTCATTCTTCTAACTTCTTTGCTCTTGTATTTCTCGTGACAAAAAGGACATATACCTTGAAATCACACAGGCTAAAAAGCGACTAATGCAACCATCGAGACAAAGATAATGCTCAAACCATTGATAAACGCACTTGACTCGGCTGCAGGAGCCCCTGTGCTGGGTGTGCTAGGACTTGCTGGGGCGTTGGTTGTTGGACTTGCTGGGGCGTTGGTTGTTGGACTTGCTGGGGCGTTGGTTGTTGGACTTGCTGGTGCATCGGTTGTTGGACTTGCTGGTGCATCGGTTGGACTTGCCATCGGAGACATGGAAGACTCATCTGGTGGGCATTCACTAAAGGATCCTGGAGCAAGCACCTTGTCAATTCCATGAAACATAGCTTCAGATTCTTCATTCAATTGGTCGGCAAGAATTACCATGGCGTCGTTTACCATGACCATTCCCGTCATTTCACCACCCATGTGGCCTGCCAAACGACGTCCGCCAACGTTGCCTGCATCTTCCATCCACATCAGACGGATCTTAGTTCCGGCCAAAGTATCGAGAATAACGCATCCGGCTTCTTTTACGTCATCAGCTGAGTAGATTTCTGGAACAATGTGCTTGAGCATCAACTGTGTTTTGTTTAAAGAGAGAGCCCATTAGTGGACGCATGATATCAATCATACTGCTAGCAACCACAAGTGCGCTCACCTCGACTTCTTTTTCGGCCCAATCATCTCCTTCGAAAGGATATTCATCAAGCGAATTGAATGCCTCGTCGATTGGTCTGAAAAAAGCTGTTGTGGCGAAAAAGAAATGTTGGTCAAATGCTGCATATCAAGGAAGGGCGAAAAGATCTTCTCAGAGCACTTACTTGCAGCGGTTGTTGGTACCTCCAATGACTCTAGCGCTTCAGTAATATTTTGTTGGTAGATGAAAGTGAGGAGCTCAAATCGACTATATGGGTCTACCTGACAGGGCTCGTACGCTCCATCATTAGTCAAGCCATCGATTCCATGCAAGATTCCAAAGTTACCAGCAATGTCAGTCTGGACAAGGGGGAATCCATTCACAGTAATAGTTTCAGTCACATTATCGTATCTGAGACTGACCATCATCCCTCCAATTGTTAACCATTCCTGGCATCCTGACCATGCAATCCACTCTGAGTCGATGGTGACATTTGCTATAGCATGAAGGCGGAGTGCTACAAGAAAAAACAAACCGTTTTCCAAGGAAGTGAGTTGGGATCCTGACAATAGTTGCAAAAACCAAAACACATCGAAGAATCAAAGAACGTACTTAACAACAAATCTTCGTCGCTGAGTCCAGTCAAACTACTTTGATAACGCTCAAACACGGCATCGGTGGGGGCCAGAATTGCTGCAAAAAAGGACAACAGGGCAGAAGAATGAGTTTACCCAGACTCGACAGGCACACGGCTAGTCGGTTCGTAGAATCATCCACTTACTGACGGGTCTAACCTCGCTGAGTTCGTCGTCGAGGCCTGTTTGACTGATCAAACTGAGAAGCGTGCTGTAATTTCCAGTCTGTGCCACGGAGAAAAAGTCAAGCGGGTCTTCCGAACAAGGAACAAACTCCGAGTCAACGAGAACACCTTCAATGCCATGGAAGACATAAGATACCCCAGCAACATCAAAAGCGGTAGAACTAATTGGGATGCCATTGACCGATGCTGTGCCTGTAGTCCGGTTGCCACGAACAGCGAGGGGAGTTCCTGCGAATGTGTCGACTTCAATGCATCCAGATGCAAGAACTTCTTCGAAGAAGACTTCACCATGCGCCATATGTCCCCAGAGGACATCATTAAGCTTCACGAATTAGTTTGTTCAGAAGAAAAATAATGCATGATTTAGCATCCAGTCATTTCATACATACCATATCCTCGGTCAATTCATCCACGGTACTTTGGATGGCAGCAAAAGCAGCATCGCTTGGTCCGAAGATCGCTTTTTGATGGGAGAGAAGAGCAAAATGAGTTATAGGATCAACTGAGAGTAAATACTCAACGAGGAGTTGAAACGAGACAAACAGTGGACTTACTTGTGTTCGAGAAGTCACCAGCATTTGAAGCGATAGTAAAATTGTTGTTTGTCTGAAAAATAGCAGCTAGAAGGGTGGAGTAGTCTCCAAGCTGCTCAATAGGCGAGAAGTCAACCGGCACAGGACAAGGAAGTGATTCATGCTCTTCGGCGATGAGAACACCATCGATTCCGTGCATCACACCATAGTCCCCAGTGATATTGGGATCCACAACAAAAATACCATCGAAGTCGATGTCACCGGTGAATGGGTCGCGGAAGATTGAAACTTCGAGGCCTCCAGCTGTTGTGGCTGAAATGCAACCTTCTTCCTTTAACATGTCTGTAGTGACATTGACACCAATGATCACATGATTGAGCAGGATACCTTGAGTTTCTTCTGCGCTTAGAGTTTCCAATACATCAGTGATGTTGTCAAAAGCTTCGTCCCAAGGGCCAAACATCGTAACAGGAGCGTTGGCAGAAATCAATGTGTCGCTTCCTGTCGCCGCAATGGCAGACAAAAGCGAAAGGTAGCTTCCGTTTTCAGCGATGGGAGAGAAGTCAGCTGCAAAGGGTTCGGTTCCATTCTGTGCAGTGGCAATGCCAATGGTGGCAGCAAGAAGGGCAACAGCACTTAGTTTCATCTTGACTTCAGAAGGTATTCGAATAAGATACTATTGTATGGGTAAGGTTTTTGTGACGAGTCATTATCATACCCTAGGCTGGTCATTTTTAATATAAAATAGTACCGTAGGAACACGTAGTGTGTGTACGTGTACAATACCTGGTATTAAAAAATCGTACCTATCAATGACTGTCCGTTCGTTTAAAAACGGTTGTACAAAAAGGTTGTACAAAACTACGCGACATACAACGAGTATACATGGTATATTTACAGTAGAAAGCAGAGAGATTTCAGATTGCTACCCCTACCCATGTTGCTGCCTCTTCGGAGCTGGCTGGGTCAGTACTTTCCACCAGCAGGCAGCGTAACATTCGATGCAACCTCATACTTGTTTGCAATTCAGGAGTCTTGCTGCACTTGACATATTTTATTGTTCGGACGTTCTTCTTCGGTTCTTGTGATAGGGACTAAGTCGGCTTGTTGGACTTGAGTTGTAGTTATGGTCAAAGCAATGTAGATATGCGGTATCATTTTTCACAACATCGTCGTGCAAAATATCTTTTGAGGATAAATAGAATTTCGGTGACCTCGTCCTTCTAGGCTATCACCAACAACACGCGTATTGTTCGCTTCGAATCAATTCTGGCAGATGTCTATTTATCGAGGATCTATCATCTTTTAAAACTGAATACAGTATTTCCAAAGACCCTAACCCTAACCCTAAGTGGTAGCTATTCGGGCCTGCTCAGGGATAGCTAGTACTAGTCACCAGCCAATATATAAGCCCCTTGCGTCAAAGCCTACGCTCCTACAACTGATTTGGAAATGGTCGTTGGCAACGAGCGAGATGTTGCAATGGTGTTGTAAAACAATTGTTTCCGTTACTATACCGGTACCAGGTGATGGTTGTAAATAGTAACTTGTTGTCATAACTACTCGTATGACTCAAGGGAATCAATTTCTCGACATACAATCACAATGGTTCTCCGATCCTACATTCATGTAGTCGACCGACAGGACCATAGCATCAGTGAAGTTCTGTAGTGGCACCGGTATCATTAGTCGTCACACGTATCGCACCTGTTACTATTACTGCTCTTTTCAAAACTTTTCCTATACTTTACTTTTTTCATTGCTATCATGCATCAAATAGTCCTGTGTTCGAATCTAATACATATCCTAATCTAAGATGTATTGAACGAACCGGAGCTTCTCGCGAAGCCCAAAGAGTACGTCTGGTTTGTTGACACACATCTTCTGGACCCCGGTTCGCAACAGAGCGTCGTACATGCTCTCATCTTCATTTCCCACGTCCCAATACTTTTCACGGCAATTTTCGACCATGCCAGCAACGCCGCGAAACCAAACCATGCTACCGAAACCAGCATCGTGAATGGATTGAATGATTTCAGGCGTGACAGTGTCGTATCGCAAGTGAATCTCGGTTGCGCCAGCGGCTTGGGCTCGTTGCAACATATCCACTGGGCAAATATCAAACAGAGCCCCAGTGCGATACTTTGTTTTATCAGGTCTCAATTTGCGCAATAAAGCAATTCGAGAGTGTTCAAAGGACGAAAAGGAACATTGATCCACCATATCGAGTCGTTCGACAACTTCCAACGATGGCTCTACAGTTCCTTCTCCCTTGAGCTCAATGGTAATGTGGAGGCCAGTCTTCTTGGCGTCAATCAGAACTTCCTCCAAAGTGGGAATGCGTCCACGTTCGATCATGTCGACTGGACAGGCGAATCCGACATGTTGTGGATTGAACTTGAGCTGGAGTGCTTCTTCGTAGGTCAGATCCAAAATGTTGCCGGGTCGGCCACAATAATCCAACAGGTCTCCTGGATTCTCGTCGGTACCTCCACCGTGAAACACAATGAGGGTTCCACACTTTAGAAGAAAGACATCAAGCTCGGCAGCATCCGCTCCAAATTGGGCAGTCTTGATGAACCCAGCCCGAGTGTTCTCGAGTTCCTCGTACATACTGCCTCGATGACCAACAATGATGGGTGTCTTGTTGTATGATTTCGATTCTTCGGAATGGGAAAAGTCCACATTCTGGCAACGAAGAAGAAATGATGGAAGGAGGATGATAATGAGAAACAAATGAATCCTTCGTCAGAAGAGACGTGGCTATTCGCCAGGCACCAGACGCAGCATATGAATGCATGCATTGAAGGCAATTCCTATGCATCAATGACAAGCAGATACATTAGATATACATTTTCAACCTACCAACACCTTTCTCAGTGATTTGTGAGAACTCGAATTCGATAAGAATTCTGCGTTCATTCTTGCCATCATTGCAGCAGAAGCATCATATTCCACCGCAGTGGCAACCATAGTCGTTGACATCTTGTAGTAATAAAAGGTTGAGCTAAAGCACTCCTGTTGACTTTACAGTATCATGAAAACAAGCTTGTTTTCTTGAAGAAATTGTGTGTCAACTCCAATGGATGGAGGTTCGGATTCGAATGCAAAAGTGCGCGACATCAACGGTATCTTTTGTTTCTACCGGACACAAAGAGTTCTGAACAGATGGAAAGAACGCAAAATGCCAACTGTCGTTTTTATCATTTAGAGTGACTAGTCTTTTCTCCGTCAAGAATTCAAAATTCCGAGTCGATTCAAGAATATATGCAGGCGAAACGAGAAATTTTCCATCCAAGGTAAACTTCCTCCAGAAATGAATGGTTTGGAAGTCGTCTCAACGGATGATGATTCTTCTGCCTCCCTTCGTTGATTCTTCTGCTCACTTCACTTCCTTCATGCACTCTTGCAGCTTTGCGATCGACCTAATCATCATACGCGAGTACTGCATTCGGCTCGCTGAAAATCCGCCAATAGTACACGTGTATTGTATACTCCGACTAATCACAGGGTTATTATACTTTCTACATTGTATTTATCTATTTCAACATGCTAGTACTAGCTAGCGAGTAGCTATCCAGATAGTATCTACCTAGTATGCGGGCAATGCAGCGAGCTTTTCCCGCAATTGGACTAGGACATCTGGTTGGTTGACGCACATTTGCTGGACTCCAGTCCGTAACAAGGCACTGTACATGGTCTCATCTTCGTTCCCGACATCCCAATACTTTTCGAGGCAGTCACTCTTCATGCCAATTGGACCTCGCATCCATGCCATGCTTCCATAACCGGCTTTGTGGATGGCTTGAATGATTTCAGGAGTAATTGTATCGTATCGCAAGTGAATCTCGGTCGCTCCCGCTGCTTGTGCTCGTTCCAAGATATTGTCTGGGCGGTCATTAAAGAGTGCACCAGTGTGATACTTGGTCTTGTCCGGTCGAAGCTTCCGGAGATGTGCTATCCGAGAGTGATCAAAGGATGCGAACGAACATTGATCCAACATATCAAGTCGTTCTACAACTTCCAAAGATGGTTCTACGGTTCCCTCTCCTTTGAGCTCAATCTTGATGTAAAGTCCAGTCTTTTTGGCATCCAATAATACTTCCTCCAGTGTCGGAATCCTACCGCGCAATGTGGCATCCGCGGGACAACCAAACTCTTCGTGTTTAGGGTTGAATTTGAGCTGGAGTGCTTCTTCGTAAGTCAGATCCAAAATGTTGCCAGGTCGGCCACAATAATCCAACAAGTCTCCTGGATTCTGGTCGGTACCTCCACCATGAAAGACAACGAGGGTGCCACATTTCAAAAGAAAGACATCGAGCTCGGCAGCTTCGGCTCCCAATTCCGCGGTCTTGATGAAACCAGCCCGAGTATTTTCGAGTTCTTTAAACACGCTTCCTCGATGACCAACAATGATGGGTGTCTTGTTGAAACGGTTTATGTCTTCAACACCGCCATTCGGAGCATCCTCAGCCCTCACACGCTGTCGAAACGAATGCGGTATGAGGCGCTTGTAGATTCGATGGAGGAAAAAAAAACTTATCCAAAAAATCTAACTCAAATCACTTACCAACTGTTTCAGAAAGGATTTCTGAACTAGTTTCTCAACCTCAAATTCGTCCACAAGGAGGGAGGACAGCGTCGTGCTGACAGAACCATCACTGCTGCTGGATGTGAGATCTGTCGAGGTGGAGAGAGTGAAAATACTGCTCTCATCGAGATTCTTCTCTGCATTGGATCTATCATCATTTTCAAGAGTTGACGACGTCATGTAGAGGGTCATGAAGTTATTGTTCGTTCTTCTTGTTCTTGGTGCAATGAATGACGTTGCTGATGGCAAGCAAAAGGCTTGAAGCAAACTGCTTGAAACAGTAGTAGTTGCTTGTGGAGTAAATGCCAAAGTTTGAGGAAACATGTCGAATGTTGTTTGTTGTGTGACGAGACAGAAAATGAATCTTCTAGCTGTTTTGTTGGCTCGTGTTTTGTGTGAACTTCACTTGATCGACATACGGTATCGAATCCGCCAGACGAATCTGACAGCTTGTCAAGAATCTTGGCATCATCAAATCTCATGCATGTCTGATCGGAAGTTGAAATTGAAAATTGATGAAAATGCTTGGCGGGACTTGACCCTTTCGAACAATATCATGACTGACTCAGACTGTCGACTGACTGACTGAATGACTCACTCACTCACTCAAGACTCAAGACTCACCCACTCCGACTCCTTTTACTACATGTAACGGTATAATACCGGTGTGTTCAATTTTGAAATGTCCTTCTTGGGCCACGAAAACATTCCGGATATCCATCATGCAACAATAAAATGCTTCGAAACAGTTGGTGATGGGCACAAGCAACAAATCATTCCGTCGTCATGATGGCATACAAGATGCTTTGGATTCTGGCATTATGCTTACTCGCTACAAGTCTTGCCTTGGTGGAGGGTACCCCCAAACAACAACTACCGGTACCTTTGACTCAAGGCGATTGGAGCAATATTACTGAGAGCTGGGATCATCATACTACTCACGAACGACACCTTAAAATAAACCACCACAACATCAAGAATGGAGTTTACAGCCGACCTCGCTCTCGTCGTCGCAGCTTGGAGTATATGTCTGTGGACGTCTCGAATCCCATGGATTATATTCATGTCGATGTCTCCCTTCGATTTTCGAATACCGGCAAAACATGTGTGACTCTGTTATGCCCTTGATTGGATTGCGATTGGTACTCAAGCATACTAGTCACGGCCCAACATTCCCGTTTTGGGAACGACTCCTCTTCTGGAAGCCTCTGGTTGTACATTTTGGACTCATGTTGGTCACCATTGGCCTGGAACGAACGGAGTCTGAAGGGTTGGTTCAAAATGTTGGCCGCATGCTAGATACCCGTGTTCCCTGGAAGCGATGCATGGGAATTATGTTCCTGGCAACCATAGGGTCTGCAGTATTGTCACGAGACATGATTGTCTATCTGTTTTCGGGAATCAATCGTGGTCGATTTGTGCGTTCGGCACAATGTGGTGGACCCCATGCCCTATCGTTTGTCCTTGTCTTCGGCCGCCAATATTGGTGCCGCCATGACTCTTCACGGAACCCCATCCAATCTGTTGGTGTCGACCGTCGCGTATGATCTGATATCGTGGCAGGAGTTTTTCGTCAACCTCTTGTTGCCATCGGCATCTGCTTCGATCATTAACTGTGTCTTGCTCCTGCTGTTCTATCGGTCCGAATTGTTATATAGTTCCGCAAGAGTAGCTTCCAATTCGGAACAAAGCTATCAAATGATTCTATTGCAAGACGAATCGCAGGATGAGGACCAAAACAATAAGGATGACATTGCATTGGGCCAGACGTCGACGGATACCTGCTGGTCCACTTGGCCCAAGCGCCGGTCCATACTCCAAATTTTTGGCATTGTTGCTTTTGTGAATGGCTTTTGCGCTGGTCTTGATTTTCAAAGGGTTTTCATTGCCGCAGGAGCTTATTTTATGGTTCTTTCTCTTTACAATCGAAAATACTCTAGCGCAGGTCATGGTACCAATGATGATAGTGGTGATGAAGCAGGAGACCAAGTTTCAACTCGAGCCCAGTATGACTATTTTACTTTGGTGAAACAATTGGGACAATTCCTCATTGTTGGTTCTCTGAATGACACTGGAGTTCCACAGTTAGTGGTTTTTAATGCTACGGCATTGGTGGACCACTGTGACTACGATCTCTTGTATGGATTTTGCCAGATTACATTTCTAATAATCATTGCGGCGGCTTCCACCATGTTTTCCAGCATGGCTGTGGTGCAAATGGCTGCTGCTTACCTTCCTTATTCGCCACCCTATGCATGGGCACAAACATCATTTGCGGCCAACATTGCCGGAAATTTGGCAGTATTTGGGTCTAGCACTCACTACACTATAGGAGACCAATTTTCAAAGACAACGGGAAAGTCTTCGCCCATGACTTTTCGGCGATATGCTCTTTTTGGGTTTTTTTCAGGGTTGCTCTCTCTTTTCGTTGGGACTTGGCTCTTGTCGAGTTTTCATTCGCTTTTCGAGTGTTCCATGAGACTTGGAGAGTGTTGAAGATTGGAAAGTGTGACGGAATGAATCGGACACTTTTATGGACATGGACACTGTGCAACCACTAGTAAAACAAGACTGTGATCATAATGTATTGTTTCAAAACTCTGTCACTACATATATATTTTCTAATGCTAGCTACCGGTAGGACTATGCGTCATCGGCCATTCGTTTAGTTGATGTCGGTTTCAGTGTCAGCGAAAACAGGCTTTCCTTGCTTTTCCTTGTTCCGCATGAAGCACAATGCCAAGAGAGCAAGCGCGAACAATCCCCCAAATGTTCCTCCAAGGGCGGCAGCAAGGGTCTTGTCCTCTTCCACTTCGATACTGGAAGTGGATGCGTCAGCACAAGGTCCCATTCCTTCGTAGTAACCGTCCATGGCATCGTTCCACAATCCACCAACGTCGGCACAAGTGATTCCCAAATCAGCATACACGGATTCGAAGGCTTGCTTTACTGCCAGGTGATCTGTGCTAGTGACACCGACCTTCATGTTGTCATAGATGGTCTTGGCTGCGTCTGGGCTTGCTGCGTGGATGCGGGGTAGGACGGCAGCGGCAAAGACAGCGCCCTCCGCAGCCGCCTTTTCGCCTTCGTTCAAGACACCGACCTTGTAAGCATATCGCAAAGTACCTTGGATGAAAGGAATGTACATCAACTTGGTGATTGCCGCGGTTGTCTTGCGGGCAGCTGGACAGTTTCCGGTTTGGAGTTGGAACTTGCCGAGTGCATACTGGTCAAAGATATCGTAGTTCAACTTAGCAGTTCCGGAGAGCTGGCCACCTTCCTCACCACAAGTCTTGAAGTTAGCACAGCGCTTGTCCGCAAGCTGATGAAGAAGCTTTCCATCTGGAGTGAGCCCATCCTTTCCTTCAATGGAGCCAGTGTAGAAGCAAACACCCTCGTCCCAAGCATGGACGGGATCATCGTTGCAGTCAACACATCCACGCTGACAGTCATCCAAAGCATCCTCAAACTCACGGATGACATACATGAAAATGTTCATGAAGACAGTTCCCTTCTTGACGGCTTCAGAACGGCCAACAAAGGAGTACTTAGAGAAATCTGCGTTTCCATTGGAGAAGCTTGTTGCAGTTCCATCCAAGGCGGCGGAGACCCATTGATGAGCATAGTCATCGACACCATAGTAATTGTAGAAATACATGAAGTCTTCGTAAGGACATCCTGGACAGTTGGTGCGCATCCTGTCGGCTGCGGTAGTCGAGAACCCGGCAATGGTCCGACCATTGTTGTTATCGGTGGCTGGATCGTAGACGTAAGCATACTCGTTGCCATTGATGTTCATGCTACCATTGGCTGCAAAACATCCTTCAATATTGGCATTCACGAGGCTGCCAACCTGACAGTCTACATAGCTAGCTTGGATGTCTGTAGTAGCATATTGGACCCAGATGACTTGTGTTCCTGGTTGGTAGGTTTCGTATGCCTTTCCAGCCACTTCCATACCAGCAGCATTTCTGCCTAGGATAGATGTCCCCTTGGCAACAGAAGTTGTCAGTGCAGGAGTCAAAGTGATTTGAGCATAAGACTTTGAGTTTCCACCCTGATTGTAGATTCGAGAAGCAGCAGCAAACGCATCGTTGGTTCCTGGAAGTTGCATATGAGAAATAATAGAGCAGAGTTAGTTCAACCATGCAATCAAAACCGAAGCGCAGCAAGATCGTAAGACGAGCGTTTGCGTACCCTTTGCGAGTTCGACCTCGATGGCAGCTTGGTCAAGATCGATGGCACAGTGATCAGTCACCTATTTGAAAAAAACACTGTAAGATGTGATGACGATCCAGCAAGAACAGAATGATCGAAACACCATCGCTTGCTGGAGCGTACCTGTGATCCTGGGGCATATCCAGCGATCTTTTCAAAGGAAAGGCGCCGGCGAAGCGAAGCACTTTCAGACTCGGCGGTTGCCAAGGAAAGAGCTGAGATTGCCAAAACAGAGATCTTCATCGTTGATATATCGTTTATGTTTTGTGACGCTTCCAAAAAATGAGATCATTTTCAATTTGCTTGGAGCCATCAGCCGGCGAGAATTCTGAGATTTTCCATCAAGAGAAAATGGTATCTTTGCGCGTGTCATCCACAGGATCATTTGCTCGTACTTATTGTACTGGAATTTTGCATGAAACGAAATACACGTGTAAACTTTTCCCATGGTACCGCACAAATCAACGGCTGCGGCAAATCGACCCCAGGAATGCCATGCTTCGTCCCTATTTGTAAAAACAGAGCTGTCAGCTTCAAATTTGAAATGACATGTATGGCATTAAATCATTGCTTTGACGTCGTGTGGTATCACTCCTTCAGCACACGCAAGAGAGGATGACGATTATATCGTCATACCTAGTAATTCTCTCTCTACATGGAACGCTCTGTTGTGACGTTTCTTTTGCAGCTTTTTGAAACTTCTGCAGAGCATGAGATTCACTGTCTTGGAAACACTGACGCAACCAAAACTCTCTCCTTCTGCATTGGCAAAATCGATCTTTCAATACCGGTGAAGCGATGAAATTCATAATAATCTAGTTTTACAGTTTACTCTCTAGCGTCTAGTGCTTAAAAGAAACCCACGAAAAGAGCAGCTGCTCCAGTAATGGCAACAATCATTGCCTTGCTACTGGTGGTGGAAGTAGTAGCAGCAGAGAAGGCTCCACCACATGGCTCCATGCCTCCATAGTACTCGTCCAAAGCCTCATTCCAAAGTCCACCAATATCTCTGCATGTAATTCCAAGATCCGAGTAGACAGATTCGAAAGCAGCCTTGACATCCGAAAAGCTAGTGCTGGTAGCACCCACCTTCATGTTGTCATAGATGGTCTGGGCGGCTTCCGGAGATGCTGCATGGATACGGGGAAGGACGGCAGCCGCAAATGTGGCACCCTCAGCGGCAGACTTTTCTCCCTCATTGAGGGCATCGAGCTTGTAAGCATATCGGAGAGTTCCTTGAATGAAAGGAATGTACATTAGCTTGGTAACCTCGGCAGTAGTAATGCGTGCGGCATCACACTGTGATGATTCCAATTGTTGCTTGCCCAACTCGTACTTTTGGAAGAGGTCGTAGTTCACCTTGGCAGTTCCCGATAGTTCCCCACTATTTTGACCGCAAGTCTTGAAATTGATACAGCGCTTATCTGCCAATTGATGAAGAAGCTTTCCATTTGAAGTCAAACCATCCTTTCCTTCAATGGATCCCGTGTAAAAGCAGACACCTTCATCCCAGGCGTGGACTGGATCGTCGTTGCAGTCAATGCAATCCTTCTTGCAGTCGTCAAGAGCATCTTCGAATTCACGAATAACGTACATGAAAATGTTCATGAAGACGGTTCCCTTCTTGACGGCTTCAGAACGGCCGGCGAACGAATACCGAGAAAAGTCGGCGTCGCCATTGTCAAAGCTGGTAGCAGTTCCATCCAAAGCAGCCGTGACCCATTGGTTGGCATAGTCATCGACACCATAATAATCCTTGAAATACATGAAGTCAGTGTAAGGACATCCGGGACAGTCGGTGCGCATTTTTTGTCCAGCCTCTGTGGAGAACCCGGCAATGGTACGTCCATTGTCATTGTTGGTGGCGGGATCGTAGGTGTAGCCATAGTTGGATCCCTCAATAGTAATGGAGCCATTGGCAGCAATGCACCCATCCAGATTTCCGGCTTCACCAAGCGCTCCTACTTGGCAGTTGACGTAGGAAGTTTGGATATCACTAGTGCCATATTCGAATCGAATGGCAGTGGTTCCAGCTTGGTAGGTTTCAAAGGCAACTCCTGCAACGTCACGTCCTTGCGAGTCCTTTCCAATCATTGCCTTTCCCTTGTTGACCGAAGTTGTGAGGCCAGACGAAAGGGTGATGTCCGCATAGGACTTGGAGTGGGCACCTTGGTTGTAGATCCTCTTGGCCAGGGCAAACGAGTCGTCAGTGGCCTTGGCGAGCTCGAACTCAATGGCTTGTTGATCCAGATCAATAGCGCAATGATCGGTTACCTGAAACAAAGATGAAAAGTGTCAGAGGAGAAGTCTTGAAGGCAAAATCCAAAAAAGAAGAAGAAGAAGACGAAGAACAAACACATACCTGAGATCCAGGTGCGTATCCTGCAATCTTTTCAAAGGAAAGGCGACGAACACTGTTGTTGTCAGCATTCACCAAATAAGGGAGGACGGAAACTGCAAAGAGAGAGAACTTCATTGTTTTGTCGCAAATTTGAAAGAGAAAAACTATGACAAGAAGCAATTCTGAGAGAAATGATTGCGTTGATGTATCTTTTTTCTTCGCATCGGATGGCACGGAGAACCCCGTGCCATTCGCGTGTCAAAAGTTTGAAATTGATGTGTGGTTGACAGCAGTCGATTTGGTCAAGGATCCGCCTGGACGTCCCCCGATCCGCCACCTAAAAAACAAATATGCGCAATCAAAATTTGAGCCGCGCGCGGTCGATTTTTTTAAATTAATATACTGTATTGCGCTTGTGGATTTGATAATACTGTAACAATTGCAAACATATCTTTTAATAAGAACAATGCCGTACAGTAGTAACAGAGTGGACATCATGAGACTTTCCCCACGAAAGGGACGGATGAACGAGATTGCTGCTTCAGAAGCAATGGGAGACGTCGGAAATGGTGATCCCAGTCAATCGAATAATGCAGATATGATTCCAAATCGAGGAAGAACCATCCTACTGTTGTCATTCTTCATGTTGTTTCATGTTCAATTCAATAAACGCCGTGCATCGTCGTCGCTATTCGATGAAATTCCTAGAACGAAACCAAGGATGGGAGTGATTCAAAGTGCAGCGACCAACTGGCTCTCTATGGACTCCATGATGAAGGCCAAGCCGCTTGCAATGAGAGAAACCAATTCAGGTTTCTCAGAACCGACACTACCACCAGAAACGAGAATACCAGCACTGGTAGCCCCAACGATACCATCGACTGACGCCCAACCAAAGCGCACCAAGAAACAAAGATCAACTAGTCCATACCAGAATGAGCACAAAAAGGTGGTAACAGTGGTGGCGCAGCTGAATGGCGAATTGGGAAATCAAATGCACAAGATTGCCAATGCCGTGTGTGTCCAACGGCACATTGAACGGAAGTTACAGTTGCCCACCGAACTCAAGTTGCGCGCCCAAGACAACGCCAAATGGGAGCGTTCCATGAAAAATATGAAGGAAGCCTTTCCAAGCACAAGACCCTTGAACTTTCGAGCCGGCAATACACCACTCTTTGATCAGGTCCGACAGATTCAAGAGGATTGGATTCAAAGTTTGGTGGCTAACAAAAAGGTCAATTTAACTGGAATTGGCGATCCAAAGGTTATGAATCGCATGAAATCCAGTGGATGGCAACCCACCCAAGAAATTTTGCGACTTTTGAATCAAACGTGGTACATGGATCGGCCAATGGCACCTGGTGGGAATACCGAGTTTTCCATTCCTCATATTTATTCCGATGCCTTTACGAGTCGATATTGTTTTGAGAAGATGCTAACTGAGATTCGAGACTTTTTTGCCATTGATGAATATCGGATTTGCAAACAAAAGCCACAGCCCGATGAATCCGTCTTGCACTTGCGCAACTTTTTGGTCGAAATGGGCAAAGCGGGCCGAGACTTGGGATTTGAAGAACTGAGTCCGGAAAAGACGGCGACGGAAATCTTTGCCAATTACACACCAGGAGATAAGGTGGCCATTGTCAGTCGGTTCCAAACCAACACGGACAAGTACATCAAGGCCCTCAAGGAGATCCGAGGCATTGACGCTAGATACATCAAGGGACAGACAGGAAATCAAGACTTTTGCTTTCTTCTCAAGAGTCGGAAAGATATCATCGGTCAACGGGTTTCTACCTTTGCCACTTGGGCTGGCTTGCTGGGAAGACCCGAACGACTACGCTTGTATTCCGTCGATAGCAAATACACTCGAGCCAAAAAGAGGAGTTTCTACAAGGCAAAGTGGGATCATCCCGAGCTGAAGAAAGTGATTGTCTATGAGAACTATAAAGCTTGATGAACTAATGGATGAATGGATGAAAAGCTGCTTTCTTCCTTGCATACAAGTGGAACCGAAAACCAAGGCGGAGGCATATTTCATTGTGGTATTTTGCCGAGTTATGGGGTTCATGTCCTTACCTATCTTTTCATGTATGTGGGATTGGTCCTGGTGCCTCTGATATGACAATCATTCTCTTGGGACTGTTCTTGAGGAATTGAGATGAGGATAAAGCGAGGATTTCGTCGATGTAATCCAGAAACAGCGACGTTTCATCATTGTGTTTCAATGGAATAGAATCGCTTTGCCAAACGATACTACAAAACTTGCGGAATTTCACAAGCTCCCTTTGATACGAGGCTAAAGTTGTTGGGGTTTACATATAAGTACCTTCAATACTGCATACAATTTTCAAGCAGATACCATTCAAGCCGTTTTCGCTTGGTTACTTTGCTATGCATCACACTAAAGTTGTTTGAAATTTTTGTCTGTGATGTTCCGCCAATGCTGCATGCCGGCTTGAACAGTCAATGCTGCTTTGACATGATTATACCAGAGTTTTTGGGCATTTCATGTGTATACGACTTCAATGCTGCATGCTGAGTTCAGTAAGAAGGCTCCTTTCACTTCCAGGCAGTACGAATGCATTTCGTGAAAACTATAACATGACTACCTGGTACTGCTCAGTACGTGTACCAGCAAAAAGATTGCGCGACCGAGGATGCTGGACCGGTATTCTCCATCTTGGCGTTTGCTGGAAAGTGCTGGGATGCTTGCAAATCGTCCTATAGCCAATTTGACCCCTCGACTCGGAAGGGTTATTTTGTTCCTGTTTTGGTCGTTGGCAAAAACTGCATGCAGTTCCCACCAAACGATAAATCCATGTCGCATGTGGTTTTTCAGAACGTCTTCTGGTTGAGTTTTCATGATGGTATTTAGGAGATCAGACGGACATTCTGAGAAAAAACGACCCCTCTGTTGAAAAGGAGGCGGAACAGACAGGTCAAAGGGATGCTACTGTACCGGTACTGTATTGATGGTCTGCCTCAGAGAGATGCTCGTTTTTGGTCGAAACTGGAAAGTGACGGTACAATACAAGAACGTAAAATTGTCTTCTTGGTTCGTTCTCTTGTGATACTCTTTTGTAACGGTAGGCAGAATAGCTCCTGAGGAGGCAGTTCTTGAGGGAGAGGAGCGAGGCCTAGTGTCGCTACCGTTGCTGGTACAGTATGGTACGCATCTATGGCAGCAATTTTCCCAGAGCATTCGGTGCTCAACTTCCAATTACGCAAGCAACAATGAACCAGTATCGCTGCCATGACAGCAGTGCGAGTTGGTGCTTAACATGTCCTCCCGAAACCTTGGGAAGAAGTCGGACTTTTATTGATAAACTTCAAACGTTGATGGCTGGCCACTGGGACCTCTACTGGTACCGTACCAGTACTCGTACCAGTGGAACCATCTGTAGCTGTGGGACCGCTCGCGCTTGAATTTTCAGAACTCCATTATTGGCCAATTCCAATTTATGCATGTGGGACATTCAGACGTCTGAAGAGCATTGAGGAGAACATTTTTTTATTTGTTTGTGTTCTCAAGCGCTATTATACTTAATAACTTTACACAATTCAATTCTGAGATACTTATTGAGCAAAAACCTATTTGCTCTACGATGGGGAACAAAGATTTGGAACGTTCAGGATTTGTCCATCTGATGACGGTTCAGTTCAATCCTTCATGCAGAAATAAACTTGTGCCGTAGAAAATGTACCAGTGCCAGAGGAATTATTCGCGCCACCAAAGCAGATTTCACAAAGTGCACAGAGGCGGTTCATTGCACAGCCATTAGTCTGACCATAAATTCAATCGTAGAGTCAAATTGCAATCATGGGAAAACGTTTCAACAAGATCAAGAACTGCTTCAGACTCAAGAAGAGGGCAGTATCATCCTGTGACAAGGAGGTCTCTTTCGACTACCGAGCCCTGCCTACTGATATGAAGAGGGCCATCATTGATTTCTTGCCTACAGATGATATTATCAGTTTGACACAGACTTGTAAAGGCATGGCCGATGAGCTCGGTCTTTCAAGATCAACACAACCGGTACAGAAGCGAACGTCACCACAGAGTATCTCCGTCATGTCATTTGGCAACATGATAAATCCCCTAAGCACTGTTGCGGCTATTCTCCCTACAGAACCCGAGCGAATTCAATCCATTTCGTTTCAGTGCGATTGGGTGGACCAAGGAATGGGAAAGCAAAAAGGAAAGCTATTTGTAGTGGCACAAAAGAAAAGTTTACTATATGGAAAGAATTCCAAGAGGTATCAAACTGTCCCATTCGAACAAGGAAGAGTCGTTTGTGAACCATCAAACGCAGGCCATATTATGTCCAATGTTGTGGCTACCTTCCATCCAAAACCAGATGAGTTCTACCAAATATGGTGTTTCGTTGGTGACTGCTACGGCAATATGCTACACTTCCAGAATATGAGGTTTCATGTGCTGCGCTATGGTGAAAAGGCGAGCCCTTGTCCCATGCTACGATACCGCTTTTCCTACCAAGAAGACGACGAAACGCACATGAAACGAATGAGCATCCGATGGATGGATTACATGTTTTTCAAAGGCGCACTGCTGGAGCAATAGACCTCGTTACCGTAACTTTATATAACTGATAGAAGATAGATTTCCCAATGCATCACAACCCACATTTGATTGATTGCAATTTCGTTCTCCTTCGCCACGACTTGGAGAAAAATCCTCCAAAAGGAGCGAGTCGCGCTTTTAGCAATTCTTTTTCATTCTTGCGTATACTGTACTGTCATAAAAATCAAGCACATTATATTTACCAAAAGACACCGGCACGGTCAGTCTGACCTCCACCTCCCATTTCTTCTTATCAACTGTGACACTTCGGCTCGGTAGTGTTTCCAGTCTGTCCTTATTCCGAGCGTTAACACATCATTATAAATCTTCCAGTCCAAAAAAGGGGGTGATCGCAAATTTTTTTTTTGCGCCCGCCCTCCTTTTTTGCCGAATCAATGATCTGATTCATCGCATCGATCACTGCACTGTCAGCGCAGTGTTATCTATCGTCAGAGCACTCCTGAAAAGATACACTGCCACCTCTTTGCCTCCTCGATTCTGCACTGATCCAATGGATGCCAATGCACTGCCTACGCCTCGAAGAAGAAGCAAGCGAGTTCAAAGCACTTCCAAACAGTCTACTAACGATGACTCATCGGACAACATTGTCACGCCAGATATTGTACAAAGCAACAAGAGGCACAAACACATGAAGGGTTCGACGACCAAAGACACAACTTCAATCAAGGTGGAAGTCGTCAAATCTGCAATTGTGAAAAATGCCAAGATGAAGGTGAAGCGACCCTCTCCTGCCGAATCTTACTATGTCACAGCTGCCTTGTCCAAATTGCATCCGGAGATTGTAGACCGCAATGACGAGCGACGAAAGAAGGCTCACCAGTCCTGTGGGAGTCAAGATACTATCACAGATTCCATCATGCATACCATGCTGTCTCAGAATACAACCGATGCCAACAAAGATCGAGCCTGGGCTAGTTTGAAACGGAAATTTCCAACCTGGGATCAGGTGGAATCTTGTGAGAATCTAGACGAGATTGAAAGCGCCATCAAAGTCGCTGGATTGGCAAAGACAAGGGCGCAGCGTATGCAAAATATTCTTCGTCAAGTAAAGCAAGAAAGAGGGGAAGCTAGTCTAGAATACATTCGGGATTTTGATGATGATAAGGTAAAGAAGGAACTATCGAGGTTCAAAGGACTGGGACCCAAGACCATTTCTTGTGTTCTCTTATTTTCTTTGGGAAGAAATGAATTTCCAGTAGACACTCATGTCTTGCGAATCACTCAAAAGATGGGTTGGATCTCGAGCGGCACAAATCGAGAACAGGCATACGAATACCTGAATGACAACATTCCAAACGAAATCAAAATGGACTTACATTGCCTTTTGGTCCGCCACGGAAAGGTTTGTCACAAGTGTGCTGCTAATGGAAGGCCCCAATTTCCGCCTGAAGATGGTAGCCAACTGGATTGCCCTCTCCTCAAAGTGTCATCTTGGAAAGGCAGTGTTCCCGGAGCTTTTGTGGTGCACCTTGCCAAAGCTTACGGCGACAATACGTCATCGTCAGCTGTCGCAATCAAGTCTGAGATAGTTCCAGATCTTCCAAAATCAAAATAGATTATCGATATGTTCTAAGACTAATCCTATACTTCTCCAGCCGATATTTAGAAACAGTACAGCGACATTTTGTTGTAGAGTTTTTCAGTTGATCAAGTGTGGATCCAATGCAACGGTCTTCTTGAGGTTCGAAAAGACTTTATTACTTTCCACTCTCTGGAGTAGAGCTTCGCAGACACAGAAAAAGTCATGCAACGAAGTGACTTGGTGAGCCACCTGGGCCAATACCGTTTTGGGAACTCCACGTTCACCCGAGTCATTCCCTTTGCAGATCTTCACCTTGCCCCGGTGGTAGCTCGCCCACACTCCGTTCCTGTAGACTTTTGCACACAGGGGAAAGATTTCGTCCACTTTCGCTGCTGCTGGTTCAAAGTTTTTCACATCTTCCTTGGTCAGGCGGTAAAAGACTGACACCTCCGGGCAAAAAAGTTGGTACTGAATGTAGTCGGATAGATGTCCCATATCGCTGATACCGATCCTGTCTGTATCATTATTCGCTGCAAAGTCCAAGTATTCCTGAATAAGTTTGCCCCGTTCCGTGTAGTACCTTTCACCTCGTTCCGATAGCTCCATCGCAAACACAGAGCGCGAGTATCCTTTGTTCTGGGGCCATTTTGCGGCAACCTTGTCCATACCAATCAAGGCATGCTGCAAGCTTTCAAATGGTTCTGGAATAAAAATTAGATCGGAATCGCCGCCCTTGCCTTCCACAAAGCCTCCACTGGTAGGCGAGCATGGATAAGGGCACAACCACTTGGAACCCATCTGAAACATCATCTTGTTCGCATGAGGGAAGATTTCATTGACGTTGGGACTTCCTGCCTTGGGCACAAATGGAACGAATGTCTCGGCTACTTTGTCCGCTTCATCTAAAGCAATTCTGGGTAGCACAATGTCATCCGCAATGGTTTGCTTGGCAACCAAACGGACATGAAAGCTGGTTGTGGATCCATAATCATATTCGACAGGGACGCTGGTCCCGATGTTCCACCATCGAAATCGTTTCAGCGGAACATTGATTGGGAGAGAATCCGGGAATTCGCCTCGGGTCATCAAGTAATTGTCCAAGGCCATTTTTTGCTCCTGGGTCCACTGATGAGTATTACTAGTAGGAGCAGTAGTAGTAGTAGTACTAGCAGTAGCAGCAGTAGTAGTAGTAGTATCCTCACGTCCATATTCAGTATGATCGTGTCTCACAAATTTCCACAAGTGACCATAAACTGCGCCATCGCCGTCACGGTAATCATCAAGCCACTCCTCGCAAATCAAAGTCATCATGTGCAGAAGTGTTTGGTCCGGGCTTATTTCGAATTGAATTCCATCGCCTCCTCGACAGTCCACTTGGAATTTGTAGGATTCTTGCATCATGATTGCTTGATGGTTTTTGGTTGTTGAGAAATTTGATGCAAAAGAATTGTCCTGGATGATGAATAATGATATATGTTATTATTCACTTTGAACTTTTCTTGTTGATGATGGCCCGATGATAGGAGTGGATCTGCCACCATCATTTTTTACCAATGCGTTTTTATGGATCGTGTGCCGACTACAGTGACTTGATCTAAGAGAAATGGAGAAGTGGAAGACCTCATTGCAAAGATTACCAAGATTACACTAAACCGCAATCCCTATAGTTCTAAAGCCAAGAGTGTATCGATGCTATGCTACTTCAACACGAGTTAGAAATCTGCAATGATGGTGAGTGATCACGGAGATTTATTCAGTAGTGGTCGATTTCCATACATCCATTCTTGCTAAACGCAAACTGAATGACCTCCCCGCACAAGCAAACGTCTACTCCCTGATGGACCAACGAAAACCAATCTTCTCCAATTGATGGATCTGGTGATCAGAAATATCGGGCCTTCCTCCTTGACCTTTGTATCTTTGTCGCTGGTATACTATCCATTTGTATAACTGTGGATGCTCAGAGAGGCTTCCTGGAAACCGACCATTCGCCTTCAAAAACAGGACAAGCTCATCATACTGGCCTTGCCACTCTATTTCCTCACGATTTGATTCCCAAGGAAACTCAATCCGCTCCAACAAATAGATCTGCGATCTGGAGAGTTGCTCACTCCGTATACCCTCCCTTTTGTATTTACGTCGCTGCCTTCCCAGCCACAAACATAAACTACGATTGTCATCTCGCCGTACTAGGAAATGCCCATGTTGCTTCCAAAATTCCACCAGTTCATCGTATTTCACATACCAAGCTCTCAAACGCTTTCCGATTGGCAACATTGGACATTCAATGCTCTCCAATACTGTCTTTTGCTCATCTGAAAGTAACACATATCCAAATTCGCTTCTCTGCCTGTGTCGTTGCTGCCTCATCCAACGATTCAGTTTTGGGTCGTCCTTATGACCCGGGAGTCGCCCATCATGTTCGTCCCGATACCTAACCAGTTCGGCATACATCGAATTCCAAGCCATCCGCGGCTGGTCTTTGAGGAATGCAAAGTCAATTTGTTCCAATAGTTCAAATTCCTCGTCCGACAGTGGCCTGTATCCGTCCGTTCCCTTGTACCGTTCCTTCTGTGTCTGAATCCAATTGTAGATACTTGGGTTGTCCTTTTTCTTAACCTGAATATGCCCCTCTTCCTTGTAGAGCTCGACAACTTCTGTATACTTTCCATGCCACACTCGCTCCTTCCAATCCAGCGACCAGCAAAAGTGAAGCTCTTCCAAGTGATCGATTTGATTCTCTGTGATTGCTGGTTCCGTGATAATGCCGTGATACCTTTTCCGTTGAGTAGTCATCCAATCGTAGAGATCTGGATCGTCGTCTTTATTGACCTGAAGGTGGCCGTGCAGGTGGCAGTACTCAACAAGTTTGTTGTACATCTCAATCCAGATTTTCCGTTTGCGTTCCCAAGGAAAACCAATTTTGTCCAATAAAGTTATTTGCTCCTTTGTAAGTCGACCTTTCTCCCGTTTCATCCGTTGTGTATGTGACCACGAATACTGCTTCGGATGAGTTGGTTCCTTTGGCCAGCAATGTCCATGATTCTTTTGGAATCGTACGAAAGCGTTGTACTGGTCAAGCCACAAAGCATCGTAACGGTTTGGAATCCAAGGGAAATCAATTTCATCCAACAATCTTATCCGATCGTCGGGGAGAGGATCACGTCTATGCCGTTGCCAATGAATCCAATGAAATAAGGAATTGTCCTTTGGTACCCAGAAATGTCCATGCTTGTTCTTGAATTCGACAAGCTTATCGTAAGACGCATACCATCTGATCTCTGCATCGTTTGAGTTCCAATTAAACCCAATATCATCCAGTAACTTCCGTCGTGTTTCTGAGAGATTATTATTATATCGTTGCTTGTAAATCCAGCAATACAGAGACTCGTTCCATGAACGGGTCACACTCATGTTCCCGTGTTCGTTACGAAAGGCAACAAGCTGGTCGTACATTTCCATCCATGTTTGCCTACTACTACATTCCCAGGAGAAGTCAAGTCTGTTCAAGAGGTTGATTTGTGTCTCAGAAAGACTTGGGTATCCTTCATGTCGCCTCCGCCTTCGACTTTGATCCCCTACCCAAGTGGAAAGAGAAGCATTTTTCCTACGGCTGACACGGACATGACCATTGTTACGGTGGAATTCTACGAGCTCATGGTACCTGTCATACCAGCAGGCTTTGTTCCTGTTGAATTCAAATCCAAGCTCCTCCAGTCGACGACAACGAACACCCCTATCAAATTGTCGTAGGTTCCTCGAATGACTGGTACTGCACCCCTTGTACTTATTGCATTCGATGCGCTGAACACGACAGAAACTCGCCAGTGTTGGATATTCCTTCTCAAGTGTCGCAGTAGGATTCTGAGGAAAGTTGCAATGGCCGTGCTCGTCCTGGAATAAAAGGAGCTCTTCAAATTGCTCGTCCCATTGAGAGGGCACAATTGGTGGATCTTCCGTGGTGACAACAGCATCAGCTGTCTCGTCAACAAAAGCAGCGGAGAAGACCCCTGTCGTCGTCGAAATGCCAAGCAAGGAAGCAGATCTCTGTTGAAATGAGGCACCGAGAAAGGGCTGGAGCAGTAGAAGCGTGAGAATCATAGCAATGCTTGTAAACGTCGCATCATAATGTCTGCCAGAAGGTGTCCTGATCATAGAGTTGGTTGGATGCCAGATGGATTAGACATTCAATAGGGCTCTGTCTGTTGACACTGAAGAGGAAACGGGGTACTCGTACCACCGGTAGGCGACGATGATATGAGTCTGTGTTTTGTTGGTGGATGCGTTTGGATGTTGGTTCACGCATCAATGCGCACATTTCCGATTCTCTCTTTCGACGTCATACCGGCGGTGCTGTCATTATAATATTGTGGTGCCAGCAGTTCTGGAACTTTTGTGCCGTGCTTTTCAATTGGGCACTGTAAAAGTACCTTAATTCCGGCAGATTTGGACCGCAGAATAAAAAAATGGAAGAAGAAAAATACACGACAAACAATAAAACAACGACGAGAATCTTCTCCTTCTCCGCATAAAACCAAAAGGAGACATAAACAACATACAAAAACATACACTGCAAAAATGAAACACTTTGATCAATCATTTATCACGTTGCTAGTATTGCTGCATGTCAGCCTACTTTTGGGCCTCACGCAAGGCTTTTGTCCTGAAAGTTCTTGTCGTGTGAGCCATCACCAATCACGACAAGAACGACAATTGCAAAGCAGCAGCGACGATTTTTTTGGACCCAACACTGAACGAGACAACCACATGCCAAGCAGCTACAGGGACCTCGATCCATTGGCTCCATACCCAATGGACAAGCTTGAAAATGGAGGAAAGGTTACACTCGTCGGATCGGGTCCAGGAGATCCGGAGTTGTTGACAATGAGCGCCTACAAGCTGTTGCAAGATCCCGAGGCCTTTTTCATCTGTGATCGATTGGTGAGCAAAGAGATTGTGGATATGATACAAGGCGAAGTGAAGACTGCGAGGAAAATTCCGGGGTGTGCCGAAATGGCCCAAGAAGAAATTTACAGTTGGGCCCACGACGCCTTGTCTCGTGGCAAACACGTCGTTCGGCTGAAGATTGGAGACCCTTTTGTGTTTGGACGAGGCGGTGAAGAAGTTATTAACTTTCGCCGATTTGGAGTCGAGCCAAAGGTTATCCCAGTAAGTATTATACATACATATTGGTGCTTCTGGTACCGCAGACAAAATCTTAAGGTCGTCGACTAACATTTGTTTTTCTTGCAGGGAGTTTCAGCAGCATTTTCGGCTCCACTACTAGCCAATATTCCTGTCACACATAGGGGCGTGGCAAATCAGGTGGTCATGTGCACAGGCTATGGACGTGAGGGATCATCGCCCGACTTGATTCAGTATCACGAGGAGCAAACAGTCGTCTTCCTCATGTCTGTTGGAAGGTTGAGAGAGCTTTCTGAGAGATTGATTAAGCTTGCAGGCTTTCCCGCCGATACACCCGTGGGAATTGTTGAAAAGGCCGGGTGCCCTGATCAACGAACGGTGGTTGGGGATATGTCAAATATCGCCGATCTAGCTGCACTTCACGACATTCAGCCACCTTCCACGATTATTTTTGGCAAAGTGGTGAACGTTCTTCTCGACTCTGATCAATACGAAATCATCGAAGGACTGGTGAAGTCAGCAGCAAAGCCTTTCGCAGCGAAGTTTGCTAACTAAGGCATACACGTGCCTACTACATTTACAGTAATACTGCAGTCTGCAGTGTATTGGATGCAAACTTTTCACATTGGGCACTGTTGAAGTACCTTTTTTACAACTTGAACATATGCCATTTTTTTCTTGAGATATTTATTTTTACAGTACAAAACCATTTATGGATACCCACTTCTTTTCTCGTCGTCTATTGCCATTGAAACGATACAGACTGCATAGAGGATGTTTCTGGGCCCGTTCCTTACACTCGCAAGCTTCTTGGCAGGAAATTCACATACATACCTTGCTGGTGATGCTACGAGGTCTCCATCCTCATCATCGTCACTCCTGAAAAATGCCAAAACGTACGAGATCTGTATTTCTCCCGGTTGTGTCGCCGATGGTGCCGACCAGCTGCTTTCTAAAATGCAAGCCCTTGCACCCTCTCATGTATCGGTAAAGCCGGGTGATTGCTGCTCACTGTGCGGAAATGGGCCCATTGTCTTGGACGGAAACAACAAGAAACATCGCAAAGTCAACGACGTCAAACTGATCGAGTTGCTCTTTGGAGAAGAAGGAATGAATTCACAACAACAAGCAATATTGGATGCCTTCAACTTGGTGGTGGAAGCAGAAGGTTTTCTCGAGAAAAAGAATTATGAAAAAGCTGTCGAATTGTATGGAAAAGGAATTGAATTGGGAAATGAACCTGCGACTGCGACTGCTATCTATCCACCAAATGACGGCGACGACGACAAGGAACCGATACCAGCGGCACTTCAGTGGTTAGTCAATGCCCGACAACAAGAAGCTGTCGCAAAATTGAGTATGAAGGACCTGGACGGGGCTGTCCTCTCGGCACAATCTGCATGTGAATTATCAGGCAATTCTTCCTTGGAAGCCTTGGAAGTGTTGCAAGAGGCTCAAGCCGCTCTAGGTGATCCACAGGGAGAACTAGAGACCCTTCAGATTTATTTTGCTCTTCCTGAGCCTATCAAAATGACCACCATGCAATCCAACAAGAGACGGAACCTTGGTTTTCGGTTGCAAAAGTTGGAACGCGAGCAGCAGGGCAAATGAAGGAATTAAGTATAGAATAGTTCATGCTCAACTTGATTGAATATATATGATAGGTCAGCCGAATGCTGCTTCAGGTCATTGCCGATATGATAGCTACAGTAGCTAGCTTCTATACCGGTACATTGTCGTAGACCGTTAGGGGACCAGCAACTGGCATTGTTGCCGAAATGTTGGGAAATGGACTTCGCAAGCTGGTTGGTCGCTTTTGCACAATCATGATAGCAGTGAAGTGTTTTGGCGGAAAATCATCCACTGACGCATTGGCGATAGGCTTGAACGGCTCCAAGTACAGATCAACTTGATAAATGCAAATGCAACTCAAGTCGATTGGTCTCCTATTGTTTTGTCGTTTGTTCTTTCTTCATTTTGGCCACCATGAATTCCATTCTTTCGGTGACCCAATCGTACAGTTCTGCTTTTTCCTTGATTTGATCCCGATGCAAGCTGATTTCCCCATCTCGGACACTCTCGGCCACTTTCAATAGCTGACCCCACATGGCGCCAATCACAGTTCGTGTCGAGAAATTGATAAAGGACATGGGAACACCAGTGACATGGGAGTTGACAGTCATGCGCATACCAATGTGAATGATTTCATCTCCTTTTGGTAGTTTGTTCCTTTGCTCCTCAGATTTGGGATACAAGGGATGATCTTCGGGACACCCCCGGACGAGAATACCGCTCTCAAAATCAATCCGGACCGCACCCTTCGGGGGCTCTGGAATCTGAGAAACAACAAGAACGAGTGAGCCAGGCATTGCTATTACCATTATTATTGTCAGCCGTCCCATGGTGAGTGAAAATATGCAAACGGAATCGGCAACAACGCGACAGGAGCAAATAATAGTAGTAAAGAAACTTACCACCGGATCGTCTTGACTACTCTCTGAAATGACATGAATGGCAATAGCACCCTCTTCTTCAATCACATCTACTGCCATAGAATGCATCATGACTTCTCTGGTCGCAAAAAATAAGGGCATCGCCACTTTGACCTGAATAATTTGATTCCCTCGTCCATATTCAGCAAGCATATTGGATTCTTGAACACCAATCTTGAATGGCTTTTGCCAGGATGGCATCCATTCTTGATAGAGAGACGACTCGTTAAAGACGGCTAGCAATGGTACCAAAAGACTGCTTTCAATGGAAGATTCAATTCGGCAAAACAACTTGTTGGTGTCCGGTTCCACCTGATAATACACAAAGAAATCTCTGTCGCCGTGAGATTCACTTTGTTTGGTCCAGCCACTGCCTTCCTCATCTGGTGAATCCAACAGAGCCTGCATGCTACGTTGCACTAAAACGGACCATTTTAGAATGCTCCGGTGTTCCCTCGCTAGCAATTCTTTGTCTTTGACCTTTCTCAGGAAATTGGCAGCATTCAACAGGCGCTCTTCTGAAGCTTCTGCTTCGGCTTGTTGAATCAAAGTCGCATCATCGACGTCGCTTTCTTCAGTTTCTGTATTGCTGTCGTTGCTCATTTTGTTGTCATGTAAGTTCCGAATGAAAGATATACAGTAGGGTTACAAACGGAGGTGGAACGAAACTACTACAATCTGTACCGGTAGCAATGCTGAATATACTATATATGCTGGCACTTCAGTCGTGGTCTTTGTTTCTCCAGTTCTCCGCAATACGGCCAACAGTGGTACAGTAGAATGAAGGACAGGCGCTGTATAGTTCCCCTACTCTATCACTATTGTGCTTTTGAGCAGCGTGTCTTCTATAGAAATCCTTTTTCATGGTACGTAGTATACGACTAATCGTATCGCCAATGTTGTTCCAAAGACTTGTTGCAAGATAATGAGGAGCTTACTATTCGGGCTTGCTGTCACTACTATTGTTGACCAAAAATAATATCACAGCACTTAATGAATAAGAACATCAATCTATCTAAAACTCTTGTTTATACAAAATGTTGGAGTACAATTATTTCACTAGATCATTTTCATCACCCACGCAATTGTTTGCTCGGACTTCCTCTGATACCTTTCTCGCAAGTTCAATAGCATTTAATACAGGCTCACTTGACACCTTTCGGTAGGCTCTGGCTATGTGAAAGGGGGAGTTCAAACATTCTCTCCATTGATCTTCTTGTTCGCCCAATACCGTATCCCAGGCGTCTTCTTGGTTTTCCTGTAGCCGTGAAGATCCGTCTACCGTGCGCGATTCCAACCCCAAGCACGTCTCTTCCTCATCACTTAATAGCTCGCCTTGGTCTATCTTGTCGATACAAGCATATAAACATCGTCCTTGAAGGCATCAAAGTCCTCATTTTCGAACCAAATAGCTTTCTTAGACTGACGAGATATTTGACTACGACGTCGGATTACTTCATGGACCACTGGCTCTTCCGCAAAACGAACGCGGACTGGCTTGGTCCGTGGCAAGTCTTCGTCGAGCCCCCCTTCAATAACGGAGAGGGACATGAAAGAAGAACTAGATCCATCTTCCAATAGATCCATCAAACCGCTTTTTGTGTAGTCCTCTAGAGCTTCATCCGAAACCTGTCTAGCCAATTTGACAGCCCGAACTTCAGCATCTCGCGAGGCTTCACGGTAGGCTTCAGCGAGCTGCACAGAGGATATCCTCCCTTCTTTTTTCTGCTGATCTTGTTCCCACAAGACCATGTCCCGTGCAAGCTCCTGGTATTCTTGTCGGATAGCGCTGCCTTTTTCCGTTTGGCATTCCAAGCCCAGCGATGTGTATTCATTGCTCTTCCATTGCTTTTCTTTTTCCAATTTCTCGACACTCTTTTCGATGTCGTCTATAAAGGATTCAAAGTCCTCGCCGTCAAACCAAATGCCATCCATTGACTTCCGAGATATCTGACTTCGGCGTCGAAGAACGCCATGTACTTCTTCTTCGTCAGCAAACTTGACTCCTTTCTTTATTCGAGGAGGAGTCGCGTTGGAGAGATCGGTTTGAAATCGTAGGTTCTTCATTTCTGGACTGTGAAAGGGATTGGCAAGCAAAGGTACGATTGATTTTATGAGCATCATCATGGTGCGTGCTTTTTTGTTTGTCAAATGCCATGCGAATTTACTGAATGCCCCAAACACACGAGAAAAGATCGCAACCCATAAAATCCGTTTCACCGAAATGTGGGCATAATGCTGGAAAATGCTATTTGTAATGGAAAACGTTTCTCCGAACCCGACGACGTTTCTTATTTTAGAGTCATGATCGCATGAACGATATCACATATCACATCACAGGCATCCATGATGAGAACTGCCACTCTCCTCCAGTTCTACTATATATACGATATCTACTATTCCAATACCTCGTGATGGCAGAGGAGAGGCCAACTTACTCGCGGTGGCTATACGTTGATGCATGAATGTAGTACTGGTCAGGAAAACTGTTGGACTACTGGCGCCTTCAGTAGATACATTTCATCATCCGCGCAGTTCTTGTCAGCTTGAACTTCATCTGATACTTTTCTAGCTTGCTCAATAGCATTTAAAACAGCCTCTCTTGAAACCTTTCGGTAAGCTCTGGAAATTTCAAAGGGGGATGTTATACCTGCTTTCCATTGATCGTCTTGTTCACCCAATACCGTATCCCATGCGTCTTCTTGATTTTCGTGGCGCCGGTCACCAGCCCCTTCTGTCAGCGCCTCCAACCCCAAAGATGTCTCTTCCGTTTCCTTTAATTGCTCCCCATGTTCTATCTTCTTTACGGACTCGTCGACCTCGTCAACGAAGGCTTCAAAGTCCTCGCCGCCAAACCAAATGCCTTCCAACGACTGACGAGATATCTGGCTACGACGTCGGATAACTTTATGCACCACTGGCTCTTCCGCAAAACGAACGCGGACTGGCATGGTCCGTGGCGAGGAGGCGTCAAGCTCAGCCCCTTCCATATCGGACAGGGACACGAACGACGAAGTGGATCCGTCTTCCAATAGATCCAACAGACCGCTTTTTCTGCAGTCCTTTAAGGTTTCATCCGATACCTGTGTAGCCAATTTGAAAGCACGGACCTCAGCATCGCTTGAAGCCTCGCGCCGAAGCGAGGCTTCGGCGAGTTGCATGGAGGGCCACCTGACTTCGTTTTGTTGCTGGTCTTGTTCCCACAAGAGCATGTCCCGCGAATGGTCCCTCTTGGTTTCTCGGAGATCACAGCCCTCTTCGGTTTGGTGGTACTCCAAGCCCAGAGATGAGGATATATTACCCTTTAATCGGTTTGGCTTTTCCATCGTCTCGACGCTCTTTTCCCCGTCATCGATAAAGGATTCAAAGTTCTCGCCGTCAAACCAAATGTCATCCACTGACATTCGGAGTCTAAAAATGCCATGAACATCTTCTTCGTCCACAAACTTGAGTCCTTGTTTCTTCATTCGAGGAGGTGAGTTAGAGGGATTGCCGGTTTGAAATGACAGATTCATTGATATATTGTGAAAAAAATTGGAATGCAAGGGTGAAACTTTAATTGATGAGATGTAATTTTATGATAGTGTGGTACCTGGTACCTGATGGGTATTGTGGATCGCATGTAGCATCGGCCCTCACGGCGGGGCTTTTTGTAGATCATCGGCTTTTTGGGATCTCATTAAAAAAATTGATTCACCGAATTGGGCGTCAAGCAATCAATATTATATAATAAAAGTAGCGCCGGAATACGTTTCTCCGAATCCAAGGACATTTATTTTAATAAAATAGTTGCAATGGAAAGCGTTTCTGCGAAAACTACTTCGTATTTTATACTATATATATTACATCGTACAATATCATGCAGGGTAACGCTACCTATCGAAGATAGCCAACTGGCGCCTGCCGCCTGGTTTCTTTTCTTTCTTGGTGTGACTCTGGTGTGAAGCTGGTCTTTTGGATTGCGCGCGAAGCGTGCGGTTCCAAAAGGCCAGTCTTTGATATTCCGCGAAGCGGAATATCAAAGACTTGCTTGCCTACTAGGCCTTACAGAGACGTAGAATGCGTCGATGTAAGGCCCAACAGGGATGTGGAGGGAGGAAAAGAAAGAAATAAACCTTATTTCTTGACGTATACTCGCACCCAAGTTCGATAAACTGATCGGACTTGGTGTTGCTGAGCAATGCTGTTGTGACGGTCGTTCGATCGTCGTCAGTATGATGGTTGGTGATATGCGCGCCTCTCCACAGCAGACTCAGAAGCATACTACACGATTCTGGAGATTCGTCAAAGCTTGCTTGGCGATGAATATTCCCGCAAAGGAGGTTACAACACTTCCAAGAGGGATTGGATGTCTGCAAAGAAGAATACCGGTATATTGCTCTTCCCAAATGTCAAAATGAGAGTATTTTGGCCCTAAAATGGGATCAGAGTTTGGTTCAAGACGGTACTGCTGCGAGCTTCGAAGCCCTCAAGATTCGTCGAAGACAACAAGGGGACGATCATACTGAGACGAAGCGGCGTGCGGAAGCACACAGATCTTTGATGAGAAGAAGGCTCTTCGTGAACCGGAATGGCATGGATGAGGGAACTGATTGTCGTGTATACTATGTGCAAACATAGTATGGACAGAGGAGAGAGGACAGGGAGGAACGAACAGTTATTGAGTCTAGTTGCTCCGGCACTCAAGGCGGTATTGCGACGTGACATTGCGGGCTTAAGAAGTCATTATTCGTGTTGATGAATGCAGAGATAAGACTCGCATGCGAATGAAAGCAATTATATTTCATTGATGTGAAACTCAAAAGGAACGGTCAATATGTTTTGTGTGGAAGAAGCTTCTCTACTATTTTAAGTTTGCGCTTGGCGCGAGAACTATCCATCTCTAAAAGGCACCAACCATGTCGACATCTTGGGTTGCCAACACGTCATAGACACAATCCTTGATCGCCAATGGATCCTTCAATGAGACACATGCCTTCTCGGCATCTTCCTCAGAGATGCTGGACTCTTCCAAACGACGCTTGCGCTCTCCACGAGGATCTTCGGGCTTCAAACAGAGCTCGGGGAATTGAGGATGGGCAATCTCGTGAAAGAGTGTTGGTTCACTGGGCAAGACTTGCCACTCGTCACCCAAGTCAGTAAAGTCATCCAAGACTGTGACGCCATCACGAGCAAGGGTCTTTCCAGTCTTGTAATCTCCAAGTAGACCAACCGAGTTCCCAAAGACTTGTTCGTTGCCATTGAGCTTGACACGGACGAACTCCTTGTACAATTGAATGGTAATTTCTTGTCCAGGAAACTTGGAACTCAAGTCAATGGTGTAAGTACGCTTGTAGACGGAAGGAAGCTTTTGGGTGACTGGGAAACCAGCAAAAGTGTCGAGGTCGCCTTGGTATTCAAAGTTCTTCCAATAGTGAGCCTGATCATCATGGGCATCCGCAGATCCTTCAATCTCAAGAACGTCATCATCAATGCGAATGGCCACACTTTGAATGTATGACCAGTATCGGACAATCTTGGTGCGAATGTGCACATAAAGTCCAAGACCATCGGCAAAGGTGGGATCCTTGACCATGACAAGGTCGCACTGTCCATGGTACTCGTAGTGTTCCTTATGGTTCCAGGTAGTGATGTGGGGATCTCCACCGGCTTCGGGTCCACCAACACGGACGGTGCCTCCGCCACCTGAAGGCCCGCCAGTTCCATTGGAGATCTCTTTGACTTTAATGTCCACAAAAATATCAGCAAAGGTTTGAGCCCGCAGACCACCGGAACGAAGACTGTTAATGTTCCAGGCAGCTCCCGGCTTGTCGACAATGAGCTCGGTGTAGTGGGGATGAGTTCCTCCGAAAGAAGTGACATAGGTTTCATATGGGCGAAAGTCTTGATATGTCATGTGGTTGTCAGGAGCGGAAGAATCAAAGCGGAAAATGGTACTGTTGGAACCACCGCCCCCAATATTCATGCCAAAGTCGTTGATGTTGTTATTGATACCATAGTTGGCGATCACATTCAAGATGTATCCGTTGGTATCAATCAAGTTGGCAATGTTCGTTGCGTCAACGTTGCTGTAAGCATCGTCGCGGTCTTCATCGGTGACCAGAATGAGGTTCTTGTCAACCCTGGCACAGTGTGAAAGCAGGTCTGTTCCATTAATAGAAGAAGGAACATCTTGCATGCCGTGCTTCATGGCGTACCAACCATCTTCGATCGCCCCGTTGGCATACCACGCAAGTGCGGTAGAGTTAGCAATGACACCAGCTGAGTTATAGGTGGTACAACCAAGGTGACGGTAGGCCTGGGCGTTGTTGGTTCGGGAATAGCCAAATCCACTACTGCAGACAAAGACATCGGAGTAGTTGTGGTTGGAACTGTGAAGTTCTGTGGCCATTTTGGGGAGGGCCACGTTCTTGAGAAATGTTTGATCGCCACCCATGGAACCGGATTCGTCCATGATTACGTTGATCAAGGCACTGCAGATTAGTTGTGTAAACAAAGGTATTAGGTGCTGGACACTAGTAATAAATCAACGCAATCGATGAGGCACGAACTTTCAAACTTACCACTTGGCAGACCCAGTGGCAGGAGCAGAATAATCAAATAAGGATTGGGCATTTGCTACATTGGTAAAGATGGCGGCAGATAGAGCAATAGAAAAGTAGATCTTCATGATTCAGCTTAGTTCTATGTTTTAGTTTGTTTGCTTTCAAACTGAAAATTATGAGAACAAAAGAGGCAACTGAATATATGTTTTGCAGTGTGGTACGTTTGCGTCTGAATCAATTTTTAATTTGTCAATTGGGCTTTAGACGCGATTTGATTCGCATGACTGGTTTCGATCATTCTTCTACAGTACGCACCGCACCCAACACATGTATTCTCCATCTTGACAGCCCAGGCAGTATACAGTCTTGTCTTTTAGATGAGTGAGTCGCGGTTTCGCATGAGTTTTATCGTGGCCACAATAATGGATGTTTGGGAAACAACCAGAAGTTCTCCGTTTCTCCAACGTATGGTAGGTAAAAGGACAGACATCATAGTCATGCAGACAACCGAACAGTGATGTGCATGCAATGTGACATCGCATCATCATGTGTATTGAATATAGAACCGCATAATAACATCAGTTACGAATAGCATGATGATGTTTCCCATCACCCTATTAATCCTTCTACAATGTCACCAGCTTTCTCTGACATTCACTTCCACACAAAATCGATTGAGAACATCACGAGCTTTCCGGAGAATAGATCCAACAGCCGAATCAAGACCTCATACAAAAACAATAACATCCTTATGTCTGTCACCCGATGTCAAAGTGTTGACAGTGGGAGACGCCTTGTTAGACTGTATTGCTAATGACGATGCTCGTGGATTCACTGTCGAAGATCGAGGCCAACAAATGGACGGCATTTCCTGGTGGAGCTTCCGCCAATGTGGCCACAGCCTGTTGCAAACTCGGTACAAAGGCAGCCTATATTGGATGCCTCGGACAAGATGAAGACGGAGGTCAATTGGAAGCGCTGTTGAAAGAAACTGGAGTGGATACCTCCTTAATACAACGAGACGAAAGTATGCCGACACGGCGAGTCATGGTGACACAAGCATCATGGTGCGTGCTTTTTTGTTTTTCAAATAATGCCTTGTGAATTTACTAAATGCCCCGAAACACACGAGAAAAGATGTTAACCTATAAAATCCGTTTCACCGAAATGTGGGCAGTGCTGGAAAATTGCTACTGTAATGGAAAACGTTTCTCCGAACCCAACGATCACAGGCATCCATGATGAGTACTGCCACTCTCCTCCAGTTCTACTATATATACGATATCTACTATTCCAATATCTCGTGATGGCAGAGGAGGGGCCAACTGACGCGAGGTGGCTATACGTTGATGCATGAATGTGCTGGTCAGGAAAACTGTTGGACTACTGGCGCCTTCAGTAGATACATTTCATCATCCGCGCAGTTCTTGTCAGCTTGAACTTCATCTGATACTTTTCTAACTAGTGCAAAAGTATTTAAGACAGCCTCTCTGGAAACCTTTCGGTAAGATCTGGAAATTTGAAAGGGGGATGATTACCTTATTTCCATTGATCGTCTTGTTCACTTAATTCCGTATCCCAGGCGTCTTCTTGATTTTCGTGGCGCCGGTCACAAGCCCCTTCTGTCAGCGCCTCCAACCCCAAAGATGTCTCTTCCGTTTCCTGTAATTGCTCCCCATGTTCTATAATACCGGTATATTGCTCTTCTCAAAGTAGCAGCAATTGTCTATATGAGAGTATTTTGGCCCTAAAATGGGATCAGAGTTTGGTTCAAGACGGTACTGCTGCGAGCTTCGAAGCCCTCAAGATTCGTCGAAGACAACAAGGGGACGATCATACTGAGACGAAGCGGCGTGCGGAAGCACACAGATCTTTGATGAGAAGAAGGCTCTTCGTGAACCGGAATGGCATGGATGAGGGAACTGATTGTCGTGTATACTATGTGCAAACATAGTATGGACAGAGGAGAGAGGACAGGGAGGAACGAACAGTTATTGAGTCTAGTTGCTCCGGCACTCAAGGCGGTATTGCGACGTGACATTGCGGGCTTAAGAAGTCATTATTCGTGTTGATGAATGCAGAGATAAGACTCGCATGCGAATGAAAGCAATTATATTTCATTGATGTGAAACTCAAAAGGAACGGTCAATATGTTTTGTGTGGAAGAAGCTTCTCTACTATTTTAAGTTTGCGCTTGGCGCGAGAACTATCCATCTCTAAAAGGCACCAACCATGTCGACATCTTGGGTTGCCAACACGTCATAGACACAATCCTTGATCGCCAATGGATCCTTCAATGAGACACATGCCTTCTCGGCATCTTCCTCAGAGATGCTGGACTCTTCCAAACGACGCTTGCGCTCTCCACGAGGATCTTCGGGCTTCAAACAGAGCTCGGGGAATTGAGGATGGGCAATCTCGTGAAAGAGTGTTGGTTCACTGGGCAAGACTTGCCACTCGTCACCCAAGTCAGTAAAGTCATCCAAGACTGTGACGCCATCACGAGCAAGGGTCTTTCCAGTCTTGTAATCTCCAAGTAGACCAACCGAGTTCCCAAAGACTTGTTCGTTGCCATTGAGCTTGACACGGACGAACTCCTTGTACAATTGAATGGTAATTTCTTGTCCAGGAAACTTGGAACTCAAGTCAATGGTGTAAGTACGCTTGTAGACGGAAGGAAGCTTTTGGGTGACTGGGAAACCAGCAAAAGTGTCGAGGTCGCCTTGGTATTCAAAGTTCTTCCAATAGTGAGCCTGATCATCATGGGCATCCGCAGATCCTTCAATCTCAAGAACGTCATCATCAATGCGAATGGCCACACTTTGAATGTATGACCAGTATCGGACAATCTTGGTGCGAATGTGCACATAAAGTCCAAGACCATCGGCAAAGGTGGGATCCTTGACCATGACAAGGTCGCACTGTCCATGGTACTCGTAGTGTTCCTTATGGTTCCAGGTAGTGATGTGGGGATCTCCACCGGCTTCGGGTCCACCAACACGGACGGTGCCTCCGCCACCTGAAGGCCCGCCAGTTCCATTGGAGATCTCTTTGACTTTAATGTCCACAAAAATATCAGCAAAGGTTTGAGCCCGCAGACCACCGGAACGAAGACTGTTAATGTTCCAGGCAGCTCCCGGCTTGTCGACAATGAGCTCGGTGTAGTGGGGATGAGTTCCTCCGAAAGAAGTGACATAGGTTTCATATGGGCGAAAGTCTTGATATGTCATGTGGTTGTCAGGAGCGGAAGAATCAAAGCGGAAAATGGTACTGTTGGAACCACCGCCCCCAATATTCATGCCAAAGTCGTTGATGTTGTTATTGATACCATAGTTGGCGATCACATTCAAGATGTATCCGTTGGTATCAATCAAGTTGGCAATGTTCGTTGCGTCAACGTTGCTGTAAGCATCGTCGCGGTCTTCATCGGTGACCAGAATGAGGTTCTTGTCAACCCTGGCACAGTGTGAAAGCAGGTCTGTTCCATTAATAGAAGAAGGAACATCTTGCATGCCGTGCTTCATGGCGTACCAACCATCTTCGATCGCCCCGTTGGCATACCACGCAAGTGCGGTAGAGTTAGCAATGACACCAGCTGAGTTATAGGTGGTACAACCAAGGTGACGGTAGGCCTGGGCGTTGTTGGTTCGGGAATAGCCAAATCCACTACTGCAGACAAAGACATCGGAGTAGTTGTGGTTGGAACTGTGAAGTTCTGTGGCCATTTTGGGGAGGGCCACGTTCTTGAGAAATGTTTGATCGCCACCCATGGAACCGGATTCGTCCATGATTACGTTGATCAAGGCACTGCAGATTAGTTGTGTAAACAAAGGTATTAGGTGCTGGACACTAGTAATAAATCAACGCAATCGATGAGGCACGAACTTTCAAACTTACCACTTGGCAGACCCAGTGGCAGGAGCAGAATAATCAAATAAGGATTGGGCATTTGCTACATTGGTAAAGATGGCGGCAGATAGAGCAATAGAAAAGTAGATCTTCATGATTCAGCTTAGTTCTATGTTTTAGTTTGTTTGCTTTCAAACTGAAAATTATGAGAACAAAAGAGGCAACTGAATATATGTTTTGCAGTGTGGTACGTTTGCGTCTGAATCAATTTTTAATTTGTCAATTGGGCTTTAGACGCGATTTGATTCGCATGACTGGTTTCGATCATTCTTCTACAGTACGCACCGCACCCAACACATGTATTCTCCATCTTGACAGCCCAGGCAGTATACAGTCTTGTCTTTTAGATGAGTGAGTCGCGGTTTCGCATGAGTTTTATCGTGGCCACAATAATGGATGTTTGGGAAACAACCAGAAGTTCTCCGTTTCTCCAACGTATGGTAGGTAAAAGGACAGACATCATAGTCATGCAGACAACCGAACAGTGATGTGCATGCAATGTGACATCGCATCATCATGTGTATTGAATATAGAACCGCATAATAACATCAGTTACGAATAGCATGATGATGTTTCCCATCACCCTATTAATCCTTCTACAATGTCACCAGCTTTCTCTGACATTCACTTCCACACAAAATCGATTGAGAACATCACGAGCTTTCCGGAGAATAGATCCAACAGCCGAATCAAGACCTCATACAAAAACAATAACATCCTTATGTCTGTCACCCGATGTCAAAGTGTTGACAGTGGGAGACGCCTTGTTAGACTGTATTGCTAATGACGATGCTCGTGGATTCACTGTCGAAGATCGAGGCCAACAAATGGACGGCATTTCCTGGTGGAGCTTCCGCCAATGTGGCCACAGCCTGTTGCAAACTCGGTACAAAGGCAGCCTATATTGGATGCCTCGGACAAGATGAAGACGGAGGTCAATTGGAAGCGCTGTTGAAAGAAACTGGAGTGGATACCTCCTTAATACAACGAGACGAAAGTATGCCGACACGGCGAGTCATGGTGACACAAGCATCATGGTGCGTGCTTTTTTGTTTTTCAAATAATGCCTTGTGAATTTACTAAATGCCCCGAAACACACGAGAAAAGATGTTAACCTATAAAATCCGTTTCACCGAAATGTGGGCAGTGCTGGAAAATTGCTACTGTAATGGAAAACGTTTCTCCGAACCCAACGATCACAGGCATCCATGATGAGTACTGCCACTCTCCTCCAGTTCTACTATATATACGATATCTACTATTCCAATATCTCGTGATGGCAGAGGAGGGGCCAACTGACGCGAGGTGGCTATACGTTGATGCATGAATGTGCTGGTCAGGAAAACTGTTGGACTACTGGCGCCTTCAGTAGATACATTTCATCATCCGCGCAGTTCTTGTCAGCTTGAACTTCATCTGATACTTTTCTAACTAGTGCAAAAGTATTTAAGACAGCCTCTCTGGAAACCTTTCGGTAAGATCTGGAAATTTGAAAGGGGGATGATTACCTTATTTCCATTGATCGTCTTGTTCACTTAATTCCGTATCCCAGGCGTCTTCTTGATTTTCGTGGCGCCGGTCACAAGCCCCTTCTGTCAGCGCCTCCAACCCCAAAGATGTCTCTTCCGTTTCCTGTAATTGCTCCCCATGTTCTATAATACCGGTATATTGCTCTTCTCAAAGTAGCAGCAATTGTCTATATGAGAGTATTTTGGCCCTAAAATGGGATCAGAGTTTGGTTCAAGACGGTACTGCTGCGAGCTTCGAAGCCCTCAAGATTCGTCGAAGACAACAAGGGGACGATCATACTGAGACGAAGCGGCGTGCGGAAGCACACAGATCTTTGATGAGAAGAAGGCTCTTCGTGAACCGGAATGGCATGGATGAGGGAACTGATTGTCGTGTATACTATGTGCAAACATAGTATGGACAGAGGAGAGAGGACAGGGAGGAACGAACAGTTATTGAGTCTAGTTGCTCCGGCACTCAAGGCGGTATTGCGACGTGACATTGCGGGCTTAAGAAGTCATTATTCGTGTTGATGAATGCAGAGATAAGACTCGCATGCGAATGAAAGCAATTATATTTCATTGATGTGAAACTCAAAAGGAACGGTCAATATGTTTTGTGTGGAAGAAGCTTCTCTACTATTTTAAGTTTGCGCTTGGCGCGAGAACTATCCATCTCTAAAAGGCACCAACCATGTCGACATCTTGGGTTGCCAACACGTCATAGACACAATCCTTGATCGCCAATGGATCCTTCAATGAGACACATGCCTTCTCGGCATCTTCCTCAGAGATGCTGGACTCTTCCAAACGACGCTTGCGCTCTCCACGAGGATCTTCGGGCTTCAAACAGAGCTCGGGGAATTGAGGATGGGCAATCTCGTGAAAGAGTGTTGGTTCACTGGGCAAGACTTGCCACTCGTCACCCAAGTCAGTAAAGTCATCCAAGACTGTGACGCCATCACGAGCAAGGGTCTTTCCAGTCTTGTAATCTCCAAGTAGACCAACCGAGTTCCCAAAGACTTGTTCGTTGCCATTGAGCTTGACACGGACGAACTCCTTGTACAATTGAATGGTAATTTCTTGTCCAGGAAACTTGGAACTCAAGTCAATGGTGTAAGTACGCTTGTAGACGGAAGGAAGCTTTTGGGTGACTGGGAAACCAGCAAAAGTGTCGAGGTCGCCTTGGTATTCAAAGTTCTTCCAATAGTGAGCCTGATCATCATGGGCATCCGCAGATCCTTCAATCTCAAGAACGTCATCATCAATGCGAATGGCCACACTTTGAATGTATGACCAGTATCGGACAATCTTGGTGCGAATGTGCACATAAAGTCCAAGACCATCGGCAAAGGTGGGATCCTTGACCATGACAAGGTCGCACTGTCCATGGTACTCGTAGTGTTCCTTATGGTTCCAGGTAGTGATGTGGGGATCTCCACCGGCTTCGGGTCCACCAACACGGACGGTGCCTCCGCCACCTGAAGGCCCGCCAGTTCCATTGGAGATCTCTTTGACTTTAATGTCCACAAAAATATCAGCAAAGGTTTGAGCCCGCAGACCACCGGAACGAAGACTGTTAATGTTCCAGGCAGCTCCCGGCTTGTCGACAATGAGCTCGGTGTAGTGGGGATGAGTTCCTCCGAAAGAAGTGACATAGGTTTCATATGGGCGAAAGTCTTGATATGTCATGTGGTTGTCAGGAGCGGAAGAATCAAAGCGGAAAATGGTACTGTTGGAACCACCGCCCCCAATATTCATGCCAAAGTCGTTGATGTTGTTATTGATACCATAGTTGGCGATCACATTCAAGATGTATCCGTTGGTATCAATCAAGTTGGCAATGTTCGTTGCGTCAACGTTGCTGTAAGCATCGTCGCGGTCTTCATCGGTGACCAGAATGAGGTTCTTGTCAACCCTGGCACAGTGTGAAAGCAGGTCTGTTCCATTAATAGAAGAAGGAACATCTTGCATGCCGTGCTTCATGGCGTACCAACCATCTTCGATCGCCCCGTTGGCATACCACGCAAGTGCGGTAGAGTTAGCAATGACACCAGCTGAGTTATAGGTGGTACAACCAAGGTGACGGTAGGCCTGGGCGTTGTTGGTTCGGGAATAGCCAAATCCACTACTGCAGACAAAGACATCGGAGTAGTTGTGGTTGGAACTGTGAAGTTCTGTGGCCATTTTGGGGAGGGCCACGTTCTTGAGAAATGTTTGATCGCCACCCATGGAACCGGATTCGTCCATGATTACGTTGATCAAGGCACTGCAGATTAGTTGTGTAAACAAAGGTATTAGGTGCTGGACACTAGTAATAAATCAACGCAATCGATGAGGCACGAACTTCCAAACTTACCACTTGGCAGACCCAGTGGCAGGAGCAGAATAATCAAATAAGGATTGGGCATTTGCTACATTGGCAAAGATGGCGGCAGATAGAACAATAGAAAAGTAGATCTTCATTATTCAGCTTAGTTCTATGTTTTAGTTTGTTTGCTTTCAAACTGAAAATTATGAGAACAAAAGAGGCAACTGAATATATGTTTTGCAGTGTGGTACGTTTGCGTCTGAATCAATTTGGGCTTTAGACGCGATTTGATTCGCACGACTGGTTTCGATCATGCTTCTACTATTATACCTGGTAGACTCACCGCACCGCACCCAACACATGTATTCTCCATCTTGACAGCCCAGGCAGTATACATTCTTGTCTTTTAGATGAGTGAGTCGCGGTTTGCATGAGTGTTATCGTGGCAATAATGGAACAACCACGAACCTGAAGCAGTTCTCCGTTTCTCCAACGTCGACGTATGGTAGGTAAAAGGACAGACATCATAGTCAGACAACCGCGAACAATAGTGATGTGCTTGATGTGACATCGCAGCATATTGAATAGAACCGCACATTAACATCAGTTATTACGAATAGCATGATGATGTTTTCCGTCACCCTTCCCGTCACCCTATTAATCCTTCTACAGTGTCACCAGCTTTCTCTGGCATTCACTTCCACACAAAATCGATTGAGAACATCACGAGCTTTCCGGAGAATAGATCCAACAGCCGAATCAAGACCTCATACAAAAACAATAACATCCTTATGTCTGTCACCCGATGTCAAAGTGTTGACAGTGGGAGACGCCTTGTTAGACTGCATTGCTAATGACGATGCTCGTGGATTTACTGTCGAAGAAATGGTCGAGGCCAAAAAATGGACGGCATTTCCTGGTGGAGCTCCCGCCAATGTGGCTACAGCCTGCTGCAAACTCGGTACAAAGGCAGCCTATATTGGATGCCTCGGACAAGATGAAGATGGAGATAAATTGGAAGCGCTGTTGAAAGAAACTGGAGTGGATACCTCCTTAGTACAACGAGACGAAAGTATGCCGACACGGCGAGTCATGGTGACACGATCCATGGAGGGAGATCGGGAATTTGGTGGGTTTTACGAAGGGAGAGATGCCGATGGTTTTGCCGATTGCAATTTGGATTTGCCACAAGATGATGACGACGACGCACCTCTTTTTGCCAACATCGATTGGGTTGTCTCAAGTACGCTAAGTCTGGCGTTTCCACAATCCGGCGCAGCTGTTCGTGAGATTGTAAGGAATGCCCTGGAGCAAGGTGCCAGGCTGTATGTGGATGTTAATTGGCGACCCGTCTTTTGGCCCGACACGCCGCAAGGAGTAGCTCGAAGTGAAATCTGGGAATTTTGCCAACAAGCCAAGATTGTCAAGATGACAGATGAAGAAGCAGAATGGTTGATGCCTGGGGTTACTCCTGAAATGGCATTGGCAGATCCACAAAAAATTCATCAACTTTTCTTTCCTGATGCCTTTGCGTTATTGGTGACAGCTGGGGAAAAGGGCGCTGCCTATTCTTTTTTTCTGAATGATGGCACGTGTTCGGGTAAGATTGAGCCCTTCTCAGTACCTGTGGTGGAAACGACGGGGGCTGGGGATGCCTTTTCAGCTGGGTTTTTGCATGCTCTATCCAAAGCCATGAAAGACAGTCCGGGATTCTTCTATTCATGTAATGCTCAGAAAAAGAAAGAGATACATGAGCTCATCAAGTTTGCTGCAGCTGTTGGCGCATTGACGTGTACGAACGAAGGTGCCATTGCCGCACAACCCACCTACGAACAAGTCCAAGCCTTCTTGAATAATCCGATTGAGGTTGACGCGGAAATTGTTAACAAAATATAGAGAACTGAAGAAGAGTGTAGAGCGATTCTGTTTGCTTTGCAAGAAAACAACAATAAGACTAGAGGAAAATGTCGCAAAAATGAAAGTCGCCATTCCAAGTACTTTAGTTATAAAACGAATCATATGATCATCTACTGGTCAGCCCAAGTTGTTACTACGAATAGCATGGTAGGCGGGTCAGCCACAAAGACTCCGTCCGCAATACTTGAATAGCGATGAATATTGTAATACTCTCAAGACGCTTTATTTGCAGGTACTACGGTAGCGTTTTCGACAACGCATGCGTGTCAGCCAAAATCTTTATGCGGTGAGAATAATAAAAGCTACAGTATGCGATAATAATAATAACGAATGCGGCTGCAAGTTTTTGATCGTCTCGCATCTATACTGCACTCGTATCTCTACCATGAAGGAAAGAACTGCAGATTCAAGCATGGGACAGTCCAATTCTAGTAACGGTGGCTTGCGCCACCAATCAAGAACACCAGTAGATGATGTCAATGATTCCACACCACATTATTCGTTGCGTCGCAGCGGTCGGAAGCCCAAGCAACGACGGTTTATGTTGAACCAAACGCTGGTCGAAAGCGGCCTGGTCGTTGAAATGGAAATCGATGGCCAGTGCGGCATGGACCAACCTGGTAGAAACCATCCCCGAAATTTGGACGATGAAATTCGGAGTAAAAAAGCCAATAGGGGCAAAGCAATTTACACAAAGTATCTCAAACCAATGGGATGGCACTATACTAATAGTGACAAATTGGAGTACACTTTTGTTTTCCTTGCAGAAGGGAAGTCTCTCAAAAATGCAGAGGACGGTGTCAGCAAATTCTATAGCTATGAAGCTATTTTGCGCAAATGGAAATCTGATAAAGCTTTCCGGAGAATGTACCGTCGTCTCGTTCGAGACGCCGAAAGTACAGTAGTTGAGCAGGATGCTGTTGATGTATCATCTCCGACCTACAACAGATTAGGTACACCGACCCCTGGAGTTCCTGTTGCAGCAAGAATAGCAGCTGAGACTTTTGATGATGAAACGGAAGCGACGGAAACCCAGACTACTCCCAACATGAAGGAGAAACGCCAACACCATTCTGGTAGCACGAAGCAGCAGCAGCAGTCCAAGAAACGCCAAAAGATGAGTGATTCGTATTCAAGCCCTCGACCTCAGGCAAGAAGCATTCCCATTGCTCAAGTTCAATCTGGAGCAAATACTCAAGCCCCAACTGTTGGCAGTGCGTCTACTTTTTCCATTCACTCTGCCGTTGTCACTCCTCCAGTGAGTCGTTCACGCAGTCTTGTCGCTCAAAGAGGAGGCCATTGTACTGATTCTGATGAGACAAGGGAACGACCCAGCCTTCATGGAATGACTGGTGCCTCGCACCGGGAAAAGAATGCTATCATTGCCGAACTCCGAAGGAAATTGGAAGACCGTCAAAATCTTGTAGATGCCCAATGCATTGAAATTAAAGATCTACAGAGCGAGGTCAACATTTTTCGTCGCGAGAAAGCAAAGGCGAAAATTGCGTACGAAAAGAAAGTGGGAGCATTGGAGCGAGAATGCGAGGAAACGAAAAAGGAATTGGATCAAATGAGAAGGAATCAAGGTCGTGAGCTAGGATTTGCTGAAGGGAAGAGAGGAGTCGATCCTCCAGAGGACCCTCGAGAGGATCCTCCAATATGATCAATCATCAAGTGTAGACTTTTGAATTTATATTGGTAACTACTGTGCCTTGGCATGGGGGCAAAGAAGTATGCACGCACATTGTTCAGCACCCTTGCCCCATTCCAATGAAAGAGTTGGTCTGGCTACAGTACAGTTCTAGAGACTGAAATAAGACCTCACCAAACTGCGAAGAGGATTCGGGGATCTTCACTGCAGAACTGGGTGATGCTGATGCTATGCGGTTGCCTAGTATTTGACAGGAGTCAGTCCTATTTGAAAAAGGCAAGAGTGAACACCAAGCATGAAGCCAAAAGATCAAGCACTATGTATTCAGATACGTTTCAAATTCCACTACTTCTCTTTACGAATCAATCGCTACTTGAACAAAATATCAAGAGGTAGATCCATTACCGTACATGCATCATTCGAGCAGTCTTGGGGGCTCACTGGGTGGAATCATCATCTTCAAACGTGACTCTTGGTTCTTCGCGTTCTTCCACAGCAGGTTTGGATCCAAAACATCCAAAGAGCTTCTTGGCGAGGCTCTTCTTCTTTTTTGGAGCTTGTTCTCGGTCCGCCTCCATGGCCGCCAATTCTGCCGCCCGTTCCGCCTCTCGTTCCAATTCAAAGGCACGACGAGCCGCCGCTTCACGAGCGGCCCTTTCTCGACGCAAATCGTCTCGAGCCCTTCCTCCTCGAGCCAAGGCTTGAATCTTGGTGGCATTGTGGGCCTTGGCTCGTTGCTGACGATGAAAGCACTCCATGTGGGCCAAAATTTCCCCCTGACCATTGGGATCGGGACCTCGGAGGTTGCAAAACGCATCACTCATACCAATGACCTGATGGCAAAGTGGGCAGGTTCCTCGAGTGGCACCAAAGGTGCAACAGGCAAACGTGGCAAAGTCAAAACCACCTTGTTCTTCTGGTTCGACGCGGCTGCTGTTGGGAGTTCCATTTCGGGAGCTCTCTTCGGATTCGAGATCAGTAGACTCGTCCAACATGGGAGTATGTTTGTTTACTTCCATATCGTTGTTGTTCACTGGGACAAAGGTTGGGCCGGTCATGATGAATATGATTTCAAAGAAGAACAAAAAGTTTGAGACAAAACTTTATGAGAGGAGAATTTGGAAAAACCCACTTTTGGATTGGGAAAATAAAAGCAGGCATGTGTGCGTTAATGTAGTATTAGTATTCCAATAGACCAATGCTGCTTCGTTCCTATGGTCATTGTTTAGTCACGGCAGATAGAGTATGCTACAACTGATTCCAAATTTTCAAAAACTTCTCCGCAATGGTTTTGGCCGTCCGGCTCGTTATGTCTGATGCGACATGACGTACGTGTACGCGTGTACAGTATGATCTTGGGAGTCATTTTCAACGATATGCCAAAATGACAATCTCATCGCAATCTCAAGAGCGACAAGCGCTTTATAGCGTCAGAAAAAGGAAAAATTCGGAAGTTTGCGTGGTAGTATTGGAATAGTCATTATCGGATTTCCATTGCTCGTATCCACTTTTAGTCAAGCAAAGCCACTTCTATAACGCATCTAGCAATCCAACTATCATGACGGCTCCATCAGAGGAAGGCAGCAAAAAGAAGAAAGAGGCCTCGTCTGAGGGAAATGTGCGAGTCGTTCTCCGTGTGCGGCCAATGGCAAAATACGAATTGGAAAAAGGCTGCAAACAAGTGGTTTTCAAGGTTCCAGTAGCAGATCCTGACTCTGATGGCCCTGAAGCAGTCCAGGTGAATCAGCCCGACAAAAGATTCTTTGAATTGGATGCTGTGTTGGATGAAAGCTTTAGTCAACAGCAATTGTATGAAAAGTCAGGTGCTTACAATGCAATTTCCGAAGACCTGTTCAAGGGTTTCAATTGTACCATCTTGGCATATGGACAAACGGGAGCAGGAAAGACATTCTCCATGGGAACCGCTGCTGGTCAAGATCCAGAAATTAAGGAAATGGATGGTGTGATTCCAAGAGCTTGTATGGATTTGTTTGTGAATATCATGACCAAATGTGACGGAAATGCACAAGTGGAATTGAGCTATCTTGAGGTTTATAATGAAGAAATTAGAGATTTGATGACCGCAGATTCGTCTGGCCAGCAACTGCGAATTAGAGAAACTCTGAATGGTGAAATCTATGTGCGTGGATTGACTGCTGTGGCCGTAGCAGGTCCGGCCGAGGTGGGTAAACTAATGGAAGAAGCCAGTGGTCGGCGTGTGGTAGCATCGACGAAAATGAATGCTACCAGCTCTAGAAGTCATGCCATATGCGTTTTGCGCATCAAGGGAGTCTTGGACGATACCAAGTTTCAATCTAAATTAACGTTGGTAGATCTGGCGGGAAGTGAACGTATGGCCAAGACGGGTGCTGAAGGAAGTCGAGCCAAGGAGGGAATTAGTATTAACAAGGGATTGTTTGTACTGGGACAAGTTGTGGGAGCATTGGCCGAACAGCGACCCAAATACAAGCGAAAGCCTCCATTTCGTGATTCCAAGCTGACTCGATTGCTTCAAGATTCCTTGGGAGGAAACTCACGTACCATTATGATTGCCTGTTGTAGTCCAGCTGACTTTAATACAGAAGAAACCGTTAATACGCTCCGTTATGCCACACAGGCACGAAATATCAAAAACTCGGCGACTGCCAATGTCATCAAGACGATTTCTCAAGAAGAGGCCATGAAGTTGCAGCGTGAAAATACATTGCTCAAGCAAGAGGTTGCAGAACTACAAGAGACGATTCGAAAATTGACAGAGGACTCCGATGTGACACCAGAAGAGATGAATCGAAGTATGGATATGATCAAGGCCGAACAAGCAAACCATGGTGGTAGTTCGGATCGCAGCAAACACTTGGCATCGATTCCAAGTCAAGAAGAATTGGAGCCTGATGGTGCTCTGCCAGAAGATGACGATGTGCCAATCAAGAATATGGATGAAGTCAAGGAAGAAACAACTGGAAATGATGATAGGGAAACGACGAGCATGGGCATCGACGATGTCTTCTCCAAGCAGAATGACGATAACGTCAGTGTCCTTACTGACCGTGATAAGAAATCGTATTCTGATTTGGAGGCTGAAAACAATGCCTTGCATCTCAAGTTACGCCAAGCTCAGAGGGATGTCAAGGCGTCTGTACGAGATTCCGCCATTGAACTTCCAGCACTCAAGGTCCGTGTCATGATGTTGGAAGACGAACTGGAAAACAGTCACGCACTCGAGGCTGAAACGGAAGAATTGCAGGCAGAACTGGAACAAGCCAGAGACGACCGCAAGTCTGCCTTACTAGCAGCCCGACAACTGTCCGATTTCATGGAAAAGCAAAAGAGTGTTACTGGATTCCGTGGAGACGAAATCAATAAGGACCGTATGATGTACTTTAACAAGCGTTTGGAAGAGCGCTGGGTCAATTTTGTTGTGGTTATGCTGGCCTCTTTCAAAGAGCAAATGAGACTGCTGGGAGACTACTTTGAAATGGTCGTTCGAGTGGTGGAATCTCCGGATATCTTGACCATGATAAGGCCAACTGTGAATGCTGGTGCCGGATGGTGGGGGAATCGAAATCGGGAAAAGCAAATTGTGGAAGAAAAGGAATTACGGCAAAGGTTGCTGTCAGAGCACATCAAATTCTTCAATTCACGACTGCTCGAAGTGGAAGACGAAATCGAGAATCGGTCAGAAAGTGTGGAAGGCATCAAGGATGCGCTAAGCGTGGAGCGGGAAAGTATTGAACAAGATTTGGTTGCGGAACAGTTATTCCATGATGTCTTTTCGAAACAAGGCGAGAAGTTACTGAAGCACATGACAGAGCTCATGACGGGTCCACTCTTTTCGTTACCCATGGTGCCAGCCGTTTGATGACAAGAAGTAGAAGTCTCATTTTGTTGAAAGAAACAAGTATTACGGCTACAACACTTGTTGCTGCAGTGGATTTTGAGGATGATTGCAACTTCTACTTCAAAGGCACGTGAGTGAGACAAATGGAACCAACAAAAGATTAGGGTAGCAGGTGCGAAGGGTGAGCGCCCATAAATTGGTGCAACAGTTTTAAAAAACAAAGAAATATATGTTACAGCGTGGATACGTGTCTAGACAATTGAGTTGAACATGCAATTCACAATTAGATTTTAACGCTGTTTCACTGATCCCAATCCAGAGGGAATGAACTATTTATATATGAAGTGAAAGCCCCCACTTTTATTCGTCTAACGTCCAAAGTATCCATCTGGGTGCTCGGCCAATACATGGGCTGGTCGAGTGCGTCCCGTGAGATTCATACCCTTGGGAGACTTGTCAAAGAACTCGACGTAATCCATCGTTTCCTCAGCCGCTGTATGGTTAGGTGCACCAATGGTGATGGAGTCTCCATTGTTGGTCATGGCCACACTGCTACCGTAGTTGCCACTTCCTTGATATTTACCGTATTGATCCTTTTGGGGCATATCTGTATAAGGATACCATCGGCCCAGGACAAAGTCGAAAATAATCATCTTTCCGATTCCTCCGTTTCCCTTTGGAGCACCGACCACCATGGAATTACCATTTTCGGCCATGTCCACATCGTATCCAAACCATTCACCAGGATCATCTCCCACAGTGAAACCCTTTTGACTCCAAGTTTGAGTAGTAAATATTTGACCATTCTGCTCGAAGGATCCTTCATTGAACTCAAAGACAGCGACATTTCCTTTGTCAAAAAAGGGGGCACTGACTGCAATCACCCTACCATCAGCACTACTGGCCATGGCATAGCCAAATTTTCCTCCCGGAACATCTCCTTCCCAGGTCGTAGAGTATTCGTAGGTACCATTGGTGGCATTCATGATGCGATAGACATCTACAATACCCAGCTCGTCTTCGTAGGAAGGATTACTGACGGCAATAGTGGAACCATCAAAGCTCATGACCATGTTATCGCCCCAATGTTCGGGTGACTCTGCAGATTTGCCTTGGGGAACAATGGGCTCGGTTGCAGGGTACCAAGTCTTGTTTTGTTCATCGTAGTCGTAGACCAACACAACTCCAGGTAGAGTTATATTGGTAGTATTGGTAGTATTTGTCATGTTGAGAGCCATGATTTCGTCTAGGTAACGAGCAGCAGGAGGGGCAGTAATATTGGTAATATTGGTCATGTTGGCCAAGGTTTCATTGTACAGAGCCGTCACAGCCACACGATTTCCATCGGCGGATATGGCAATGTTACGTCCAGCATCTTGGTACGGTCCTTCCACCACTAACGATTCCATGTAATCGGATTCCTTGAGGGGATGAGTAAACTGGTAGAGTACCACCGAGTTTTTGGAAGGCACTCCAATGGCGACTCGGTCTCCATTGTCGGCCCATTTGACAGCATTCTTGCTGTCGTTATCAAAGTGAACTCGGTTGGCCTCCTTCTGCTTGCGAGTTTGAACTTGGTCCTGCTTGTAAAAGTTGACCCACGTATTGGGTTCGTAGTCGACATCCGGGGGCGTCAAGATACCGTCATTGCCATAGACGGCCCAGTAACTGCCCAACCAAACGTACATGAAGACGGCACCACGAGAACCATTGGGATTCTGTCGTTCAGGACAAGAAATGATCAAAAATTCGCCGGCGCTGTCGAGTGCAGTACCAAACTTGTCTCCGGCCTGGTCATTGCTGTAACCTGTGTTGCGGGTAGTATTGGAAAACAAGGCAAAGAGAACGAGAGGCACAAAAGTAGTTGATGAGAAAACATGAAAGGCAAACACATTGCACATTGTACACAGCAACAACAACAATATGATCGTACCATTTGGATCTCTCGCTGGAATAGGATAGGTCCATCCTGCAATGCCCTCTGGATCTCCCTTGTCAATGCTCATGACCAAGAGAATAATAGCAATGAGGAGGAGCAACCCAAAGAAAAGCACGAGGAGAAGCAGAATACAACAACGAGGTTGACAAAACTGGGCCATCAACGGCCGCGCAGGGGGCGGTTCGTAATACTCATCATGGTAGGAAGGTTCGTCGGGCTCTTCATAGGCCACCAACGCGTTGGGGCTTTGCTTTTTTCGGGGCTTGTGGGGCACCAGGGCAGAGGGAGCTCCTCGGCGCGGAGGAGGTTCCGCCACTGCCAATTGGTTAATCGATTGTGGTCTTCCGCGGCGCTCCTCTCTTGGGACCAGCGATTGACTGGGTTGAGGAGCTTGGGGACGACGAGGGCGTCGGTTGGGAACATTAGACTGCGGGACTTGAGGACGTCGAGACATGATTGATGCTCGTTGGTGTGGGTTGATGCTGTGGAGGTTCGCAAGATTGCTGAAACTTTTATCCAAATATTCCACTTTGAATCGAATGGGATTCTTGACTTGCTGTTAGAATTGCTTCGTTCCTCTCAAAAATAGAAAAACAAAGGAATATGACAACAGTAAAGACACCAAGATGTATTCAAAGTGACTGACTGTGATAATAATACTCAGGTTGAGATGCACGAGGTGATTTTAGAAGATCAAGGTTGGCATTCGCCAGTTGCTTCTCGCTGTGACTCTTGGTTCCGATTTTACCGCGCTTGAGAATTCTGTGAAAAGGACAGGAGCTGTTGGGAGCCCATACCGCTCCAGCTTACCGCACTCTGAGCCGCTTCAAGAACTCGGTCATTTTCGGACCTTTTAGTCGAAGGATTCGAGAATAGCTATATCCTAAACCGGTTTTATGATACTACAATAATACCGAACTTCTTCTAGTCTACCATCTCAATCATTGTGTTTGGCTACCGCTATGTATTCGAATCTAAGTTAACAGTTTATTCTTATGCCATTGCTAATATTCTTCTAAAATTGTCCTCAAACGATGGTACGCTTGGGTTTGTGATTGTCGGAGCAGGATTTCTGCCTTGTTGTTCCTGTTGTTGTTCTTGTTGATGCTGGTAATAGGCTGCCTTGAGACGCTCCAACAATTGCTGGGTCCGAAGTCGCCCGGCCCTTCGAACAATGGCACCACCTAGGGCATTGAATCCAGGGGGTATGGGTATGAATCGGGGCATTGGAATCTGAAGGGAAAGACTCAGGTTGATGGAAAGTTTGCACTTCTGTGTTGCATGGTCCTGTGCCTCTTGTGGATGGACGGTTACCACAGATTCACCGACAAAGGTAGCGTCATGGACCAAACTGGAAATGACTCGTTTGGCGGGATGCCTCGAGTGTGTCACAATTTCCGCCTTGGAACCTTCTTCGATGCTTGCCGTCACCTGATTGGGTTGGCGATACAGTTTGTGACGAAAGGTAGGCTGCAACTGCAGGCCCATGAATTCGATAATGGGTTGTTTGCATTCGTATAATAATTGTTGACTTTCGTCATGGTCGTCATGACACTGGATGTCGTCGGTTCCTAGCAAGTAAACGTTGCTGCTATCGGACTGCAGGAATTCTTGTACCAATTCCATGGGGGCGTCCAATTCCAAGGTCGTGGTAGAATCTCCAACAAAAGTGACGGACGATTTGTGCTCGTTTTTATTGGTACCACTTTTGTTATTCTGAATACTTGCGGTGGTTGACTTGGCTGCTCGTTGTGAAGTCGTGACGGTCTTCTGCTTCTTGGGTGTACTACTACTAGTGGCCGTGTTGCGCACTGGTGGTACTAACGGGTGAGATGGTATAATAAAGGCTGGAGATGCGGACGTTCGAGGAGAATGTTGGTAGGATAGAGCTACCACTTGCACGTTGGCCATTGCACCACCAGTGTGCAAAAGGAGGATTGCGAAACAATGCAAGGGTGTCAGCAGCCATGAATTGACACTGGAGAATGATGATCGCGAGGCTCGAAATTCTCGACGGTCTTGGTATCGTCGTTTCCGCGAACCTGACATGTTGTTGGAGGGTTGATCGAGCGTCATGACTGCTTAGGTGCTTGATGCTCAATGAATGATTGATTGAAAACAAGCCGTAGATTTTATGAAATGCCGAACAAATGCCTATTGTGCAGAGTGAGTTGTGTGAGACAAAGTACAGCAACTGTTATGGTTGGCCCCTACCGGTACAGAAGCCGAACACTAATTTCCAGGGAACACGTCAGAGAACCTCATTTGTGACATTTAGCGACAATTTTTCGACATTCTTTTCCACGCTATTTGATGCGTATTAGCTGCCAACATTCCTCAAACCTTGGGCCTATTCGATTATTCTTTTTTGTTAGAGATGGGTCCCGCAACTCTGATGTCAGGCACGCTCTTGTACAGATAATGAAGTTTGAGGATTGACTGATGATTGAAGAAAATGGTTAAAGAAGAAAATAGTGGTAGTCAAAGTATGCGATACAACTATTTTTTGTTTTTTTCAATCAACCAATAGAATCGCATGGTTTTCATGAGAACTTTGAATACCCCATTTTTGGGTCATTTTGATGACACGATACGAATGTATTTTGGAAAAACCTCAGTAGTACAGGACTACGATGTTTCGCGTAAAAAATTTTCACTAGATATTTTCCTAAGTGCTTCCCGACGCATCGCTCCACTTGATTTCTGTGGCAATGTTGTATGTAGAAGCGATGTGGTGGGAATTGGAGCTTCCAACAGGGAGATCAGATATGGAATAGAAATAGCACGACCAAACCTCGTGATTTGACTTTCGGCTAGGTGTACTTCGAGAATTAGTGCAGACGTAAAATAGAAATGTGATGACCCAACTATTCGTGTGATTTATTTTGGGCTGCGTTTATTCAAAAAGAAGCGCTCTCGCACCATATATCCATAATTCGAGAAAGACTCAGATTCTTTTATGCAGAATATCAAAACATAAAAAATAGTTGTGTTGTGTCCCGAAAAAAATAAAATCGTATCGTGCCCCAAATGGACACTTTTAAATTTTAGTTGTGGGCACGATACGACTATTTTTTGTTTTTTCTCAGCCAATCACAGCCTCCCAAAACTCAAAAAATAGTCGTATCGCGTACTTTGACTACCACTAATGTAACTACTTTACCAAACTAATGTAGGTAGTGTAATAACTCTGCTGCGAGCTATCGAAGTATAAATTATTATTAGTACCCGTGCACAGTACGTGTACCGGTACCGAATGAACAGTTTGTTCTAATTTTTCATTCACGAACAACAAGAAAGAATCTGCGTTAGCATCGACATCGCATGAAGTTCTGGACCTTTACCGTTGATGACGGATAATGTATTTTATAGACGGCTCTATTTACTTTGAATGCGGTTCCAATAAGAAATACCTGTGCGATACGATACATTCCGTTTTCATCATGCGCTGGATTGTTTCTTTGTCACCATTTCAATTTCTTTGAAATTTCAAAAAAGGTAGTCTGTACATCGCCGGGTATCAGAAACAGGTTGAAATGTCACATCATTGTCATCGTCATCTGAGCTGAGCTGAGCTGAGCTGAACATACCTATTAGATCCAAAAGAAAACCACCAATCACTACATAAAAGACTTGAACGATACATGAGTCGAAGAATACTTGACGCTACCCTAATATCATCATAGCTTCGATCTGAGAGGCACAATCTCACAAAGAAGAAAAGCGAAATGGCGTCAACATCCGATGCACACGCTGCAGCGCTGGGATATGCGGTCAAGCAGCTTCAGGTTGGAATCGTCAGTGATGATAATGAGGACAACAATAATAAACAATCAAGTCAAGTTACCAAGAAGCTTCGTCGATTGTTTCCAGACCGCATTTGTGCGCACCAATTGACCGTGGGATCACCCTTCCCAAACGAAATGGCATTGCTAGTCCTCTGCTGTTCACTCGGATTGAGCAAAGAAACTTCCAAATGGATTCAATCGTCCATGCAAAAGCTGAAAGGGCGAGGAAGTGGCGAAGTTGATGATGATGATGAATGCAACCAACAACAAGAGGAAGCTGCAATAACCGATGTACTTGTGTGGACGGACTACGATCTTGATCGCAATCTACAAGATCGTCAACACTTTTACAACATCCTTGTTGCGAATGGACTGACCGAATGGGTACCACACCGCGCCCTCTTGATGCCACCGGAAGTGGACGTCTTTGGACGCAAACTGGTGGAACCAACTTCGGATGCCCTGGAAGCCGCTGCAGTCACTATCAGCAACCTGACAGTCAACGTATCGTCTGCTCCAGCGACGCCAACAGTAGGGAATACCGCTGGGAACGTTGCGTCGCCCAGCACGGCGTTGACCATCAAGCCCAAGGCGTTTGTCGATCGAAGGGACCAACTCGAGATTAATGGCGTGATTCTATTAAAACCGGTGTTACGACGGCCCCTGGATCCCAACGATCAAAGCGTCACCATCTTTTACCCGCGGAGTCAGGGTGGGGGTGCCAAAACGCTGCAATTTCTGGACGACAAGGAACTCAACGTGCCAAACTTCCGCGCACACTTTGATCCCAATCTACGTCATGTCACTCGGGATACTAGCCAAACATTTATATACGAGGAACTCCATTTGCCACCGCAAATTGATAAAGAGGCCAGTGAGAAAGGAGAAGTTTCCACGAAACCGGGGAGCATTGCCGAAGTTGTCACGCGACAAAAAGAGCGCAAACGAGATCGCTTCCGCAAGTTTATGAAAAAGTTGGGTGGGGAAACCGAAGTGCCCATTCAATTCGGAGATGACGATCAAGTCTCGTACGATTCCGATCTCACTCGGTTGGACCGCAAGATCTTTGTGGTCACGACAGCTGCTCTGCCATGGATGTAAGTCAAATGAAGAAAAAAATCGTTTGTTCTCTGCTGGAGTGTTGTTCCGTAACTAAGATCTTGTGATTGTGTGATCAATTCTTGCTACCAGGACTGGTACGGCAGTGAACCCATTGTTGCGAGTGGCGTATCTAAAAAAAGGACGTCCCAAGAACAGCGTTACCTTGGTGATCCCATGGCTGGCCCGCGAAACGGATCGATTAAAGGTATATGGAAGTAAGCACACCTTTGAAAACAAACTAGAGCAAGAGGAACATGTCCGAGGGTGGTTGCGGAGTGAGGCTGGAATGCCAGAAGAAGCAGATCCCGAAAATGGAATTCAAATCATGTGGTATCCGTCTCGCTATTATGCTGCGCTGGGGTCTATTTTTCCATCTGGTGACATTTGCAAACAAATTCCAAAGGAAGATGCCGACTTTTGTATTTTAGAAGAGCCGGAACATCTCAATTGGATCCGGTCTGCCGAAGAAGAGGGAGAGATTTGGACCGACAAATTCAATCATGTGGTGGGCGTCATCCATACCAACTACAAGGCCTATGCCTCGGCCACAGCTGCAATCGCAGCCCCTGTTGTTTCCGGTCTGAGTTCATTGATGGTTCGAGCATATTGCGACAAGGTCATCAAGTTGTCAGCAACATTGCAAACCTACTCGCCGGAAAAGGAGGTTGTCTGCAACGTTCATGGTGTTCGATCTGGTAAGCTTATTTGCCTATGACACCTATTATCGTCGATGTGTTGATCTTGTCTAATGCTGTTGTCAATATCGTTGGATAATATCAGACTTTCTGGACATTGGTGCACGGAGAGCATTGGAGCAGCCCATATCGCCAACGAATACAAATATTGCAGTGGATGCTACTGGCGCAGGTGATGAAAAACCAGTGGCCTATTTCATTGGGAAATTATTATGGGAAAAGGGATTGGATCGCTTGCTTAGGTTACAGTATTTCTATAAGGAGATCACAGGAGAATTCTTTCCCATTGACATCATTGGGGATGGTCCCGATCGGACCGAAATTGAGGCCACCTATTTGGGTCTCGATGGCAAATCAATTCGCAAAGTCCTAGCTAGTAGCGATGCCATCAAGTTCTCTTGGGGTGCAGTGACGGAACAGCTTGGAAATGTATTGGAGGTCCCGACATCGTTACAGATGCAAACTGGAAAGGTCCCAGGACAGTTTCACGGTCGGCAGGATCATGCCCATTTTTGCGCCGAATACAAGGTGATTATCAATCCATCCGTTACCGAAGTCTTGTGCACGACGACTGCCGAAGCCTTGGCGATGGGAAAATTTGCCATTATTCCCAAGCACCCATCGAACGATTTCTTTTTGCAATTTCCAAATTGTCGTACGTATTTGCATATTTGCCTGTTCTGACTGGCCTTTCATGAATTGACTTTTATTTTGTCTCACACTAAATGTGATATCTCTTTCGACAGTCGCCTATGAGAACAAGGTCGAGTTTGTTACCAAGTTGGTATATGCCTTGACCAGAGATCCCGAACCGTTGACCGAAGACTTGTCGTATATCTTCACCTGGGAGGCTGCGACGGAACGATTGATTGTCAACTCTGCCATCACCATGAAAGAAGCCCGAGTACGGGCAAAGGCACGAAAGGGTCACGAGGACGACCGGATTGCCAAAATGTACAACAAGTTGGGCATTCGAGGTCACGCATGGGGATCCCTCTTTGGTAATCCGCCCTCACCAGAGCGAAAATCCGAGTCTGAAACCGATGAAAAGGAAGCCGAAGAGACTGCAGATGAAACCGTCCGTGCTTGAGTGGAAAATGTTGATTAGTATCTATTGTAGATATCTGTAATATATGTAGGTGTGAGAAGAGGACTGGAGGTACTGTACTGGTACCGGCACCGGTAGCAGTATATGCATCACTAATCTTTTGATAAAAAATAGTGTGATGCCAAATTTTCAAATCCTGAGTGGTCGGAATGCGGGATGCGTAGTAGGCGATAGAACGGTTAGAATTTCGCCGGCTTGCTTTCATGTGTCAGTCTAAGTATTCTGGCCGGCGCCTTTTTTGATAATGCAAAGTTGGATGCCAAGAGTTGGAAACTTTTGAAGATTATTACCAAGTGACAAGTGCGCATCTCTTCAGTCACTCACCAGTCGGTTGTGTGATCACAGTGATTGTTTAACAAGACAACGAGATCATTGCGGAAGCCATCATCCCACTTTAGAAGGAAGAAGTGGCTCACAATATTTGAAACACAACTGAGAAAAAGCATTCATTCATTCATTCATTCATTCATCATGACGGAAGCTTCTGACGAATTTCAGGGCAAAGAGATTTCATTGGCGCAACATACCTATAATATCTCTCCGAAGAAGAAAGGACAAAAGCGCCCGCACTTTCCGGAGGATGACGAGGAGGCAAACTACGCGTTCAGTAGTAGACGCATGACCAACAAGGAAGGCAAAGGAATGACCAAATGGTATTGCTTTTGTGCCTTTATCTGGTTGGCTGTTATTGGAATGGCAGCCTATCTGGTTCCGACATATTTATTGAATACTTCTAAAGGTGAGTTCTTTGTATTATTGATTGAATTTAGTCATGGTAGCTTCATACATGACACTGGAATGTGATGATTCTCACCTGACACCTGCCTGAATTCAGAATCCAATCTTGCACCTCTGGCACCAGCACCTTCGTCGCCACCCTCGCCCACTCGATCACCAGCTCCCATCGTGACCCGAAAACCGGTTGCAGGAAGTCCTGGTGGATTGGGTGGTGGTGGTGGTGGTGGTGATGGAGATGACGACATCACTACGGATCCACCTCAAATGACACCCGCCCCTTCGAACGGTGTGCCAGCAACCAAGACACCTACCCGCCTTCCGACACCATTCCCCAGCAGTGTCACGGTGACGACACCAACCCCAACCGCCAACAATGGAATCCCAACTGCGAGTCCCACCAATTTGCCAGTGGCAGAGCCATCGGCGCAACCATCCTTCTCCCCCGATCCAATCCGTGACTACATTCTTACTATTGCATTTGAAGGAGGTGATGAGTTCCAAGATCCCGAGAGTTACCAATCCAAAGCCTTGTCTTGGCTCATGACGCAACAAGTTCCATCCAATCCACATATAGATGTATCAGCACGACAAGGGTCAAGATTGGTCAATCTGTCCTTGGAACAAGAAGCCAAACAATTGTACGCATTGGCCTGTTGGTATTACAACACCAATGGAGTGGCCAACTTGGCGACGGATGAATTCTGGTTGCCCAACTTGCCGGCGGGTACTACCCAACTACCAGGATGGTTCGATGAGGACGGCTGGTTATCCTCAGCTTCCACAGTCTGTTCGGAATGGTTCGGAATTGGTTGCAACCAAGATGGATTGGTGGAAGCCATTGTCATGAATGACAATCTGCTGAGTGGAAAAATTCCCAACGAAATTGGTTTGCTGAAAGATTCCTTGCGGTACATGGACGTCCGAGAGAATTATTTGGCCAATATTGGATACGGGGAATACAACTTTTTCAATTACCTGACCAATGTACAGATATTGAAATTGGGATTCAATTATTTGTCCTACGATGGGATTCCACCCCAATTGGGTGCCATGACAAGTCTCGTTGACTTGGATGTTAGTTACATGCTGTGGTATGGCGAACTCAAGCCTGGTGTATTTCAACCTCTGCAGAATTTGGAATTTTTGGCAATGGGAGGAAATGAATACAACAGTGCCTTGCCCAATGATTTGGTTCAATTGCCAAATTTGAAGTTCTTGTATGCCGAGTTTACAAACATTAAAGGTAACTTGGATTTCATTGGCGACTTGACTGGCATGGAAGAGATATGGATTGACCAAAATGCCATTACTGGAACAATTCCGACGACGATTGAAAACCTTGTTTCGATGGAATCCTTGTCATTCACCCTGTGTCAAATCTCTGGGACAATCCCGTCGACCGTGGGCAACCTCCAAATGCTGCGACAGGCGTGGATGAGCAACAACGATCTGACTGGTCTTATTCCGCAAGAGTTTGCGAATTTAGGTAATTTGGAACGGTTGCATTTGCAAGGGAATAATTTGAATGGTGCAATGCCTTCAGCAATTTGTGAAGAACGATTTCCTTTTGGCAGATTGACATACTTGCAGGCCGACTGTGACGGTCTTGGTAATGTTGACTGTGGTCAGGGAGATTGTTGCACATGCTGTGGCCCCGACTGTCCGGATTTTTAGACCTTGTGCGCTGGGAGTAGTTTCCACTGAAGATTTCTTTCTCAACTTTCATTGTATCCTACAAAAGCAACTTTATAATTTATAATGCATATTTGAATTTACCTATGTCGTCAGATTGTAACACAAGGGTGAGTACTAAATATGAGATCTATTGCCCGCTGGTCCTTGTACCGGTACTAGACGCATCTGAACAAATCGCTGCATCCAAATGTAGAAAGCTCCTCACTGCTTAATTGCACTTGTCTGCCGAAGAAGCAACATTGGCGAGCCAAGCAGCAGTGTGCATGACCTCCAACGACATCACCGATACCCCGATTAGCTTTCACTCTTCTACAGTAGTTGGCATAAGCTAGTTCTTCCAAACCGCAAGAACCATCTAGGTTTCACTGTCAGGTATGTTCTACTCCCAGTACATTTTCGTTCGCCTTTGGGAGCGAGTTCTTGTTCTTGCCTTTCTCGCTTCAACTAATTCTAGCTAGTCTGAAACAGACTTATTTGAAGTCGGATTTTGGCTTTTCTCTTCGCAGTCTTCGTAGTATGCCTCACGCAAGCGACGAAGTAGTTTCTTCGTTCGTGATTTGCCTGTCCGACGGACAATGGCACTGCCCAATGCATTGAACCCTGGAGGTACTGGCATATACGAAGGTAACGGGATAAGCAATGTCAATCGCAACTCGATGGATATTGTACAGCTTTCATCCAAATTATCCTCGCCATCATGTGGAGATTGAACACTAAAGACACTTTCACCTTTAAAGGTGGATGATTCCAATATCGAGGTGACTGCTCGGCTTCCGGGACTTTTAGATGCTTTCACAATATCGGTTCTTGCATCTTCAATGGATACTACAACGCGGCCTTGAGATGCCCGAAGTACTTTATTCACAAAGACCGGTTGTAGCGTCAGGCCCATGAAATCCACGACGGGTTGCTTGCATTCCCAAAGTTGGCTTTCGCCATCTTCCTTCGTCTTCTTCTCCTGCTTGCTACGACCTGTATTTTCTTCATCTTGCTTGGAACAATTGCTGGTGCCAAGCAGATATATGTCACTGCTAGGAGACTGCAAAAAATCGGATACTGATTCCACCGACGCATCTTTCATTTCCAGAGTGCAGCTGGCATCTCCCGAGAAGGAAAGAGTCGAACACAGTTCGCTGCTTGATGATGAATTTTGTCGGGATCTTATCTTCACTGCTGATCGCCCACCAGATGTCGGCGAAGGCGGAATGGCGATCAAGGCCGTGACAGGTGATGAAAGAAGGATAACACAACAATGACTGAAGACAATTAGGAAAAAGTAATGAAGCGAAGGGTTGCTTTGGCATCCAAATTGTGTTCTGTTCATCTGCCGCCGACTCCGCATGGTTCTTGACGCTAGCTTATGAAAAAATGGAGGAGGCTGCGTCATTTTTATCGATGCGGCGTTTTACCTAATACTATAACGAGGGTGATGATTGATGATGGCGATGATATGCCAGCATTTTCAATATGTGTCAGAGGTGTGCGACGCTCTCCATATTCTCCACTTCGCCGTGTATCCAATTTGCCGATTCATCGCAAATTGAAAATCAAACGAAGTCAATACTTTAACGCTATCCATGTACCTACTACCCCATCCTTGCTCCTACAGTACTGTCTGGTAATGTAAAAAAACCAAATACCAATTCAATGCGGTCTATCGGTAGATATAATCTAGTAACATCTTATTCCGCGTGCAGCTTATCTTCTACGTCTCCGGTTTCGGAACATTTGGGCTATCTTAAGTCGGACCTCCTCCTTTGGAACTGGACCCCAAACTGATTCTTCCTCATTTGCATATTGCAAAAAGCGACCGCCATTCCTTTCAATCTCATCAATAATGGCATTTATACCATTTCGCTTCGTCTCATTGTTTCCAGCATCATATGCTGGTGAATATTTCAGAACTAGCGTTCTGAGATGTTGGTTCCCCGCATTGTTGCTTTTTCCAGCTCCAGTATATATGACATCATTCGCGCTTGGTTGCGTGATCAGTGATGATGACTGGGACCCAATACTGGTAACGGGCATGGCTTGAGGGAACAATTGTTTGCGATGATCCATATTCATCATTTGGCCGCTTGAATGAAGTTGCATAGAGATTCCGTATGTAGATAGGCGATACTGACACTCGAGATGCGATCCAAAGTGGACTTTTAATCTTGAACGCAACTTTGCGGGCATCACCTATATTGGAGTTGCAACGATAGTTACAGTATTAGTGTTCGCTGGTATCGTTAAAGAAATAAACAGACGATCTTACCTTCACAGCCATGTAGCAAGTTGCATACTGTCCCACATCAGAAGAGCATAAATGAACTGAGGCGTTATGAACTGGAATTGCAAGAGCAACCTGTACATTCTCAACAAATCCCATCCCGTTCGTCCTGTCCTTGAATTCCTCGATAGCGTACAGAACATGTACAACTCCCCTTAGCTGGGTTTCTTTGTTCTTTAACAATGTCATCATGAAGTAAAACTTCGCCCTTAGTTCATTCCGCAGATCCTTGAATGTTCTATGACCTGGAAATTGACAGCAGACTACTCTATTGGACCTGTCTTTTCCAAGGAGTTGAAGCCACCCTGAGCTCAAAGATGTTCGGTCATCCTCATTCAGGTCTTCCAGCGTAATATCTTTCACCATCTTTTCCGCACCAAAGAGCTTCTTTTTTACTTCGAAAAAACGAAGCAACTGATCTGCGGTAGCCCTCGTATCGTACTGATTGCTCCTGAGAAACATCACTCGGAATGGCCAAGCACTGACATATGCAGCATCCATTCGTTCGGCCATTTCATAAGCACTGCCTCGTTTGATTCTCACGAGATGATTATCAAGCTCATGGAGGGTCGAGTGGATAAAAGTTGCTTCTTCCGCAATTTTTTCATCCACTCCATGAAGAACTTCTTGCTGACGTTGTCGCTCCTCAAAAGTGAGTTCATTCATTGCGTCTGACAACAAATCATCGACCTCCTTTTTCTTTTTCTCATCTTCTCTGGACAACGTAGTGTCTTGGCGGCGATTCATCTGCTGCGTCAAGCTGACATAATCAGGGTCCTCTGAGCTGTAGCCAAAGCCAAAGCAACCCGTCGTGCTGCTCAGCTGCTGATCAAATACGCTCATGGTATATATGTGGTCTCGCTCGCCGATAGTGACACCCAAACAACAGAAAGCGAAGTTTACAGTGAGTGATGGTAGGCGATGGTCCTGTTCTGCGTGGCGTAGTGCAATAAGTGTTTATTTCGCCGCCATGTTATCAATCACCCACGGACGACAACTGACGGACGAATACTGTACTCAGTACCAGGTACCATATTATAGTCTGAAGTCGTCACATAGCATCGGTATTGTATTTGAAATGAATAAAAGTCCCCTCTCGGTCATGGCTACCGGTACTAAAATAATTTACACTACTACATCCAATTACAGGTAGTCCAACTCTCATAATTTCTTGCCAATATTTCCATATAACCAGCATGAGCGCAGGTAGTCCAACTCTCATAATTTCTTGCCAATATTTCCATATAACCAGCATGAGCGAAAATAATTCCAAATTTTGCTGTAGGGCCCCCCTGATACTACTATCTGCTCCAGAGACTATCTTATTTGTGTCGTATACGTCGATAGTTTCGGAAATACTTGGATATCCGCTCCCGAGCTTTCTCATCTGACACTTCCAAAAAACCGTCACTGTATGGTATTGGTTGCAGGAAGCGGCCACCTTTTCCTTTGATTGTTTCCATGACAGCGACGACTACAGTTGCTTTCGTTCCGCGGTCCAAGGCATTGTATTCTTCGGATCGTTCCCGAATTTGATGGTGCATATACTCCTTCCCTCGAGTATTGTGTGACTTGCCAAACACCACATCAGATGGGAGTGGGCTGCCTGCAATAGGAGTACCATCGATGACGTTCATCTGACGCGACGATACTCGTTTTATTGCTCGCTTCTGATTGCGGAACATCTGAGCGACCTTTATTCGTACTTCCTCGATGGGAGATTCAACCCAGTATGGTTCTTCATCACTGGTAGTTCTTAGAAATCGCCCTCCAGTGCTGTTAATCTTTTCGACCATTTCATCTACAACGACTCGCTTTTTCTCGTTTGACGCAGAATCGTATACTTGCCACAATTCTATGACAAGATTTCTCAGGTAATGGTTTCCAGGGTTGTTGCTTGTTTTGTTGCCGGTGTACAGAACATCGTTGGCGTTTGGTTGTATGGCCATCGATGATGTGGAGTTAGGAAGGTTAGCCCCATCTCCCCCGAAAAGATAAGACTGCATGAGGAGACCTCGATTGAGTGCGTTGATTTGCAGCCTTGATATTCCAAAGGAACATAGGCGATATTGACATTCGAGATGCGACCCGCAGTGAATGCGATTTCTTGAGATCAATTTTGCGGGTAATACCTGCAAGTTGGGTTATTTAAAATAAGTGAGTTCTTGTCGATAGCGTTTCAGAAAAACAGAACATCAAGCATTGTATACCTTCACTACCAGGCTAAAAAGCGCATACTCGCGCACATCGCTACAGCAGGTGTGAAATCCGGCGACGTAAACTGGAATTGCAAGAGAGACCTGGGTATTCTCGACAAATCCAATTCCACCTGTGCTGTCTCTCAACTCTTCTACAGCGTAGATAACACCCACTATTCCCTTTAATTGCGCTTCTTCCGACTGTGCCAGCCTCATTATGAAGTAGAATTTCCCTCTCAATTCATTTATTAGATTCTTGAAGAGTCTAAGCCCTGGATATTGAACGAATATCAATCTAAAACGACTCGTGATCGTGAGTATCATTCATGAAGGTGATTTGCATGGTCCCACGCCGATGATTTTGTCATACCTTCCAGATCTATCTTTCCCGTGAAGCTGAAGCCATCCAGAGCGCAACGATGCTCGGTCATCCTCATCCAGGTCTTCCAGCGTAATGTCTTTGACCATCTTTTCCACTCCAAAGAGCTTCTGCTTCACCTCGAAAAAACGAAGCATTTGGGACGCTGATATTCTCGCGTCGTACTTGTTGCCTCGAAGAAACATCACTCGGAATGCTCGTGCACTCACATATTCAGGATCCAATCGTTCCGCCATTTCATAAGCACTTCCTTGTTTGATTCTCTTGAGATGATTATCAAGTTCTTGAAGAGTCGAGTGGATGAACGTTGCTTCTTCCGCAATCTGTTCATCCACTCCATGCAGGACTTCTTGCTGACGTTGTCGCTCCTCAAACGTGAGCTTGTTAAAAGCAGCTGTGAAATGGTCATCCACCTCTTTCTTCTTTCTCTCCTCGTCCCTTGTCACCTTATGCTGGCTGTTCTTTTGCTGCGTGAAAACATCGTGGTTCGGGTCCTCTGGGCTGAAGCAAAAACCAAAGCAGCTCGCTGTATTGTTACTGACGCGTTGCTGGTCGAATACGCTCATAAGACGTGGTGCCTGTGATGATGGAGGAGGATGGGTGCGAATGGAAACTGCGATGCGACGCATGTTGGCATCCGCATCGGTAGTACCTCTTCGACGAGAATAATAAGCGGTGGGTTTTTGTAAGCGAATTGAAGCGTTGTTTGTTGGATACGACCATACCAACATGACAGCACCGCTTCCCGTCCGCTCAGCGAAGTTAAGCATGTTCGGGCCTGGTTAGTACTACGGTGGGGGACCACGTTGGAATCCCAGGTGTTGTATTCTTTTGCGAATTGGTTTATTCTTTTGCATTTTAATTCCAATTTTACATCTTTACCAGTAAAGTTGTAACACCGGTACAAAAGGCAGACATTCTCCTTTTGCCTTTCTCAACCTTTCTCAAATTGGGACTGTTATAAGTGCAGTCATGGCTCGCATGGTGCCGTCAGTATGTATACAGTACTATCATGTGTACGGCGGGCACAGGCCAGGTAATGTTTTGACTGTGTTTTCGCTTTGGATCTTACAGGACCTGTTGATTGTTGGATGTCTTCAACCGTCCTATACCTATGCAGTCTCTTTTGGATGAATTACAGCTTTCTTTGTTGGCCCTTCCTCATCTTTCTTTGTTCTCCAAATATTGAGCCCATCGCAAGAATGAGATAATCTGCGAATCAAACCCAATGCCGCTTCTTTGTCACAAGCCTCGCACAAATGACATTTTCAGCTGGCGGAGTCGCGTTTTCGTTCATGCCCTGATTCACCTTACTTTCAAGGTTTGTTGTCAACTCAAATCAGGTTTCTGTCATGTATGACGGTATGCTCCGCATCTTGAGGTATTCGAGATATCAAAATTCACATTATGATGTGCCTCCAATTTTCGATTGAGTCTCTGCAATGTGAATATATGGACAACGCTATTATTCGAGGTGCCTGAGCATCATTTCAATGAATTCAGGCGCATCGATCATCACATCCTCGTCAACACTCATTGATTGTTACCTCGTTCAAGATCGCTCTAAATCCTGGCGATAGCCAGGATCATAGAGTATATCACCTTCCGACGCTATGCAGACATGGGGCGCCAGTGCTGTGTAGTAGATCTCCTTATTGCGTTCCTATTCCTTTCCCTTCTTTTCTTCTCTTTTCGTTTTTTCTTTCGTTTTCCTTTTTCTTTCGTTTTCCTTTTCCTCTTCCTTTCCCCTTCTTTTCTCTCCCCCCGCGGGGGATATAATACAATATAGTCTAGACTGGGACGGCCGGGAAAATCAATATTTACTCCCAAGAATTGTATGCTAAATTTCTATTTCCCGGCCGTTCCTCCTCTTGTCTCCACCATGCCTCTCCCCCGAATTTTCAGTTGCCGGTTGCTGAATACCGGTAGGGACAAATCGCTGAGTATACACGTTCTACGCAGTATTCCGATCGTGCGTGATCAACTTCAAACTATCAGGAACCTTCATCATTGAACCCAAACTTGAAACAAAGAACGAAGCGTCGACGAGAGACTGCAACTGTTTCTCCGGCGTGGATTCGAAACGATCATCTAAAGACTTGATCATAATTTTGTCAAAAACCTTGAGAATATATGATAGGAGAAACGAATTATCATAGCGGGAAAATGATAGCTTCAGTCTTCCGTGTTGCTTCATCGTTGCTTCTCCTGTCATGTATACTACAATCACCATCATCAGTCGACGGTTACATTGATTGGGAAACAGTGCCTGAAGGCATATTTGTGGGTCCAGGTGTCGGACAAATCCAGGAAACAGACTTTTGCGATGTGGTACGCGACAATTCAATGCCGCTGTTAGACGCCTTGAAGGGCCGCAACCTATCCATCGCCATCCAGTATGGGCCTGGCTTTGATTTCTTCATATACAAGCCTGACGAACCACTCTCACCGTCAAACCCAAGAGGAATGATTGCCACCATGTTGGATGAACTGGGGAGAAGAGGTGGATTTTCTTGGAGAAATTCCTTTGTCGCATACGATACCAATACGGTCAACGCTTTGGTGGGTGAAGGAGATGGCAAATGGGATCGAATGTTGAATTGGACGATATCCACTTTTGATCTGAGTGTCGACAAGTGGTACGTAGCTGAATTGGAAGATTCGGTGAATGAATGAATGAATCATATGGAACTCGAAACCTGACATTGTTTTGCACCTCCGCTGTTAATTGGATTGGCGTTCTAGGATCCTGACTACGGAGCGACTGGAAAATGAAACTGTGTTTTTGCATTCCTGGTTTGACGCCGGCTTGATCTTGGTGGATCAGGGGGACCAGACGGATCTCAATTGGCTGGGATTTGCGGCACCGTTTGATGGATACGTTTGGATGGCCATTGCTTTCACTCTTTTCTTCAGTGCTGTATCTTCAATGGTCATTGAAAGCTTTGAGGGCCGAAGGGGTGGTCGTTCTTATGCGTGGTGGTTGGGCGATCAATTGTACTTTAGCAACTTGGCCATTTCGCAGCACTTTGTTTTTCCCAGCCCCAAAACTGGAGCTGGCCGAGTCTTTCTCTCCTCCTTTGCCTTTTGGTCCATGCTTGTTGGTGCCACATACACTGCTAATCTCGCCAGTCTGTTGGTCGAAAACGCCTTGGCTAGTCCCGTTAATAGTATCGAGTCTGCTATGGACAATGACCTTTGGATTTGCATTCACGAGGGGAGTGCTAGTCAAAGCATCATGCACTCATTAATTCCAGAATCAATTACCTATGACAAGTTTATTGGGACATTGACCCCACAACTTATGTATGAAAACTTGCAGAGTGGGGGGTGCGATATATTGCTCGGAACCAGACAAGAGTATGAAATTTTCGGGAGTCAACAGCAATACGGATGCAACTTGGTCCAAGCTGGAATGGAACTGCATTCAAGTGCAGCAAGTTTCGCCATCGAATTTGATCCGTTGAACTGCGATTCTGTGCTGGCTTACGTGCTGAACATTCATCTGAATAGCATCGATGTAGATGGAAACATGACCAAGTACTGGAAAAATTATTTGGATAACATTGAGGAGGATACTTGCACTGACGAACAGGATCAATTGATGGGCATTCGTCGACGAATGGTAGAGATGGATGGAAAAGACACCTCAGCCGGGACTGCATCCAAATTGCCAACATCACGACCGCCACGACCGCCACCCGCTAATCTCAAGAACCGCCGCAAGCTGATTTCAAGAGTACCATCTGCTACTTCCGCTGTATCGGGAAATGGAAGTGGAAATGACGAGGCTCTTACAATTTCTGGTATGGCGGGCATCTTCCTGATACATGCTGTGGGTACTGGTCTTTCGATTCTGTTAGCAATCTATTCGGCTTATCGGAGAAAAAGAAAGCGAAAGGCCGCCGCCGCGTTGGGCAAAGGCAAACGTTTTGATGACAATTCTTTTGTGGAATCCGAGTTAAATCTCAAATACCTGTCAATGAAGCGCGAGATGACAACGCAAATGCAAAATATGAAATTGGACATGATGACACAAATGGACAACTTCTTTGAACTTCATCGCAAGTCCGTGTCGAATGGCACGGCAGACCTTGGGATGGAGCAACAGCGGCAGCTTACCAACAGCAGAGAAGTAAGGACGAGTCGCGATACGGGGCAAATATCGAAGACTGTGCACAGCAACAGTTCCATGGACACGGGAGACGTATATGATGATTGGAATGACTTGCATGACTTGTAAGCGGGACGAAATATAAGGGCTGTTTCATGTCTTGCGAGGCCAGCTCGGCGAATCATCATCATCTATATTTGTATCCGAAATAGAATCATAGATGCATACACTAGAGGTACTACTTGTATTTGTACTACTCTGTCAAACTTTTATTTTTTTACAATTTGTTTTATGAAATTGTCGGCTTAACCAATTAAAAGAGTTCATGTCCAATTGAAGAGTTCAATTGAGCACAACCCACACCTGAACAATTCAGTTATCAGTCTTCGGCATCTAATAGATCTGCGGTCTGCGCCACCAATGAGGTCTGCATCAGCGTTGATAGACCTCTATCCATGACGCAGGCCGGACTTTCGTTATCTTCCAGGTCAAGCTTAATATTGCCCAGTGCAGTACGAGTGTGCTGACTTATGAATGACTCTTGTGTTTCCGTGGACGACCCTGTCTTGGTAATACTTATTGATATCACTGTCTCCAATGGTTCTCCTTCTGGGAGGGTATTCGAAACGGAACTCGTCTCGCTGCTAGACATGGACGCAGAATCATCTGACGATGAGCCGTCATCGGAAGAATCATCATCATCATCATCATCATCATCATCGGAGGAAGCCGATTGATAGTCCAACCCAGCCAAGCTTGAAGCATCTTCTGCCTCGTCTCCAACGATGCCGAGTCTGGAAGAAGTATGGCTCGTTGTTGATGTAGACGCATTGGAGGAGCAATGAGTTGATCGATATCTTTCCAACTCTGGCACTGCGACAGCAAGCAAAGAGGCCAAACGTTGAGCCAGTTCTTCCCCTCCTTGTCGCATCGGAAGCACATCCATAAAAGCGTTATAAGCGTTGTGAAAGGCTCCCTTCTTCCAACAATCGTAGTCAACAAAATACTCTTCAACTTCAAAGGTAACCAAGTCGAAGAGCCATTTGGTTTCGCTATCATCAGCTTCATCAGGTTGAGTTCCTTCGTCGCCTTCGTCTTCTTCGTGATCATCTTGTTGTACTGTATCGAATAAACGATCGGACACGGGAAGCTTGAGCAACTTCAAGAAGTGTGCAATGTATTCGAACGATGTGGGAGGGTTGATTTCCCACTGGAGTTCATTAAGGAGCACGACTTCCATTGCTTCCAACTGTTCAGATGTATGAGCAAGATCCTCGGCACTGGTTTTCCCATTATCATCTCCACCACCACAAACATATGCCATATCTTCAATAGGGATGGCTTCCTCCTCGTGGCACTTGATCATAATGTACAATGCTGTGATAACAGCACGTTGATAGAGTATGGGATCCGACAACAGGATCCTTCCACCCTTCAGCAGGATGAATCGATCGATGAGGTTGATGGCTCGTTCAATTGTTTCTCGCCTCAGTTCCATGGTGCCTACCATGGCGAGGCACCATTCAATCATTCGTTTTCGCTGAATAGGCTTTACGAACGCAGAGAATGGCTTATTGGCTGATGATAAATTATCATCAGCAGTCTGTATTACATACGAGGTCTGTTCCCGGTTCAGCATAGTTCGGATGGACTCCAAAGCATCTTGCTGATCACTATCTTCAGTTTCCTTATTCGCTTGCATTGTTTTGCTTGGGATCACGCCGTCCGCACCATCTTTGGATCGATGCTTTTGATCATCTAGTTGGCGTTGCGTTGATGTCATAATGGCTTGATGGGCAATGGTCAATGGTCAATGGTCAATGGTCAATAGTGATGCGAAGGATAAATTATGAGAGTGAATGAATGCAATTGGATCTTTGTTACAAGACCCTCCGCCGTTGAACAGGTATACGATTATACTTGAGAAAACGAGATTTCAGGCTTCTCTCGATGTTGCGAACTTCGAAAAATCGTCCCGAATTTTGGCCGCGTGCAGCATCCACCGAACAGAAGGTTAAGTTTTTGAGCCTTGTGGTTGCGAGTCCCATAAATACATCAAGAATTTGAATGTTGGATATCGACGAAAGCGAATATAAAACTCCCTTGCCTGTATTGGGATTTGGTAAGACAAATTGCACTTATGGAGTTTGTGGACATTTTCGGAGGTTTGCCAAAAATGCAGATGGAGAATGGTACGTGCGCCTCTCATCGCTCACGATCTGGTTTTGAGCATTCTTCGGCTTCGAAACGATAACAAAATTGGCCACAGGACCCCTTCAGCGGAAAGGCAGTTTATCAACGGTGTTGATATCTCCCTCTAAATGTTTTTAGACGCGTTGTGAATGGGTCAACAAGTTCCTGCGGAGGAGTAAATCGAACCGCCCGGTATTGTACCAGTGCCTTGAAGTACCAGGTACGAACCGGTACCACAGCACCTGGTATGATATGCAATGGTCGAGCCGTCAGCCGTCAATCGGTCAAGTTAGTCGAAAATGTCATTTGTCTGTCTGTGTCCCGTGAGGCGGAAAACTCCCTCACCCCCGTTTTGAGTCTCGCATTTGTGTAAGCCCCATAACAGGGTTTCCATCCATTGCGAAGAGCGCACACTCAGCAATAAATAAAAAAAGAACATCGAGAAGAATCAAACGATATATTACGGTATATATATTGAGGACGTGATTGCATGCACATACGGTACTGGTAAAAAGTACAGTAGTGAGAGCTTCAGCATATTCAATATTATCGACAACAGATACGAATACCTTATTGCGAGAGCTTCTTACTGTCAATGGCAAATAGACTGATGAAGTCACTTCAATGCGTTCTGGCACTTCTTTTCTTCCTAGAAGTGCCTTCAGTGGAATCAAACATTGACTGGAGTGGCAATTGGGAGGGTAGAACCAATTGGACCGAGGTCCCAGACGGCGCCTTTGTAGGGCCTGGTGTTGGAAGTGCTCAAGGGACAGACTTTTGCGAGGTGGTTCGTGACAAGTCCTTTCAACTCAAGGATGCTTTGCGTGGAAAAAACCTGTCCATTGCGTCTCAGTATGGTCCCGGCTTTGATTTCTTCCAATATGACCCCGACGAACCACTGTCGGAGACAAATCCTACAGGGATGATAGCAAATGTTTTGGATGAATTGGCTGGTAGAGCAGGATTCACTTGGAGGAATTCATTTGTTGCGTACAACACAACAACTGCTGATATTCTAGTCGGTACTGGAACAGGAAAATGGGACAGAATGTTGAAAGAAACCACCAGTTTCTTCGACTTATCTGTTGACAAATGGTATGTTTGGTGATGTGCTGTCCTAGTTATGGCATGTGTACTGAACGGCAAGTCTGACGCGTAAGCTATTGTTTTATTCAGGCTTCTGACAACGGAAAGGCTGGAAAATGAGACGGTTTTTCTTCATTCTTGGTTTGACGCATCTCTAATTCTTGTTGACACGGGCAACAAGCCTGAAATTAATTGGCTTGGCTTTGCTGATCCGTTCGAATCTCGTGTCTGGTTCACAATTGCCGGCACTGTATTGATGAGTGCTATTTTCATGATTGTGATTGAATCACTGGAAAACAGACGAGATGGGCGTACTATGAAATCGTGGTTCAGTGATCATTTGTATTTGACAACTCTGGCCTTTTCGCAGCAATTCCTCTTCATTAACCCCAAATCTGCAGCAGGACGGGTCTTTTTGTCTTCCTTTGCCTTTTGGGCCACCCTTATTGGTGCAACTTACACGGCTAACTTGGCTTCTCTGTTGGTTGAAAATGCCTTGTCCAGCCCTATCCAGAGCATCGATTCTGCAATGGATTCCAAGCTCTCAATTTGTATTCACGAAGGCAGTGCCAGTCAAACGGTCATGGAATCCTTCTACCCACGATTTAGGGGTTATCCCAATCTCGTCAAGACACGAACGACTCGTGAGTTGTATGAACGTTTGGCGGAAGGCTCATGCGAAATCTTGGTTGGAACACGGCAAGAATACGAAATCTTTCGGAGGGAGGAGAAATATGGATGTAATCTTGTGCAGGCAGGTGTCGAGTTGCATGCGGGATCTGCCAGTTTTGCAATTGAGTTCGACCCTCTCAATTGCGATTCAGTGTTGGCCTATGTCCTCAACATCCATTTGAATGAAATGACTGTTGATGGGAACATGACAATTTTCTGGGACGACTATCTGAATAAACGTGACGGAATGTGCGGGCAGGTATCTGGACGACGGATGACAGAGGTAGACGACGTGTATGGACCTCCAAGATCAGAACCGATGGTTTCTCGGCAGCTAGGAGGAGCAGCAAAGACCTCAGCTGCGAGCTCTAGTACCTTCTCAGATGTGTCAAAGCCAACGGATACGTCTCTCAAGATTACAGGCATGGCAGGGGTTTTCGCTGTACATGGCGTTGGAACTGGCATTGCTATTCTCATTGCTCTTTACACGCATTTTCAAAAAAAGAATAAGAAGGAACAGGCTCGACAGAAAGAAATCTTTGGAGTCAATAGTAAGAAGGTTGCTAAAAATGAACTGGACGAGAAGTACGACGCGCTGAAGATGGAGATGATGGCGCAAATGGACCGATTCTTTGAAGAACATCGGGAAACTGGGATGCATCGGAAATCCGAAGTTCAAATGAGATCCATCATGGACGCTCGGCAATCCATGGCCATGGCTAGAAGCTCCGTGATGGTAGCCCCTAGCACCCCAAATAATGGCCGAAAAGCAGGCTTCTTTGACAATCTGAATCTTAGCAGCCGAGGAAACACGCCAAGGTCAAACACACCAGGGAACACGACAAAACATGTTGCTTTCGGGCATGATAGCAGCGGCCTTGAATCACTTCGATTAAATCCTTTGGACGAATCTGAAGAGGCCAAATCTCAGACTCCTAGCGGAGCTGAGAACATACTACTTTCCAAAACTGGTCTATCTGGTGTCTGGCGTGGATGATTCATCGGCGTAGTATTTTCCACAGTATTTCGATGGCAACAAAAAGGGGAGTTGAATGAATCTGACAAATTGTACTGCTATTGGGAACAACAAACTGTTGGTATCAGCATGGATTCGCGGAACCTCTGGAAAGAAAGCGAGAGGTCGACAAAAAGAGCGTCTAATACTGCCTGAGCTGAGAGCGCAGGTGTTGCAGTCTGATTTGATGCTCTCAAAGGAGGTACATGAATTATAACTAAGAGTGAAAAGATTTATAGATGAATAGGTTTTTTGCGAATCATCACATTTTGAACCTATCAATTCGTTGCTACTTAATAGACCCTGTCATCTTCATCATGGCAGTCCAAGATATCTTTCTTTTGAGGGTCCCAAACCAAATCATCGCACTCTTATTGTGTAGATAGCTAAGAGAAATGATGTGGCTTCCAATCAAGGAGATTGATTGCGCCTTTGGATCCCGCGCTTATTGAGAGTGTGGTAGCATGCCAGTCTCTTCTAGTCCTAATGAACCAATCAGAATTCGCTATCGATGGTTTACTGTGTGTTGAATGTTAGGATGTTTCCACGCGAACCGAATTTCGAAAACCGAGAAGATGCCAAATCCAGCCAGAGATTTTCGGTTTTGGAAAATCAGATGGCGGGTAAAAAACACGTTTCCACGCGAAAACGAAATTCGGCATACGGATTCTACCTGCCTCAGCCAATCAGAAACTGACATTTTCCAACCAACAGATATGAAATATTTTACCGCACAAAAGTTTTAATGCGAAGGCTACAAATTTAACGCGTGAGAAAGGCTATTCATATTTTTATAGTTAGGCCCAAGTCAAAATACATTAGTTTTATGTCGTGCTATTTCTATTTCCATGATAAAAATTCGGATGTCAATTCTTGCTCTTCTACTCCTACTCTTTTCTTCCCTGTATTCAACACTTCTATTCCAATCATTGTAGACTTGATCAAAGTAGCTGTAGGGAATGCCAAACCTTCGTCGAAACCTTTAGGACGAGTGCTGTCTTCGTCCCAAACTGAATCAATAGCTGCAATAGCATCTTCGTTTCTATGCTGATAGTGGTCGGCGGAATTCGTGTTGTAGAAATTGTAAAATGGAGAGTTGTAGACATCGCTTTTGACTCTTGGCGCTCTTGGGTCCCGTCCCCTCATGTCCACTGATGATACTGACGAATCGCCTTGGGACGAACCCTCACCATCAATGACACCAAGATCAAACAAATGCAGAAAGATCCTCAAAGTGAGGTCCAAGTCTCAGAAGAAATCAAAACCAATATCAAATTCAAATTGGAAGGGTGCCTCAAAGGTGCAAATGGAGATCTTGCTTAAGTCCTGACTGCTATCACTCAAAAGTTTGCTGGTGGAGTCGCGACTGCTGTTGCTGTTGCTAGTACCATCGCTACCACTGGTTCTACTGCTGCCATCATCACTATTGAAGCTCATAGGTTGGTAGGACGAGTGGTCCATATTGTCAATGTTGTTGGAATCCAGTAGATTGCTTGATATGAGGTGTTGGAGGCACTTGGTTGTGTCAGAACCTACGCATTAGCTGAGACAGGCAAAATCCGGCTGTCGGTTTTCGGCGCCGAGCTATTGCCCAAATATTCGGCCGCCGACCAACCAAAATCCGGGCGCCGACTCAGTTTTGGAGGGAAAATGTTCGTGTGGACGTGTTTTTTTTACGAAACCGAAAACCGAGAAACGAAAAAGACCCAAAACACTCGGTTTTCGGTTCGCGTGGAAACAGCCTTTTTTGCGCGGCATATTTTATTCGATGAGTCTTCTTACTTTTAAAATTAAAAACCCTTTTTAAAAAAATTGAATTTTATCATTTCGGCGAAATGTGGCTATAACCGCCACCTGGCATTCTGCGACTTTTCGTTTGTGACCTTTTATTCTGAAGGCACATTTCAATGAATCAATCCGCATGTTCAAAAAGTAGTGAGATCTGCACATATTATCAACCACAACAGATACGAATCACTTGCGAGAGCTTTGAGCTTTGAATAGTGAATAGACTGATGAAGTCGCTTCAATGCGTTCTGGCACTTCTTTTCTTCCTAACAATACAGAAGGTAGAATCAAACATTGAATGGAGTGGCAATTGGGAGGGTAGAACGAATTGGACCGAGATACCAGACGGCGCCTTTGTAGGGCCTGGTGTCGGAAGTGCTCAAGGGGCAGACTTTTGCGATGTGGTTCGTGATAATTCAATTGCACTCAACGATGCTTTGCGTGGGAGAAACCTTTCCATTGCGTCTCAATATGGTCCTGGATTTGATTTCTTCCAATATGACCCCGACAAACCACTATCTGAGACAAACCCGACGGGGATGATAGCAAATGTTTTGGATGAATTGGCCAGTAGAGCAGGGTTCTCTTGGAGGAGCTCATTTGTTGCTTACAACGCAACAAGTGCTGATCTTCTAGTCGGGGCTGGTACAGGAAAGTGGGACAGAATGTTGAAAGAAACCACCCGTTTCTTCGACGTGGCTGTTGACAAATGGTACGTGTGATCATGTCTTTTATTGTTACTTATGAGAAGCTGTGTACTGAACGGCAAGTCTGGCTCTCAACGTGTTGTTTTCTTCAGGCGCCTGACAACCGAACGGCTGGAAAATGAAACTGTCTTTCTTCATTCTTGGTTTGACGCATCTCTAATTCTTGTTGACACGGGCGACAAGCCTGAAATCAACTGGTTTGGCTTTGCGGATCCGTTTGGAGCTCGTGTCTGGCTTGCGATTGCTGGTACAGTTTTGTCGAGTGCTATTATCATGATTGTGATTGAATCACTGGAAAACAGACGAGATGGGCGTACGATGAAATCGTGGTTCAGTGATCATTTGTATTTGACAACTCTGGCCTTCGCGCAGCAATTCCTCTTCATTAACCCCACATCTGCAGCCGGACGGGTCTTCTTGGCGTCCTTTGCCTTTTGGGCCACCCTTATTGGTGCAACTTACACGGCTAACTTGGCTTCTCTGTTGGTTGAAAATGCCTTGTCCAGCCCTATCCAGAGCATCGAATCTGCAATGGATGCCAAGTTGTCGATTTGTATTCACGAAGGTAGTGCCAGTGAAACGATTATGGAAACCTCCTATCCATTTTTTAAGGGATATCCCAATCTCGTCAAGACTAAAACTGTTCCGGAGTTGTATGAACGTTTGGCGGAAGGCTCATGCGAAATCTTGGTTGGAACACGGCAAGAATACGAAATCTTTCGGAGGGAGGAGAAGTATGGATGTAATCTGGTACAGGCAGGTGTCGAGTTGCTTGGAGGATCTGCCAGTTTTGCGATCGAGTTTGATCCTCTCAATTGCGATTCAGTGTTGGCCCATGTCCTCAACATCCATTTGAATGAAATGACTGTTGACGGGAACATGACAATTTTCTGGGACGACTATCTGAATAGTCGCAACGGAATGTGCGGGCAGATATCTGGACGACGGATGACAGAAATCGACGACGTGTATGGACCTCCAAGATCAGAACCGATGGTTTCTCGGCAGCTAGGAGGAGCAGCAAAGACCTCAGCTGCGAGCTCTAGTTCCTTCTCAGAGGAGGTACCAACGGATACATCTCTCACGATTACAGGCATGGCAGGGGTCTTCGCTGTACATGCCGTTGGAACTGGCATTGCTATTCTCATTGCTCTTTACACGCATTTTCGAAAAACGTATATGCAGAAACAACAGGCTCGGCAGAAAGAGGTCTTTGGAAGTGATAGTAGCAAGGTCGCCAAATATGAACTGGACGAGAAGTATGACGCGTTGAAGATGGATATGTTGGCACTGGTGGCACAAATGGACCGATTCTTTGAAGAACATCGAGAAACTGGGATGCATCGGAAATCCGAAGTTCAAATGAGATCCATCATAGAAGAACGACAATCTATGGTCTTGGCCAGAAGCTCCATGATGATGGCTCCGAGCACCCCAAATAATGGCCGAAAAGGAGGCTTATTTGATAATATTAGCAGTCGAGGATCAAACACACCAAACAACACGACAAGAGAGGTTGCATCGGGGCATGATAGCGACAACTTAGAATCACTTCGATTGGATCCTTTGGATGTATCTGAGTCTAAAGAGTGTCAAGGTGAGGCCAAGTCTCAGACTCCAGGCGGGGCTGAGAACATTTATTGGAGTTAAATAGCCATCACATCTAAGTACCGGTATACAGATTTATAATACGGTATATTTCTACCGGTACAGTATGTGGTGATTTTTCTTGCGTGGATATGATTCAGTTGCAAGGGGGAAATATTGGATGAATCTGACAAGTTCAACTGCGATTGGAAACTGTTCATATGTGGAACAACTGGAAAGAGAAAGAAGAGGTCGATAAGGTCATCTCACGCTGGAGCCGGGCGAGCGAGTAGACAGTTACTGACATCTGATCCGATGCTCTCAGAAGGGGTACATAAATTGGAACCAAGAGTGAAGTGAACTATATATGAGTTTATTCTTTTCGAATTATCATGTTTTGAATCCAGTACTTTCCTGTCACTTCATTGCTACGTTAGTTATTAGGCGCTGACAACTGCATCGCCGCAGTCCAAAATATCCTTCTTTTGTGGGTACCAAACGAAAGATGGACGTGTACTACTCATCTTGTCATAATCGAAAACTGCAGTTTGAATGGCAGTCTCCCAAATTGCTTGGTCTTCAAAGGCATGTCCAACCAAGAGGTCTTCCACCTGGTACCTAGTTTGTGCATATACTTCCCCCTTTGTCAATGATTGGATCGCCTTGATGTTCAGTTGAAATCCAATAATAGTGCTTCCAGGAAACTCGTCAAATCGGAAACCATACAATGGGCTAGTTTCATCAATGAAGTGTCGCAAAGTCCAAACACCGAAAAACAAGTGTTGTGAAGTAACTGCTAGCTTCAAATCTTCAGGTTGCGATATCTTTAGAACTTTGTCACCTTCGTCTTCGCTTTGATATTCTTGATGCGATACGACAGTTAAGCTTGCCTCGGCGTTGATTAGCTTGTTGCTACTGGCATCTACATTTCCAACACGAATCTCGATGCAAGATTGGCCCATCACATTGGACAAGGTCATGACCTCGCTGAATTCGATGTTAGCTACAGGACCGGTATATTTAGACTTATTGTTAGACAAAATTTCTCAACGAGCAAAAGTGTTGAATTCACCTTCTTTAAAAGACTTACCTTCCGGCGTGATGAACTTGAAGAAAACCAGTCCAGCATAAACAGTGGAAAAAAGGATGGAAAATGCAGTGAGAAGGACAACCAAAGTGTTGTTCCAATAGCCTCGCGGCCAATACCCGCCATATCCAATGGTTGAGGATGTCTGCACGGCAAAGTCAAAGTGTTGCCAAAATGTCATACTCCCATCCCCGCAGCACCCATCACTCTCAATTGACCATAAGCCAGCGAAACAAGCATTCATGACCACGAATGAAACAAGGTACATGACAGTCAAGGCTGGGATGTCAAACGTCAATAAGAACCTCCTGATCTTTCGTTCGTGACAATTGCCTGGCAACTTGACATTCTTGTTGGTTATTTCAAACTCCTGTCGCTCCTTCCTGCTAGCCTTTGGTCGTTGTGTCTCGTTCTTCACCAAAGTGAAGATCACCTTGTGGCCATCAATATCCACGCATCGCTTCTTTTCCGCCGGTTTTTCAATGTCATTGTCATGGTTCGATAATTCTGAGGCAGAATGCAGAAAGGACTCCATATTGCGGGTCGATCGAAGCTTCATAGCATCGATCATTGAAGTTCTTCTCGACATGATTTCAAATTAGGATTTTCAACCCATCTGCGTTCCAATATAAACATAGAAGGTCGTATTACCGGTAATATATTTTATTTGCATTGAAGTACTGTAGATGCGAATATAACGGTATGGTGTTACAACAGCATGCGAATTGCGAAAATTCGTTTTGACACCTTGTATCTTACAGCGGCCAGACGACGCAATAGTTACTATTATATATGGTGCTATTATGGTCACTGGTAGATTAATATTGTTATTGCCAAAACATCCATGACCAGTACCGTAGTACAACGTGGAGAATAGATACCCAATCTAAATACAGCAGTATCAAGTTTCGTTATCTTTACCGTTGCTCTATTTAGTGCACAGATCCATAATACTTATCATACAATGAAGTCCCCAATTTTACAGTGTGATGAAATTCATCGCGAAAGCAGCAGTCCCCTACTTTTTCACTTCTCCATTCCAAGAATGTCTGTTGAGTTCGGGTACCATACAAGTGAGGGACGTGTGCTGCTAAGTTTGGCAAAATCAAAAGAACCTTTTTTTGCTTGTAGATCCCATACGGCTTGATCTTCGAATTTATGACCAACCATAATATCTTGAGTTTGGTACAAGGCTCGACTGAAAACTTCCCCTTTGGTCCGTACTTGGATCGCCTTGATATGGAGCTGGATGAGGGTTATGGTAGTCGCTGGGAATTCATCAAAACGAAAACCGTACAGTGGACTCTTCTCGTCAATAAAATGTCGCAGTGTCCAGACGGTATCCAATCGATGATGAGAACTGACAGCCAAGGGCAACTCTTCCGTTTGGGATAACCTCTTCTTGGAATTGTCATCATCACATCGGTATTCTTGCGTTGATATGATACTTAAACTAGCTTCAGCATTGATGAGTGGGTTATCCAGGCCATCAGCATTGCCAACACGAATCTCCAAACATGGCTCATACAAAACATTGGAAAGTGTCAGGACTTCACTGAACTCGAGGTTGGCCTCTGCGACTATAAACTTGAAGAATAGTAACCCCCCATACATTGTAGATAGAAGGATGGACAATAATGACAAAAATACAACCAATGCATTGTTGACGTATCCCTTAGGCCAATATCCTCCATATCCAATTGTAGAAGATGTCTGAACTGCAAAATCAAAGTTTTGGGCATATGTCATGGAGTCATCTTCGCAGCACGTTCCTTCTTGGATGAAGAAAAGGCCCCCGAATACAGCATTCATTCCCAAGAATGATACAATATAGAGCAACGTCAGCATTGGAATATCTCTCTTGGTGAGCCATCTTCTGACCCCAACCGCGAGTCTTCCGATAGGATTTGTCTGATGCACATTGACACTCCTGCAGTTAAATTTTGTTCTCTCCATGCGACTGGTTTTTGGACGTTTCGTGACATTCTTCACCAAGGAAAAGGTGACCTTTTTGCCATCCACAGTGGCGGTTCGAGTGGTTTCTGCGGGTTCACCCCCCTTGTTCTTATTATTGGCCCTTTTCAGAGCTCGATGAAGCACAGAGTTCGAGCCACTTGTCCTGAGTTTCCATCCTGAATTGGCGCTAGCACCTTTGCTTTTTCCTGTTCTAGCAGGCATTTTGAAGTGTACTTATATATTGTTTGATCCCGTTGCTGATGAAAGCATAAGGTACATATGATTCAATTAAATGAGAGTGAGCCTGACGAATAATATAAGTGTGACCGCGTAATGATGCAACCGAGGCCGGAATTGAGGCCTTTCAGCTATATGTTGTGTTGTTTGACGTCAAGATAAGCTTGGAAAGTTAACTTTGTTGATAGTCGACTGTCTGCTGAGTAATGGTGAAGGTTCAACGTATCGCCATGATACCAAGATGTACGGATATATGATGTGTTGTGTAATAATATATATGCGATGCGATGCATACCGGTGTATTGAATATCTACGCAGCTGGTATAATGGTAACCCGTATGTGGAGTCATATGGGTCGACACTGCCGGAATCTTCAAAATTCAGATATACGAATGCTGACACCGGCGGCATCATTGTGTCAGAGCAAACACTGAACCTCCCATACACAATCATGAGCGGAAACAACAAGAGTCCACCACTAATCCACCGGAAACTCGCAGTTTTGGGTTTTCGGGCAGTTGGAAAGAGCTCACTTACAAACTCTTTTGTCAATGGGTCGTTCTCAGAGGCGGTAAGAACGAAGTAACTTCTGCGGTATTCGCCCTTTTTTAAATATCATTCAGATTATGTTCTCACAAAAGCGATGGCAGTATGATCCAACGATAGAAGCGACAATGTCAAAGCTTGTAAGATTTCGAAAGGTCCATTTTCAATGCGATATAGTTGACACAGCTGGCATGGTACGCGGAACAAAACTGTTTTCATAAATCTTCCTTCGTATCACAATCCTAATCTATCTTCTTTTTCAGGACGAATACTCAAGTCTCTCTCGGAATGCTTCTTTGGGAGTACATGGGTACGTGTTAGTCTTTTCGATTACATCGCGGCAATCGCTTGACACGGTGTCTCAAGTGAACGATGTGCTCTTGAATACACTGGGAGATGCCCCAGAGGATCAAGTGCCGAGAGTATTGGTTGGCTCCATGAAGGATCTCGATGGTATGAGACAAGTTAGCCATGAAGAAGCTTCAGCTTTTGCTCGATCCATCGGGGCGCCGTATGTAGAATGCTCTTCCAAGACGGGTGACAATGTGGCAGATGTCTTTCACACATTACTAAAGGAAATCGAAAAAGATGACGGTCTGCTCAACGAAACCGGCCCCAGTCCTTGCCTCATACAATAATCGAGGCTTTCTTCTTGTAGAATGTACAAAAATCATGAATTATTAGAGTGCATCATTGTTGCACATTTTTAATGTTAGAACAATTTTTATAAATTATCTTGTTCAATCATGTAAAGGCTATGCATATGGTTGCTTCACATATGGCGAAAGCATCAGAACCTTCCACCATTTCCCCAATGTTCAGAGATGATCGGTAACATTACATTCAAATAAAGCAATGGCCTCACTGACTTCCAGGGTCGTATCTCACTTTTCTGCTTTTCTGCTTCATCTGGAGTCATACCGTAGGTATATAGAGCCGATCCCTTCCTATAGATATGTATTACGATACGAGAGTATCGTACCTGCTCACGTCGGAAAAAGGAGGAGGTTATGCAGCAGATCGACGGACTGACGAAACCTCACAGCATCGTGTGCGGTGACGCGTGATCAATCGTGCATGCATTAGAAATAACCACAGTATCATATCGACGGACTGGCGAAAACCAAAATATCAAAACTCGCTCGACTGCATATTGAATATTGGTCATTTTAAAATTAAAATAGAAAAGCAATGGATGATGCAGCTTATGGTTCAAAAATCTGTAGTCCAATGATAGGAGAAAAAATGTGGGACGTCGACTCTTTGTGGGGCGATTACTTTCTAACTCAAGAGGATGCTACCGACACCAATATCACGCCAAATGAGAGCAAAAGTACGAGTTCCTTCCAACGCTTCTGATCCCGAAAGTGCTGATTCCTTGATTGCATCTCAAATGGCAAAGCTGTCAGTCACTGATCGAGAAAAGGTGTACATGGCCGTCCATGGGATACCAGATGACTTTATAGCGGAGACTCCAGAACTGATTCGTAACAGTCTATTGAGATTACAGCACGAAATCGACAGTTTACCGGACAAGAAAGCATGCGACATTGCTGAACGACTGGCTCCAGCATATACGCAGGACAAAGATTTTCGACTTGCGTTCCTTCGATGTGAGCAGTTTGATTGTAACAAGGCAGCACTTAGATTCTTGAACGCGTATGATACGGGGGGAAGAGTCAGTCGTCAATTCCAATGTTAAAATACGCAAAACATACACGACCGACACAATTGTAAGTTCTGAAATCTCGAAGTTTTTATTCGACGTGCTGCAGTATTTTTGCTGACATCTCGATTCAACCGTTTGTAGCTTCGTAAATCATTTTATAATTTCATGACAGCATAAAGCCTCAACGTGGACATACAACGACGGGGGTTTGTAAATGCTAGTATCCACCATGGAAATGAAATCAAGGGCACTGGTGCGGAAAATGCTGATGCTTTCTGGAAGGTGCCAAAACTTAATTTTGGAATTCCCATGTTTCTCTCGGCTGTCCATCTCTGTTACACGATTAAAGAACCATGGGAAGGTCTCCTAGCATTGGCCAAGACTGCATTCAGCAAAGAAAGCCAAGTTGGATGTAGGGCGCATCATTGTGGCGCGTGATGGTGCTGCTCATCTTGGAATAATCAATGAAAGCTGTTCGAGTGTCCGCGTCCCACGTTACTTGATCTTCAAACATATGCCCAACCATTATATCTTCTAAATGATAGACCGCTTGGCCGAATACCTCGTTTTTGGTGGCCCTTTGAATGGCACTCACATTCAAAGACAGAGAACGAATGGTATCTCCTGGAAACTCGTCAAGCAAAGCGAAGCCACACAACGGACTCTTGTCATCAATGAAATGTCGCAGTGTCTGGAACAGACAAAAAGTTCCAATTCTTCTGTTTCTCCTGTCGTACGAAGATTGAATTCGTGTGGGCATCGGTATAGTTGTTGGATTGATGCCACGAACAAGCTACAGTAGCATCAGCGTTGAAAAGCCTGTTGGCATTCCCATCCGCATTGGATTATTCCAAGACGAGCGGTACCACACCATCCATGGTATGGTATCTAAAGAGCACGGTTCGCCACGCTTGATCAATGATTGAAATCACCATCGGTCGTAAACTTGGGAATGTGACATGGGAGGGCCAATATATACCAGGTACAGACTGTGACTTTGCTGCAATCCATCTGAAGCGTTGGTCGTCGGTCATCAAAGCAACATTTCGCCTTTCTACGCTAAATTTCTACTGTCGACTCGTTCTTCGGTTGGTCCCGCCCCAACGAAAGTTTATCGGATTTTTCGAGACCGGCAGCTCCACGGAAACAACACCTATTACGCTTTGTCAAAGTTTCGGCCTTCGCGGTGGCGGTTGAAAGTTTTCGCAAGTAAAGCAATACTAGCACTGCTTTGAATTACTTGAAAGAATTGTGTTAGCTCATCCTAGTTACTCATTATGCTATTACTAGCTTCAAAGGTCACCAACAAATTTTTCATTTCAAACGACAATGACGGCTTTGTAGTAGACTTGAAGAACAGGAGTCTAGCGTAGCAGAGGACGACAAAAAACCATCAATTTGTAAAGTATATTGAAGGCGATGGTAGAAGATTTCTGAACTGCATACTCAAAGGTTTCGGCAGACGGCAAGTCAGGATGATCATCTGCTCCCTTTCCCTGTACCAGAAGAGGGCCAAGGGTTATTTTTGCGAGAGAAAGGCAGCCATATGCAAAGTTGTGAGAGTAATAATGGATTCTCTGGCCCGTTCGTCTCTACAGCTGCTGTAATTCATGTTAAGGTTGACAACTGTGGTATGCATCTGCGCCGACTTTGACTGATCTTCTGAAGCGCATGCTAGCGACAACGTTGTCTGATAAGGCAAACGCCACAGCACTTCCATCGACATCAGTCTCGAAAGGATCTACTTTCATGCCTCGTCATCATTTTCCTTCTGGGCAGCACATATTCAACGGCTTCATGGAGGAGAGGCAGAAAAGCGTTGTCGTAGTAGACGTGACTAGTCCTGATGCAAATGCAATGTAGATGATGAGGAATGTAGTGAAGATACCGGTAGGAGGATCTATGGAAAGTATGGTGTCTGGATGTCGTACGGTGAACCAGGATAGACCTCCCGTACAACAAGCGTACCTACAATGGGATGTTTGACTCTTACGATGACGTGATTTCGTTTGGGCCACGCATATCGACTGGAGGAGAAGAGCGCAACGATTTTAATTAACCGCATTGGGCTTTCACACTGCCGACGAAAGCTGGGCTGTTCTCATCGTAACGCTCCTTTCGTCGAGAGACGGAACGCAACACAGCAGGGTTCAATGTCCATAGTACCGGTATACCGGTATATGTGGGCGATAAAAAAGGAGCCACGCAAGCACTGGTAGTACGGTACTTCGCCGCCGTCGCGAATCACGAGGAGGAGGAGGGCACGCTAAAAAGGAGGGCTGGAGGTTGAAAACTAGGAGGACTCTGGAAGAGTTCTGTCGGTTGTGGATACGTGGCGGTAATTGCTTTTATGCGATTGGTTAGCATTTCTGCTGCGCATGAACATTGTTGTTTCCCCGGGAGAGGGAACGCGTAACCTATGATAATACGCATATCGCGCGATCATTAATTTTTATCAATGATGGAATTCCAGTGCCAGTAACTGTTAAGCTCGAAATTTTATGTCTCATTTTCCAGTGGAGATTTTTCAGCCCAACAGGAAATAATGCTTCACTCACTCTCGACATCACAATTTCAAGCACCTCTCGATCTCTTCATCATTCTACGGTAGTATCCTATCAATACCTTCTTTGACAATATTTTTCCCAAGCGAAAAAGGAAAAGAACCCAATACACCACGACCACGACACAAATAGAATAGCTGAAGAATGCCACCAGCTACAACCGCAATCAATGCTGGAGGAGGAGGTGATAATAATAATCATCATCATCATGGTTGGAAGCTTCGCAATTATCGTTTGACGACTTCCATTCTACATGGCGCCGTCGATCTCGATACATCTTGTAACTTCATTGAGAAACCACCAGAAGAAGAGTCAACAGTCGACATCGAAGGGGGCCGAACGGTTACCTTTGCCATGATGAGTAATGTGACGCAAAGACCTAAGATTAGTCACACCAAGATCAAGAGGGCCAAATGTGTGAACTTGAATGTGGAACCCGAAAAAAGCAGTGTTCTTGGCCGATTCGGACACCGTCTGCAAAGATATTTGACCAAAAAGAATGTTCCATCTTTGACAGTGCTCTACCTTGTTGCATTCTTTATCATGAACGCCGTCTTCGCTTTGTTATGGTCAGCCGAGACCGACGGTTGTTGTGATGACCCTACCATGACATTCTGGGACCACTTGGATTTTGCAGTCCAGACATCTTCCACCATCGGGTACGGTGGATACCGCCCCAAAGGACGTCTAAACAACGCGTTGGTGGTCCTGCAGACGGTATTGGCAATTTGCTTGGCTACCGTTTACGCTGGATTGTTGTTCTTTAAGTTTATTACACCCTCTGCTAATTTTCAATTCAGGTACGTCCCGAGGAATGGTGCAACACCTTCTTTGACTTTGCTTTTCATCAGATATCTTGGGCTAACTAGGTTTCAGCGAGGTCATTACTCTCTCCAACGTGATGGGTCATCCTTGTCTTGAGATTCGAGTAGGCAATGCAGACGGGAATGCCAACAAGCTTATCAACGCTGATGCTAGCTTGTGTGTGACATCGATCCAACATTATCGATGTCCACACGAATTCAATCTTCGTACGACAGAAGAAACAGAAGAGTTGGAACTTTTTGTCAATTCCAGACACCGATTGGACGACGTTTGGACACTGCGACATTTCATTGATGACAAGAGTCCGTTGTATGGCTTCCGCTTTGATGAGTTTCCAGGAAATACCATTCGCTCTCTATCTTTGAATGTGAAAGCCATTCAAAGGGCCACCAAAAACGAGGTATTCGGCCAGGCGGTCTATCATTTAGAAGACATAATGGTTGGGCATAGGTTTGAAGATCAAGTAACGTGGGACGCGGGCACTCGAACAGCTTTCATTGATTATTCCAAGATGAGCAGCACCACACTGTCCATGGTGTGGCATCCAAAGAGTACTGGTACGGTTCATTGAACGATTTGGATGATGAAAATCACCATCGGTCGTAAACTTGGAATGTGAAATAGGAGGGCCGAATAGCTTGCAACAATCATGCTGGGCAGGGCACCGACTCGCTCTTTTTCATCCCCCAGCACGAGAGTGCAATCCGCCCGTCCTGAAATCGTGGATGTTGGAAGGTTTCGCAAGTAAAATATTACTAGCGTTGCATTGCATTTTTGACAGATTTGTGTTTGCTTTCCGGATACCATGGATTCTAGTTACTCATTATGCCATCATTTGTAGCCTGATGCGCACCTTCAGATTTGTCGTTATTGGCCCTGCCCAGAGTCCAGAAAAAGCACGATGCCAGTATGCAAGCAAGGCAGAGTCCACCAAAAGCAGCCCCTAGAGATATATATCGACGCCATTTCACGACTATCCTCCGATTCATCCACACATGGTTCAGCACCCTTGTAATACTCGCCAAGGGCCTCGTTCCATACGCCACCAACATCTGCACAGGTGATTCCGATTTCTTTGTAGGTGTATTCAAAGGCTTGCTTCACTTTGGCAAAGTTGGTACTAAGTGCACCCACTCGCATATTCGAATATATGACGTTGGCGTGTTCTTCATTGATGGCAAAGATTCGGGGCAGAACAGCAGCCGCAAAAACGGCTCCTTCCGCCTTGGACTTTTCGGTCGTGTCGTTCAGTTCGCTCACCTTGTATGCATAGCGCAAGGTGCCTTGGATGAAGGGGACATACAACAACTTTGTAATTTCTCTGACCGTCACGCGTGCATCGTCGCACTTTCCAGTCTGCAACTGGAACTTTCCGAGGGCATAAAATTGAAACAGATCGTAGTTCAATTTTGCCACTCCTTGATTCTGGTCACCGTTCTTGCCGCAGGTCTTGAAATCAGCGCAACGCTTGTCTGCCAACTGATGCAAAAGGTTTCCTTCGGAAGTCAGCCCGTCTTGAGCTTCAATAGACCCAGTGTAAAAGCAGACTCCTTCATCCCACGCATTCACGGGGTCGTTGTTGCAGTCAACTGTCGCGCAGCCCTTCTCACAATCATCTAGAGCATCCTCAAACTCCCGGATGACATACATGAAAATGTTCAAGTACACAGTTCCCTTCTTGATGGCCTCGACTTTGCCATCCATCCCATACAGCGAGAAGTCTGCATTCCCGTTTTCAAACTGAGTCTCTTGGCCATTGAATGCAGCCGTGACCCATTGGTGTCCATAATCGTCCATTCCGTAATATTGGAAAAAATAATCATGGTCTGTGTACGGACATCCATCACAAGAGAGGCGCATCTTTTCACCAGCAGACGTTGAAAACCCAGCAATAGTCCGCCCGTTTTTGTTTTGGTTGATCGGGTCGTATTGATAAGAGTACCCGGTCCCGTCAATGCCAATAATGCCGGCTCCAATTAGACATCCATCCTTTGTCTGGGCAATAGGAGGAAGAGAACCAACGGCACAGTGGACATAATTCGATTGATCATCACTGGTCTGGTATTGCATGCGAATCTCTGTGGTTCCTGCAACGTACAAGTCATATGCGTTGCCCACAGTTTCGGTACCGTCGGCCGTTATACCGGCCATGGGAGTCCCTTTCTGAACATCCGATAGTAGGGGTGTAGCCAATGTGATTTCCGCATATGACTTGGAGCTGCCGCCCTCGTTGTAAATTCGTTGCGCAGCCTCAAGGGATTGTTGGGTTCGCTTCACAAGCTCAAGCTCGATGGCCTGTTGATCCAGATCAATGGCGCAGTGATCTGTCACCTATGTATAGTCCACGATGAGCGGCACATTGCGATCGCAGTGTCAGATAAAATGGAACAAAGAAGCTATCGATATGTGTACTATTCATTCTCCTCCATATGCACAGAGCGATGAGAAGCCATCATCCATACCTGGGTGGCTGGAGCGTATCCGGCTATCTTTTCGAAGGAAAGACGACGGCGAAGCGAATCACTGGTATTGCCATTTGCCAGGGAAAGTGCAGTTAGAGCCACCAAGGATGACTTCATGGCGATACGGTGGTGATGGTGAAGTGTTGGTGATGTGACGACTGTGCGCGACGATCGATGATGATGTATAAAAATGCGAGTATGGCGAACTTATTTTGAATTTTGGGAGAAGATTTTGAAAGATGACACTTTGGTCGAAGTGATCGAAGTCATAATAGAATTGGTGCCTCGTAAATAATCTATTTCATTACACTTGTCGTTCGTCGTATTGCCTTCTATGGATTTAACTCACACAACTTCTGGTGGTTCATCACCCACTTGTTGACTGCTGCTAACTCTTCCAGTGTCTAAATCGACAAGCCGCTTGGTTTGTTTTCGAGCATAGTAAAAGTAGAATTCCAATCCCATCAATGGAATCAGCAACGAGCAACCAAAGACAATCCAATCCGCCATGGAAGTCTGTGCCTCTTCGTCAGTATCGGATTCATCGTCTCCCTTCAAGATTCGCATAACAGAAGCATACGCCATGAGGATGAAATCAAAACTTCCGTGCAACAGAAAGGCTGCAAAGATGATTCGACCAACTCCCACCGAGCGATCCTTTTCAATGTCCCGCTGGACGACGGCAATGGATTGAATGGCTGCACAGAGAGGATGCACTGGAAAGAGAGCCCGCAATATCAAAGTTGTGGTTTCGGCGGCCAAGTCATTTTCTGTATATACAAAAATATACAACAAGTTCTCGGCACATGCAAACCCAGCAGCGACCGCAATCATTGACACAGTAATAGCCGCACCGCGAGATTCGAGACTAATCGGATGCTTGGAAGATGATTGAGCCGAGGGGTCGACACTGCTGTGAGTCGTTGGTTGGCTACCAGCGGAAAGCAATCCTGCGTTTTCTCCTTGGTGGCGTTCGTCGTCGGCGGATAGGGGAACCAAGGACACATTGTTTTCCATATCTGGGTGCTCCACCATCCAGAAGGAAAGATATTTAAAAGTTTCTTCCACCAATGCCGCGACACCAAATGCATTCAAGAGTGCTCCCAAAATAGCAATGGTCAAGACAAAGGCGGTAGGTAATTTCAAAGTATTTTCTGCTTCGTCTGTGGCTGTTGTGGTTGTTGTGTTTCCACCCATATCTGGAGGCGCCATAACATCAAAGATGGATTGCTCGTCCATGTTGACATCTTCAAAATTATCAATTTCCACGTCTCCAAAGAGCACCAACATGAGGGTTCCCAGAAAGGAATAAGTGACCACGGCAAAACTCGCCACCATGGACGCCAAGAATTCGTATACCAATACCATGCTAGTACAGAGGAAGAATCCAGAAGAAAAGTACTTGACAATGGCATCCAAGGATACATCGAGACGATTCCAGTACCAGTAGGTTAAGAATAAAATGGCGATAGGTTCGACCAGAGCTCCAAACATGATTCCAAGTTGCCACTTTTCATATTGGACCGGCAAGAACATGGTTAAGAGGATGGCAAATAGTAAAAAGATGCCACAAGCCTTGAGAAGTTTGGACGATAATTCCGAGAGTGCTTTGCAATGGGCCCAAAACGACATATTTTCCGAGTTTCTCAATGCGAGAATGCTTGGAAAGTACTCGCTCCAAGGTTGCATGGTGATGTAATCCCGTTGCCATAAGGAAGGTGTGTTGGGCAGCACTTTGGCCAAGTGTCGGTGTTCTTGGGCAATGGCGCACATTCCTAAAATGATTAGATAAGATCGGAAAGATAAGTATGGGTGAGTTCACATGAATGACTATACTTCAATTGTCTCGCAAAAAATGAGCAATATCATACGTACCACACCAAACACACCAACACATGCAACAGGTATTGCAAAGCACATTGGCAAAGCAGTTCCAAAGTCGTTGACAAAAGTCACGATTATCTTCATCGTCTACATCAAATTCCTCGTCCTCGTCCTCGTACTCTTCATCATTATCGTCGTCTACTACCACATGGGTGTCATTGCGCACACAGTTCAATAGATTATGTCTCCGATTGATTTCATTCCAGTGCAATGACAGAAATTGTTTCAGATGCTCTTCTTGTCCAATATCAGTTCGTTCCGTCGCCGTGGGTGACAATCGCCGCTGGGCGTGCCCAGGCTCCAGCACCATGGCGTCTTCCGCGGTTGCATTGTTGTGAATCAAGTTTTGTCGATGAAACTCTTCTTCCGCCAGTTCCTTGCGAAACCTAGATCGTGAATATTCAAATTCCAACAAACGCCAAATACCAATGGCCACAATGATGATGACGCAAATCTTCAAAGCTTTGGATTCCAAATCGATGGAGGCTAGGACCAGAGTGGCAATCAAGAGCAAAAAGAGGGCGGTTTCCAGTGGTCGTTGGGTCCACTTTTTGGGATGCTTGCCATGCAACAAGAACTGATTGCGTTCCCACAACCAAATGCCACAACATGCGAGTGCACAAGCATCGGTTTTACTACGTGCCGGAGAGGTAAACATGTCGCATATCGAGGATGAAAAGATGCCCCTGTACTCTCGTTTGTTCTGGCGCCTTTTCTTTCGTCGTTTCTTTTTGGCAGCTGTGCCATTGCTCATCTGCTGTTTGGCAGATGCAATCAATGATGTGGCTTGCTCTTCTTCGTGAAGCGGCATTCTAACGTATCCGATGTGCGCGTTTTTTTTCCTCCCTCTACTGACAAAGAAAAAGAAAAAGTCTAAAGGACTGACTCGTCGTGGTGGATTTGGATTGTGCCTTCTTGCGATCCTTCAAATCAGACTCACTCACTCACTCACTGTGGACACGCCGTGTTTCAAAGAGATTGAATCAATCAATCAATCAATCAATCAATCAATCAATCAATCAATCAATCAATCAATCTTTGTCTGATGTTTTGTAAACTGAGGTGAAAGTCTATCTATCTACTTCCCTTGTCCTAATCGTCTTGGGATTCTATTGCCTCCAGACATTCAAAATACTCGTAGATCGGACAAATAAAAGATTTCCGTTGAGATCCATCGACTTCACTTCCCGTACACGTACGTGAAGTGAGGTGCGCGTACGATTAGATCGACTGGATGCTGAACGAAGAAGTGATGGAGATGGCACGTGTCCAAACCAAATCGCATCGAATAAATGAAGCACGAGCAGTTTTTGGAAATAAGATGGCATTCGTAATTGACACGCGCCAAGCACGAGGTAAATCTTTTGACGAAAAAGAAGAATGTCTGGCGATGCGATGGGTGGATTTCAAACGTCTTCTCTCTCTTCCACCCATCATCATATATATTTAGCTTCAATTGCGATTGTCGAACAACAACAATACCATGAAGCTTTCTCTATTGGCTGTCTCTTCCCTTTCCATGACGAGCGCTAGCCTGACCGACTCTCTTCGCCGTCGTCTTTCCTTTGAAAAGATTGCTGGATATGCTCCAGGAACTCAGGTACGCTACTGTATTGCATCGGATTGTTCCATTCGTTGATTCTGATGATGATGGTTCAAAAGTGGCACATGTAGTGTCGATTCCACAGTCAATCCTCATCTCTCATCTGACATTGTTTGGCAATTCTCTTCTTTCTTTCTTTCTTTCCTCACTGCAGGTGACGGATCACTGCGCCATTGATTTGGACCAAGCTGCCATCGAAACCGAATTGGCCAAACAAACGGATTCTAGCTTTGCAACCGCCGGCAATATTTACAACCAAGGTGGAAGCTCCAAGTCGTATGCTCAGATCACCTTGAGCACTCCTTTGTCGTCGGCCATTCAAAACGATGCTGTCATTGTCGGAACGAATGCGGATGGTTCCTCGACCGTCGGCAAGGCGTATGAAGATTACCCACAAGGAACCACCAGCCTCAAGGTGCAATACCAAACCAGTGATATGCAGGCGAATCATGTGACGTGCATGGTCGGTGGCCTTCCCACCGATCTTCAAACCACGGTTGGTTGCTTGGCGGGATCCGGATCCATTAACATTGCTGGCCAGGATTACGACTACACTTACGATCCAACCACCGACAACAACAATGGCCGAACCATTGCCGGATTCTCCACGGATGCTGGCCAAAAGATGCGCCTGAACTGCGACGGGTGCCCGTACGATGACCATCGCTTCTTCTACAACTATTATGGCGTCGATGACTATGGGCATCAATGGGTGACTGCCGCATTGAACGGCGAAAAGACAACCTTTGACAAGGGCAATGCCGACTTTTCGGTCTATTCGCTGAATGGTCGTACCGAGGCCGTCAAGAAGGGAACTGTCTTTTTGAACATTTTTCAGTACGTCATTCGAGAATTCGAAGATGCTTTGGACGACTGCGAGCGTGGATGTGACCTGGATGCGTGCAACGACGACGCCGTCCATGCGTGGGACGAGGGCGTCTGCTTTTACACTGGATCCATTGAAGCACAAGATGGTGTCACCAGTGATGGAAAGCTTCTCCACCAACTGGCTGACAAGCGATGCGCTGATTTCAAGACATGCAGCAAGGACGGCGGTGAACTAGAAGGTCAGGCCAAATTGAATCATGATCTTTTCAAGTTGTACGCCAAGGGCAAGTACGAATTGCAAACCAAAAATTGTGGCGAGGCCAGAAGTACCGTGAACGAGATCACCAAGTTGCTCTACATTCCTTTCATTCAAGGTACGTTGCGATATGCATACAAGATGGACAAGCTCGGTGACGACAGTGAGAAGTCCGCCGCCGAAGCAGCTGTGTTTGCCGCCGCCGTCTTGCCCCGAATCGCTGCCGCAGATGAAGCTGCTGCCGATACCATCTATGAAAACGTAAAGGTTGGAGTTTCAACTACTGATTTCGCTGATGTCAAGGAAGCCTTTGAGTTTGTCTACAAGGACTTGGGCATCAAGTGTTCCGATATTGGAGGATTGTGGAACTCTGCTCTTGGCGAGTATTACGAGGGAGCTGGACCCTGCAAAAATGGTTTGATGAGCGAAATGACTGACGACAAGTTGATCGTTATCATCGTCGGATCCACTCTTGGAGGACTTTTCTTCATCTCCGTCCTGTTCTTGTGCTTCTCGAGAGCGCGAAAGAGCAGCGGTGCTGGAGGAAAGCAGCCAGATCTTGAAGCCACAACTGATGCCGAGGTCAGCTAAATGCCATGTTATCACACAGTACAACCAATGATGATGATGATAATAATAATAGTAGGAATAATAGGAATATAATATATGTAGGACTATAACTGGTTCGAAAACGGGTAGCTTCTAGTTTGAATGTGGGTGCAAAAGGTATACGGTATGCCAGATTCGTCAAAATAGCAATGCAACCTTCCACTATCTACTGGTACAACATACGTACTGGAAAGCGATGGTGGGAGTTTAGAGACTATGTTTGTACTATATCGTACGTACGTCGTTTCGGACACGTGCGGATTTATGACTGAGAAAAACGACTTTCGCGCAAAATTTCTTCCGACATCATCGATCGAGGTTTCAGAATCATATTCTTATTGTGTATCTTGCATTATATCTGCCTTGCATCATACATCAACAACATGAAGTTTTCTTTGTTGGCTCTAGCTTCCCTTTCCCTCGCCAATGCTGGTGTCAGTGATTCCCTTCGTCGGCGTCTTTCCTTCGAAAAGATTGCAGGATATTCTCCAGGAACTCAGGTAGGGGATTTTACGTGATGTTCTGTGGAAAATCGCAGGATTCTTCTATGATTTTGGATCTATTGTGATCGAATACATTGCTGATGCTGCGTATGCTTTACTGACAACCGATTTACCCTCTGTATAGGTGACTGATCATTGTGCCATTGACCTGGATCAAAATCTCATTGAGATCGAATTGTCCAAGCAAACCGACAGCTCGTTTCAGGCCGCAGAACAAATCTACAATCAAGGTGGCTCCTCCAAGTCGTATGCGGAGCTCACCCTGAATAATCCGCTTTTCTCGACTGTTGAAGAAGGCACACTCATACAGGGTGAGGCATCCAACGGCCTCGATGTGAATGGCAAAGCCTATGGAACCTACGTTCAAGGATCGACTGTCATCCGCATGTCATACCAAACCAGTGACGATCAAGATAACCATGTGGGATGCATGGTAGGCGGCCTTCCTCTTAGTAATCAGAAAACGGATGGATGCTTGGCAAATGTTGGCACTATTTCGGTTGGAGCCACTAACTACAGCTACGAATACGACCCGACCACACAAAACAAAAATGGTCGCACCATTGCCGGTTTTTCCGAGGTTGCTGGCGAAAAAATGCGCCTCACTTGTGACGGCTGTCCCTACAAGGATCATCAATATTTTTACGAATATTATGGAATTGATGACTATGGACACCAATGGGTCACTGCGGCTCTGAACGGCAAGGAGACCAGCTTTGTCCGGGGCAACGCAGATTTCTCAGTGTATGGATACGATGGCAAGGTCGAAGCAGCTAAGAAGGGAATGTTATTCTTCAACATTTTCATGTACGTTATTCGAGAATTTGAAGATGCATTGGATGATTGCGATCGTGACTGTGAGGTGGAGGATTGCAACGACGACGTTGTCCACTCCTGGGACGAAGGGGTTTGCTTCTACACGGGCTCTATTGAAGGTCAAGACGGAGTGACTAAAGATGGCAAACTACTGCATCAACTGGCTGACAAAAGATGCCACGATTTCAAGACCTGCGGCAAGAACGGTGATGAAAATGAAGGCAATGCCAAATTGAACTCCGACCTCTTTGATTTGTTTGCTTTGGGCAACTTCCAATTGCAAGGGAAAAAGTGTGATGAAGCCCGAGGTACAGTCAGCGAGATTACAAGATTAATGTACATTCCGTTCATTCAAGGTACTTTGCGATATGCCTACCGTGTCGGAGAACTGAACGGGGACGGTGGCGAAAAGTCTGCTGCCGAAGGTGCAGTCTTTGCTGCCGCCATTCTCCCACGAGTCTATGCAGCAAACCAAGATGCTGCCGAAGTCATCTATGAAAACATGAAGGTGGGTGCCAACAAAACTAATTTTGTGGAAGTCAAGAAAGCTCTTGAGAGTGTGTACGGTGATTTGGGATTAAAATGTTCCGATGTCGGTGGATTGTGGAATGACGGTATAAACGACTACTGGGAGGGAGGCGAGCCATGCGGCCCCATTGGAGATATGGATGACGAAGACTTGTTGATTGTCAGTGTTGTGGCTGCACTTGGTGGAATTATCTTTGTCAGCATTCTGGCCGCGTGCTTTGTACGAAATGCTGCTGGTGGTAGCACTACTGTTGCAGCAAAACAACCTGATTTGCAACCTACCACCGACGCGGAATTGAGTTAAGCCATTTCTAATGGTTATCGTTGATACATTTTATTATGCATAGTTGAGCTTGGTATGTTCAGATCTGGTTAGCAACCAAGTAAGAAGATCTAAATACAGTAAGGTATATATTTTTTATATTGAAGAATATTATTGCGGCAATGAGTGGTACTTTAGTAGTCTCGCACTGACTTAGGTTCGTTTGCAACCACATTACATCGCATATTATTCAAACTACATGAAGGTTATTGCAACGCCGGCAGCAATAAGAGCAAAAAAAGTTCCACGGAAGACACTGTTTGCACCACTTCTTCCACTATCAGTTGCATTTTTCGGCACATCACAGTCGCCGAATTCTGAGACTTCGAAAACATCCGTCAAGAGGGATTTCATTGTCTGAATTTGCTTGTTCTGCGAGTTGATGATGCCACGTACGATCGGATCTAAGAGGCAATCTACACCGACATCAGAACCTTCGCCGCACGAGATCCCGCCTAGTTTCAAGGTGGCCTTGGCCATGTTGACAGCATTTTGATGGTGAGGAATCATTTGACGGAGGAATAAGATTGCATCATTGGAAATTGTGCTACCGCCACCATCTCCTCCGTACGTGGTTGTCATACCGTCCAACATGAAACAATTCATGGCGTCGACGCAGTTAGAGAATGTTCCAAGGGTAGTATCAGATTCATCACCGCAAACAAAGTGTTCAGGGCATTGATTATTTGGTAGTCAGAATCTTTCCAAATCAAAAGTCCCGCACGTTTGATCATAGTTTCCAATGACATTGTATTCGTATGGGATCTCAGGCTTATTTTCTTTGCTTAACATGTTGCCGTTGGCATCGAGAAGCTTGATGCGACCAGTCATTTCAGAGTGGACGTGACAGAAGTAGAAGATATCTTGGTCGTAATTGCTGTCGAAATTCAAGAATGTGACGAACGGCCCGTACTCTTCCCAATCACCGAGAGGATGAAAAAAGCGAGGCTCGACTTTATCCAATCCGAAGTCATTCTCTCCTGTACTGATATTGAGAATATCTGGAATGTTACTGTAGGATCCTTGGTACACACCATCCATGGTGTACATGGGGGCAGGGCATGACATGGTTTCAGCACAAGAAGAGTCACCTGGTGCAACGCCAGGCTCAAGTTCATCAACACCAATGTGGGCTCCGTCAGCAAAGTAAGAGAATCCAATCAAGTGGTACCAGTTGGACTTGTCACTTTGATCAAACTTGTAGGTACGGTTTATGGATAAGTGCAAAGTTGGGTTGACTCCGGAACATCCATCCACAGTAAAGTATCCGAGCTCTCCAGCCATCAGGTCGACCTTTACTTTGACTTCACATTCACCAAAGGTGTCTGCGCAAGGTTGGCAGTCAACGCCGGACTCGAAGACAGATTCGGAAGCTCCTGGAGCTGGTTCTTCATGCAGTCTTCGGTTGCGGGATACCACAACCCCACTAAAATCGACTTCGCAGTTAGCGTATTCAGTGCTTCCCAGTTGCTCCAAAGCATCCTTCATGTCAATAATTTGACTGTTTTGGCCGTTGATAATGTCCAGGAAGATGGGGATCAGCTCACACTCCCACGATACTTCAGCTCCTTCCTCCACTTCGTTGCAGACAGCGTTCTCGGCATGAAGCTTGAGGAATGACTTGGCCATATTGATAGCGTTCTCGTGATGAGGGATCATCTGGTGGTTGAAGAGTTCCAGGACTCCTCCACCAGCATTGGTGGTCATGGAAGACATCATGTGACAGTTCATGGCTTCAACGCACTTGGCATACTGAGACATTTCTGCACCGTCCGAGGTGCAGATGAACATCGGTGGGCACATGTTGTTGTCCTTGGATGGCTGGAAGTCAGTGAGGTTGTATGTACCGCACACTTCATCAAATTCCGCAACCTTGTTGTACTCGTATGGAAGTTCTGGAGTGTTTTCTGCACTTAACTTGTTTCCATCAGCATCAATTAGCTTGATCCGTCCACTCATACCGCTGTGGATCTGAAACGAATATTAGAGGATGCGCTACGTGATGAGCAGCAAAGTCCTTCAAAATGCAAACAAGAACTTACATGGCAGAAATAAAAGAAGTCTTGGGCCAACGGGAAGTCATAGTTGAGATAGGTCTCCATGGCACCATAGGATTGCCAGTCTCTGAAAGGGTGGAAGAAAAGAGGTTCCACAGCATCCAAGCCAAAGTCTTCATCGTTGGAAGTGACGTTCTTGATCTCAGGAATGTTGGAGTAGCTTCCGGCGTACTCACCATTTCGGAAGTACATTGGAGCGGGGCAAGACGCGTCAATGTCGCAAGTGTTTCCACCGCGGCTGATACCAGGCTCCAACTCATCGACTGGAACGTGAGCACCATCGGCTTCGTAGGCGAATCCTAAGAGATGGTACCAATTGGTGTCATCCGACTGGTCGAACTTGTAGGTGCGTCCAACTGTGAGTAACAAGGTTGGATTGACTCCGTCGCAACCTTCAAACTCGAAATAGCCTTTGGTATATAAAAGCATTGAGAAATCATGGGATGACGAGTGAGAGAACATGCCTAAAAAGAAAACAATTTATCCGTCAGATGTCAGCAGCCAAGAGAGAATTCCATACCTGTCTGGCCAGCGAAGAAATTAACCTTGGACTTGACCACACAAGTTCCAGTAGTTCCTTCGCATGGGGTACATTCGGCCTCATGGATGATGGCCGCGGTAGCAGCAGCAGCAGCAAAAGCTAAGAAAGCAGCAATTGTAGTTTTCAACATCATGATATGTAAATAGACCCAAAGACAATTGTGTCAAGTTTGTTATTTCTTACACAGAGAGAAAGGTGATTTTGGATCTTCTGAATTTGCAATTACAGGAGAGCACACGCTATTTTCGTGTCGGCACGAACCTGCCCCAATTTGTGACGTCAGAACACTTAGGTCTTACAACCCACTTGGTTAGAAGAACGTGCTTTGCACACTTTGCACTATGTGTGCACCCGCTGTCTTCCCTGTTGCAGTAGCATTGATGACACCCAAGTTTCTCGATAAATTATCTACAATACTAAAATATTTCTTGAATGAAGAAAGCGACGACGTTTTATTGTGGCGCTTATTCAATGCGACTACTGTACGACCCTCCTCACAACTTTCTCACAATTTCTTGTACTCGAAAGAACTCGAAAACAAGATGGCCATCCAAAGACAATATCGCCCAAATATCATATTTTGGGCCGTCGAGCCTTCCTTGTAATACTGTACCCACGGATAATTCCTCTCGACCGCAGACGGATCTCCCGACATATCACCACTTTGCACCAAGAAGCGGAAGCCATCATGATTATAGCTATGGCATCGAAGAGGAGATATGCCGACATGGAATTGAGTTGAATAATTTTTCATGACCATTATAGATGGCATGGGAAACAATACATTACTGTATGCACACATAGTTTAATTTGGCACAAGCATGTTCAATATCTGGCTCAAGTACGAGTACCTAACTGCAAGATTTCCTCCAAATTTGGTTTGCAATTAGAGGTACGTGAGTAGTCTCATTCCAAAATTCAAAATACAGCGATATAGTTCCACGCAGCGCAGTGCTCAAAAATACTTCTCATTTTTGATCAGACAATATATACTCTACAATATAACCGGGCCACGACCTATAAGCTCTACTCCGACGTCGAAACAAACATCAAACACCGGCCTAGACATATTATACTTTATAGATACCGGTAGAAGCATATATCATAAAAAGAGGCTAAGGGAGCAGCAAATGAAGAATCAAAATTCAAATCAGCATTTCACAGATAGATCCGGAGAAGAAGAAAGTAAGCCACTCCTTGCTTCTGTGTCGTCGAAAACTCCACCATCCCCACCAGAAGTCAAACGCACAAGTCGAAGAACCAGAGAACGGGAAGAAGCTACTGAAAACAGCAATGGGAAGGCATACAACAATTACAATGCAATCTCATCAACTTCAGCATCAACGTCAGCATCAACGTCAGCATCAATATCAACAAGCCAAGAGAAGCTACAACGCGACAATAAGTGGGAGACTGCTGTTGCAGCAACAAGTATGAATACCACCACCAATTTTGGAATTTGCAAATTATTCCTCTGGGTTTTTACCATTCTGGTGGTTGGCTATCATTTGGGTCGTGCCATTCTTCATTCGAGGTTGGTCCTGAAACCTGACAGTAATACTAAGGGACACCACCAACAGCCTACCTTTCTTTCCATTGTGAATCCCCAAAGCATGGACTATATTCGGATTCGGCAACATTATGCTCAGTATAAACAGTGGCAACAAAATATTGGTACGCCCATGAATCTTCTGACAACGCTACCAGAAGACGATTCATCACAGGAGCCCTCATTGTGGAAACTCCAATTGGACAAAACTGAAATGCACAGTCCACATGAATCTTTGACCGTTTCTTGGAAGCATCTTGCGACTCTTAGTGATGCTGGTGTTCCGTTGCTGCAAGAAGATGATTTGATTGCCTTGCATTGCACCAGTATGAGTTCCAAAGTCAAGACCATGGAGATTGCCACGATTGCACAAGCCAGGGCCACATCTCAAAAACATGCTCCAGATTTGTACCGGAATCATCTTGACGAATGGGTCATTCCGGCATTTCCCATGGTGCGAGAATCCCATTGTTGGTTTGCCGTCTACTCCTCCTCGGCTGTCTATAACAATAGCAATAGCAATTCGGATGACGAGACATTGGAGGAACAACGGTACCCCATGCTTGCCCACTCGCCCATTTTGGAATTCTTCCTAAAAGAAATGCCAACCCACATTCATTTGGCCCGAGGGGACGATCCCACCAAAATGATTGTTCACTTTTCAACAGTCCAAGACGGTCATCCACTGGCCATGTATGGGGTGGGAACCGACGTGAGTCAAAAGGAGGAAGGCACTTCCACCACCTATCATGCAACAGACATGTGTACGGCACCGGCGAATGAAACCGATACTGGCAAATTCATCGATCCAGGAATTTTGCACACGGTTGAATTGACTGGATTGGTACCCAATACTGTCTATTCCTACAAGGTGGGATTGACTTTTGGACAGGGCGTCGTTTGGTCGGATACGTTTATCTTCACTAGTCCTGCCACGACCAACTTTTTCAATGAGACGGCTGGCGATAATACTACCTATACATATCTGGTCTATGGAGATCAAGGGTGTCCCTCTGTCGGGTGGGGAGAAGGCGGCAAGTGGACTGCTGCCATGGCGGCCCGTGAGGCAACCGCCCGAGAGGTCCATCACATTGGTGATTTGAGTTATGCGCGTGGAGCAGCACATATTTGGGATGAGTGGTTGGCCATGGTTTCGGGTTCCTTTGCTACCAAATTACCACTCATGGTTGCCGTTGGAAATCATGAATACGATCACACCACGGGCGGAGATCATGGAAAGGATCCCAGTGGTCTGGACGAAGTACATGGATTCATGCCGTCATGGGGCAACATGGGAGACGACTCTGGAGGTGAATGTGGAGTGCCGACCTCCAAGCACTTTCAAATGCCCGCTTCGTCTCCTGACAGCAATGGAGTCTTTTGGTATTCCTACGATTCGGCCAACGTACATACCATTGTGTTGTCCAGCGAACATGATCTTGCCTCATCTTCTGTACAGTATCAGTGGCTCGAAGCTGACTTGTCGACGGTCAATCGAACTATAACACCCTGGGTGGTTGTCGAGCTTCACCGGCCCTTGTATTGCAATGAGGCGTTGTGGCCAGATGTTGCCACGGGAATTGGCATGCGACAAGAATTTGAGAATTTGTTGGGATGGTACGGCGTGGATCTGGTCTTGGCAGGGCACGTCCATTCCTACTTTCGATCTTGTGCGGGTCTTTGGCACAGCCAATGCAACAATGGGGGTCCAACACATCTCGTAGTTGGAGCTGCGGGGGCCATGTTGGATAATTCTCCGTCGTATTCCCAAGAATGGGCTGTCAAGAATATTCAAGGGGTATATGGTTATGGACGCATCACGGTCCACAATGAGACCTGGATGCACTTTGAGTTCGTACAGGCAGGTCCAGATGACGACCCACATGCTGGAGATGTGCTGGACGAGGTTTGGGTCACTCATTCAACAAAAGACGACAGCGTAGAGTAATGTGGACAGTATGGTGTCATTGCCCACCGATCTCTTTCGCAGGCTGAAGACGATTAATTTCTACTGTACCTTGTACTAATTTGAAGCTAATGGAATTGTGCAAATGGATTCGTAAATAATCACAACATCCTTGAATAGCAAGCACTCAGGTAGGATCTGGTGGCGATCTGATGCAGAGAGGTCGTATTTATGGACAGCCGTGTGAGGTGGTCGTTCCAAATAAAGGTGACTGTGCTATAGGATGCGAGCTGCGCCGTACTGATACAAACGTGTACGATTGTAAGCGGTCTGTGAGTAGTAAGGATAAATCGGCTGCTTACGAAAGCTGTCGATGAACGATGA